GGTTAGTTAGTGATGTGGTTGAGCGAGGGTTAGTAGATTGATCAAAACTCTATCGGCTATTGAACATTCCCAGAACATTCCCCTTCCCCAGAACATTCTCATTCCCCAGAACATTCCCATTTCCCAGAACATTCCCAGACATTCCCAGTTATCGCCCAGAAAGTCTCCAAGAAAATAGCTAGTCAATTTTCGATACGGCAGGATTTCCGGCGGGCATTTTGGAAGATCGCTCTTTGCTATCTCCCTTAAATTCAAAACATTTAGAGGAATTTCAACGATTGGAACGATCTGAAAATTCAAATGTTGAATAGCCTGGTAGGGTTGGTTTTATCAATCTACCAAACTCAGCTAAACTATACTGAAGCGGATTGTTTTCGGAGAACCGATTTTAGAGGAACCGGCTCATGAACAGAGCCCACAATTCTGACAATTTTTCACTAACAACACCTACCTCCATTCCAGGATTCAGGTTTGGATTGCTCTGCGAATAGAATACTGAATATTGAATTCCTTGTTCTTTGTCCTGTCCATTTATAGCTGATTCTACACATTTCACGCTCGATTCTCTGACATTCAACCAAGTAGTCATAAGAGATTTTGACGAGGTTGAACAAAAGGGAAATACGTGCTGATGACAACAATTTACCCGAAAAGGGTATAATGAGAATTCAAATCCAATTTCTTTGAAAATTTCAATCCAAATAAGCGGTCATCTGGAAGACTTTGAGCTTTTGTTTTGTGGTTTTGTCCGTAGACCACGGGACAAATACTACTTGTCTGTTTTAGTACACAGTTTGTTCTTGATTAACGATAATTTATAAGATTTTCTGCACGAATTCCCATGAAAACGTCACCGATTGAACGGATGAGAAGACAAGTTCATTCCGGGCAGAAATCCCCACAAAATTTTGTGATAATATACAATGAAAAACGAAAAATTGCAGGCTACAGGGTCAGATTTGGTACCGATTTGGTACAGATTGGCAGACTTGCGTTCCCGGAATGGAAGGTCTTTGTTCTCAGAGCCCATCCGTCTGGAAGTGTGCTTCCAAAAACATCAAACAACATGCGTCACTTAATCCAGGCACAGTATTTGAGAGCTTCGACTTTCTAAGTTGACATTTGTGCCAAAGTTTTCCTTGCAATCTTCGAAGTCTTGTTGAGTTGAATTGTGAGAAAAATAAAAACCTTGAAACTCAAAAATCGAGTTTTCTAGTCTTGTTAAGTGCTCAGCTAAGAGAAAAGCAAAGAATATTCGGATTTGGGGCGATGAATGAGCCTTTTGAGGGATAAGGTGAAATTGCGGCTCGGATTTTACTTTTCCAATTCCTTCACTTCTTTATTATTATAGGTCTGTGTTGACACGAACTTTAATGTTTGATCATTTTTTTCAGGTTCCACTCTTCTTTTGTTAGATCTTTGCCGACCCTGCGAAATCGCTTGCCGAAATCCTTGGGATGAATCAAAAATTCCGGCTTGGTCCCCTGCGCACCATTCAAGGCACCTTGTGATCCAAGATTGGCCAGCGGAGTCAACTCACGTACGCTGAACCAGAATTGGCCGATTAAAAATCTGCTGAGTTTGTGTTATCCCCTAGGAGGCTTATAACTGGATTGGTTACCAGACTGACTCAGAGGGACACAAACTGATGTGAGGCCGACTTTCCGAACCTTGGGATGAATCAAAAATTCCCGGCAGCCCTTTGCGCACCATTCAAGGCACTTGTGATCCAAGATTGGCCAGCGGAAGCAACAACGTACGCTGAACCGAAATTGGCCGACTAAAAATCTGCTTTTTGGGTCTGTGCTACTCCGTAGGTGGCTTGTAGCTGGATTAGTTACCAGACTCACTCAGAGATTGACGTCACACCGCATGCACGATGTGACGCCGACCTTCCGACTCTTATGGTGAGGCCATTGGCCAGACGGCAAGTCATTCCCGCAAGCACAAAGAACGCACCAAAAAACCTAGGAGGTTTTGTTTACACAGTGAATCTTCTTTTGTTCTGAAAATGATTTCCAGATGAGAACACACAAATTAGGCGAGTTCAACAGTTAAACATTGAGCTAAAAACTCGCTAAACTCAAGTCTTCCACAAAATTTCCTTTCTAAAATATCGATGCTGAACTATTCCTTTTTGTTGTTGAAAGAGTCCTGTCAAAAATATGTTTGTCATAAAAATATGCATCTGTTTGTTTCAAGCTTTTTTTTTAAGTTCACTTTCCATCGTTTGCTCTTAAAACTTTGAAAACTTGAAGGCTATTGCTCCTCAAAGCATGCAATTATCAGTTTGATTACGATTACTTTACCCTTTTCCCTTTAGCAAGACAATTTCAAAGGCTCGCCTTTTCCCCGTGTCACTTGTTTATCAACGATTCTTTGTCGTTGTTGTTTATTTGAAGGGCAAATTATTTCCTTGGAGCAACAGAAATTCGATAATCTTGTATGAAAATCGATTTTCTTCTAAAAAGACTTCCAGGAGCGATCACTTCCAGGGACTTCCACAAACGACTTCCGGACAAGGAACACAGTTTTTGAGCGAAATCTCAAAAAAACCTTATAAACAATACATAATGAAGTATTTCGGCATTTGTCTGTCTCTTTTTTATCCCTGTCAACCTCCAGAAGCGGAAATTTACCTATTAAAATATGTTTTTTTAATGATATATTGTTAACGTATTGGTTTTGCGTTTAACAAGGTGTAGAAAGTGGCGGAGTAGTCCTCTGTATCCCAATGTTTTTGATTTGAAGTCAGTCAGTCAGAAATTATCTCTCCCAATTCCTACGATTCCTTTTTTGGGCCTTTTTTGGCTCATTGGTGTCGATCAGGCTCGTAACCAGCGGAAATTCAGTTGAAGTTCGAGTCATTTTCCGACCACCACCTCCAAACCGATCTTTTGTACTGATATTTAAGTTGAATGTCCTACAATCAAAGGATAAATTGATTACTTTAAACGACGGCTCAAAGTTGACTAGATTTGAAGTCAGTTGAAGTCGGAAAATCTTTTATTTTTCTTCACATGGCCAAAGCCATGTGATTGGTGAATTTCGTGGATGCAATAAACCCACCACTGGCAACCGCACTGGCCGCCACGAGATTTGTCTAGGGACAAGTGCTTCTTTAACTTTGATATTTGATGCTAGTTTCTGATGCATTTTTCTAGTACACTGTACAATAGAGAGTAGTCCCATCGTGTGACCTTTTCCTCATTTTCCTCAAATTTTTGACAATTTTGGAACAATTTTTGGCTTAATTAACGTGAGGGAGCACGAAATTCATCAGAGAAACAAACCCAAACTGAAATTTGGACAAAGCAAAGTGCGAAATTCAGCGACTTTTCAAGAACTTTAGATATTCAACCCGAAGCTTTCTAACTGACTTTTGAAAAAATAAAAGATTTTCCGACTTCAACTGACTTCAAATCTAGTCAACTTTGAGCTGTCGTTTAAAGTAATCAATTTATCCTTTGATTGTAGGACATTCAACTTAAATATCAGTACAAAAGATCGGTTTGGAGGTGGTGGTCGGAAAAATTACACCAGAATTCAACTGAACTTCGGCTGGCTTCAAATCAAAAACATTGGGATACAGAGGACCACTCCGCCACTTTCTACATCTGGCTAAACGCAAAAACAATACGTTAACAATATATCATTAAAAAAACATATTTTAATAGGTAAATTTCCGCTTCGTTTAAAGTACAGTCGACGCTCGATAGTAAATCACTTTTGAAAACTCCCGACAAAACGCGTAAGAAACTACGAGGGCAAAAGTTCGATAGTAAATCACTTTTGGAGAATCCCTTCAATGGCAAACACGTGTATTTAGCGCTTTGATCGTAAATCATTGATTTTTAAGCAAAATTTTGCATTTACAGCTGCTAAATTTACATTTTATTTACGATCCAACCAAAATATTTAGCCAAACGATTGAAATCGAAAGCAAAAAAAGAGCATTCTTGGCAAATTTCAATCATTCGAATCCATTTCATTACATATTATGGACAGTTTTTAGTAAGTGAATCCCATTGTAAATCATTAAGTTCGCATATTTGACTGTTGAGCTGGAGGGTGAGCTGGTCGACGAGTCATTCCCACTTCACGACCATGTACTTGTGGAGTCGACGAGTGGCAGTGCGAAGGCGAGACCACATCGAGGAGATGTCCGAAGATTCTTGGGCAAAGTCCCCATCGAGTCGGCCATTGAGGTAGTCCCAGTTCGCCAAAGTTCGCATATTTTACCATAAAAGCTTACCATAACTGCTTATGTGCTTACATTTGCTTTCATTTTTACATGATTAGGCAAAACTCTCGATAGTAAATCACTTGATAGTAAATCATTTTTGGAGAATCTCTTCAATGATTTACTATCGAGCGTCGACTGTAATCATTCGATTTATCGTTCGATTGTAGGACATTCAACTTAAATATCAGTACAAAAGGTATGTTTGGAGGTGGTGATCGGAAAAATGACTCTGAACTTGAACTGAATTTCCGCTGGTTACGAGCCTGATCGACACCAATGAGCCAAAAAGGCCAAAAAAGGAATCGTGGGAATTGGGAGAGATAATTTCTCACCCAAATACAACTCTTTCTATTGCCAATAAACATTTGCAGAAAAGTTCTCCACAAGCTGAAATTGAATCTTTGAAATCAAGCCGATTTTTCTATCAATTAACTTTCGATTTCTATCTATATAATCCTTTTTTCTCGTTTTTTTTCTTCTTTTTCCTAGTTTTTCCTAGTTTTTGCTCGTTTTTTCTTGTTTTTGTGAGACTTTTAAAGCGCACTTTGGGTAATTTATCACAAAAAAACTCTCGAAAATGGGTGAATCGAATTTTTTCAGTTTTCTAAAACAAAATTGAAGTAAAAAAGTAAAAAAAAAATGCAAAAATTTCGACTGTTTTTAAATGTTCTGGAGTTCTCGAGTTGTTGACATTGAAAAATCTTTTGAAATCTTTTGAAAAATCAGATATCAGTGCTTTGATCGACAAAAAGAAATGACAGACAAAACGATAAACGAAAGCGAGAACACGATCATGATATTGTGCATGTTTCTGGTGGGTGATCGTTTTCAGAAAACCTCTTTTTGACAGAACTTTTTATAGAACTTTTCACAAATCATTTTACAGATTGGACTCACTGGCGTCCTACTGGGAATCAATGGGCTGATTGTCGTCAGGAAAAACAGCTTTTTGAGAGGTTGCCTCTTTTTCCAACTTTTTATAAAGCTTATAAAGTTGTTTATAAAGCTTATAAAGTTGTTTATAAAGCTTTTGAAGTTGTTTATAAAGCTTATAAAGTTGTTTATAAACCTTATAAAGTTGTTTATAAACGCTATAAAGTTGTTTATAAAGCTTATAAAGTTGTTTATAAAGCTTATAAAGTTGTTTATAAAGCTATAAAGTTGTTTATAAAGCTATAAAGTTGTTTATAAAGCTTATAAAGTTGTTTATAAAGCTTATAAAGTTGTTTATAAAGCTTATAAAGCCTTATAAAGTTGTTTATAAAGCTTATAAAGTTGTTTATAAAGCTATATAAAGTTGTTTATAAAGCTTAATTGTTTATAAAGTTGTTAAAGTTGTTTATAAAGCTTATAAAGTTGTTTATAGAAAGCTTATAAAGGCTTGTACCCCTTATCCTTATAAAGTTGTTTATAAAGCCTTATTACTGTTCCTTTTTTATCGTTTTCTTAAGGTAAATTTAAGCTTTCGAAGGGAAAAGATTTGACGTTTTTTATCGCCGATTTTCTAGGTATTGTTCGCCACTATTTATATGTGGATCTCACCAACTTCATCCTCATTAATGGCTGCCATTTGACGTGGGGAGTCCCGTGTGCACTTTGGTGAGTTTTTTTTGAATAAATTGGGGAATACGAGTTTGAAGTTTACTTTTAGCAACGAGCTTTTAAAAGAGTAACTAGTTTTATTTGACTGCTTAAATTGAAGCATTTCGATATGAGAACCGGTTTCGGTGCAAAACCAGAATCAATCGGTTGGTTTCAATCAACTTCTGAAAATGATCGGAACCGATAGAGCCTATGAACAGTTTCTGATCAACTTTTAATCATTTCGATTCAGTTTCGAATCTATAGACTCTTGCCTTTGAATCTAGAGATTCGTTCGTTCATTTTGAAACCGATTGAGCGTTCGGTTTGGTTCAAAACTGGTTTGAATCACCAAATTTGAATTTGATTTGAATTCGGTTTGAATCACTAAATTTGATTTCGGCTTGAATCACCAAATTTGAATTCGGCTTGCATCACCATAAAACTAGTGAAAAAGGTGCTAACATCGGAGCGTCGCTTTGAACCGAAAGCCGACCGATCCGAAACCCAAAAGTCGATCGTTTCCAATGTAGAATTTGTGGAAAACGTACAATCAAGATTCGACTCTACAATCATATTTAGGTCTCTCGATTCACTCTCGGCCGTGAACTACATCTTCTCCGATATTGTCAACGGAGCATCAAGCATGGGATCTTTGCCAAAGGTCAGCTTTTCCCATCAATCTGAATACAGCTCTAGAAAAAAAATACTTGAGCTAAATTGAGTTTCGTTCAGCTTTTTCTCGGTATAAATCGCATTCTCGCAATCTCTTTCGGCGGCCGCTATCATGATCGTTTTGAGCGAACGAAATGGTTTCAATATTTCTTGATGGCATTTTGGCCATCGTGCACGATGACCGCTTTTGCGATGCGTAAGATTTTTGCTAAGATTTAAAAGTAAAGATCAGTCAATAAAGCTGTTTGTCGGCGAGAAGTTCTCCGCAAACTGAAATTGAATACTGGAAATCAACCCGAGCTATGTCTTTTTAGCCGATTGTCATGCTATTTTCGTGCCCAATGGTCAGAACTTCTTTTTTGTTCAAAATACACCATGTGCTCTGGATGTGATGTACTATACACAGGTAATGGCCAGGGTATTCTAGAGTACCAGGCTATTCTAGAGTACCGAGCTATTCTAGAGTATCATAGTATTCTAGAGTACTAAGCTATTCTAGAGTACTAAGCTATTCTAGAGTACTAAGCTATTCTAGAGTACTAAGCTATTCTAGAGTACCAGGCTATTCTAGAGTACCAGGCTATTCTAGAGTACTAAGCTATTCTAGAGTACTAAGCTATTCTAGAGTACTAAGCTATTCTAGAGTACCAGGCTATTCCAGAGTATCGGGCTATTCTAGAGTATCAAGCTATTCTCGAGACTTTGCTAGATAATAGCAGATTTTGGTACTGTCTTTTCGTCCTTTTTCATACTTCTGTTTAAAACTCAAAAACCCAAAATCCATTTACCTAAGGTTTACGCCAAATAAAAAGGCTTTTATGATTCAATTTTCTAGCTTTTTAGACTAATTTACATCCGTTTCCAGGCAAATCCAAAAGCGAAAACGGAATTTTTCGTAATAAATTCATAAAAATGCCTACGAAGAAATAGGCTGAATCGATTTCTCTGAAAATTTGGCTATATACCAAACTTTTTATGCTCTATCTTTTCTCTATTGACACGAAAATAGGTTTGCTTAGCTATAGTGTCTAAACCACATCATCGAACTTTGGCCCTTTTTGGCTACCCGACTTTTCGCGCCCAAAAAAACTTCACACATAAGAAATTTGAAATCCGTTTTAATGTTATTTTGCAGAAAAATAATTCGCCTTTCTAAAGAAACAAACCGTAGTTCCATTGGGACATTTATTGTTTTGAAAGGAATTATGAAAAAGGGTGAAAAGATCTTGATCTATCAGTTTTGAAAAAACAAACTAAAAGATCTGAAAAGATCATTATTATCAAAAGATCACAAATAGCGAAATAATTAGCGAAAAAATGGTGTTAAGTGGAAGGCTATTGATCTAAAAACCCGGCTTAAAACGGCTGATTTTTTGATGTTTTAAAAATCGATTGAATCAAACGGTTCAACTGAAATCAACTGATCAAGCCGTTGCTGAGCTTCTATCGATTTTTCAGAGCCAATAGAAAACGCCAATTTCTTGATCGTACTTGATGAATTTCTTTCCAATTTGCTCTTCTTTTCCATCAATTTCTTTCCAATTTGCTCTTCTTTTCCACCAATTTCTTCCAGGTTCTCGCTCCATATATCTTCCTCCCATTGTCGACTTTCTTCGACGCATCTGTGTTTATCATGATGCATCGACGCGTTCGACAACTCACAAGAAGTCGACAACAAATGAGCTATCAAAAGTCGGATCAATTGAGAAAAGAATACAAGTTGGCTGCGCAGGTGGAAACTTTTCATTGCTGGGGAAATTTCAAAATACTAAATGCAAAATCGTAAATGCAAAATCGTAAATATTGGGTTGTCCAGTTATGAATGTGCGTTTTTTACTATTTTGTAAATTTCTCAAGATACCGAAAGCAAGAAAAAGATATATATGAGTATTATTCGAAAGCTAAAGATCTCCTCTACATTTTGATATAAAAAGCTTTTGAATTTGTTGAGCTTTTGGGCAAATTGACTGCAAAGAAGAAGAGGTGGCCAAAAAGTGGAAGGGTGCCTTTGGATCAAGTTTTGGCTCCTCTCAAATTGAGTTAACCGTTTGATGTTTGGCCAATAGATATATCAATACAACTTTTTTTTAAATATAACAATTTTAGAGCATCTTTACTTTTCTTTTCTTTTCTGGGCGGTTATTTTACACCATAAAACTTGAGGAATAGCTAAGCTGAAATGGGTTTTTTCGAAAACGATCTCTCCCTTTGTGCAGTCAATTTCTCAAAAAGTTGATTGAATTCAAAAACTTTTTTATTCCAAAATGTAGAGGAGATCTTCAGCTTTCGAATGATATATAAAACGCATATACATCTGTTCGATATCTTGAGAAATTTACAAAATAGTAAAAACGCGCATTCATAACTGGACAACCCAATAAAAGCTTTGTGAATGGAAAACAAATCAGTTTTCTTTTTTGAGACGAAATGAGACATTTTTCAATGTTGTCGATGTTTTAGATGTTAATTTAGATGGTCACCAACATGTTTTCGGGTTTCACCGTGACATTTGCCGTAGCGATCGGCCAAAATTACATCAGCTCGCCGATGCCGAGTTTTCTGATGTGGACAGCGTTGTGGCAAGGCTGTTGTGCGGTGCAATGGTGGGTCCGGAAATAAACTGAAACAGTGAGAACAATCATTTCAAACAACAAAACAGCCCTGAGAACAATCATTTCACTTTTCTCACGGTAAAATGACCGTTTTCAGCTTAACCTATGTGATTTTGCTTCGAGAAGTGCGGCCAAGCGAAAGAAAAACGCAGCCGATTTCAACCGTTTCAATGCAAACGACAATCCGAGTTGATTAGGGAAAATAAAAATTGCGATTTTGCTGCTCTGTTCAACACTGTTTTAGAATAAACTTGTACTTGTTCTATAAAGAAAATCAATGTTTACTAGGTTCTAATTTCAAAAGTTGTGTATGTTTGTTTGCACCTATTTGGTTGGGGAGAAAGTTCCGACCGATTTTTTTGGAAAATTGTCTTAAACTTATCCGATTCGATCGTGTAATAGCTCATTCGAAAGCTCATTATCTAGCGGATTCAATAGAAAAGACCGTTTGTCGATTCGTCAACTTTCAAAGTTTTTGCAGCCATTTTACTTAGATGTCTTTAAACCCAAATTTCAAAAAAATGCACTTTATTTGTTTTTTTTTATGAAAACCTGTGCTGAAATCATGTTTTTCGGAATCAGCATTAAAAATTACCATCAAAAGACATCAAAAGACATCAAAAAACATCAAAAAACCAAGGTTTTGTGGTAATCCGGGGGTCAAGGGTTCGATTCCGGGTCAAGCCAGTTTAAAAAAAATATTTTTGCTAAAAAACAATTTTATTGCATTCTAAAGTAATTTTAATGGTTTTTAAATGGTTTTGAATGGTTTTGAATGGATTTGAATAGCCCGGTACTCTAGAATAGCCCGCTACTCTAGAATAGCCTGATACTCTAGAATACTCTGATACTCTAGAATAGCCCGGTACTCTAGAATAGCCTGATACATTGCATCCTAGGGTAATTTTTAATGCTGATTCCGAAAAACATGATTTCAGCACAGGTTTTCATAAAAAAAACAAATAAAGTGCATTTTTTTGAAATTTGGGTTTAAAGACATCTCAGTAAAATGGCTGCAAAAACTTTGAAAGTTGACAAACCGACAAACGGTCTTTTCTATTGAATCCGCTAGATAATGAGCTTTCGAATGAGCTATTACACGATCGAATCGGATAAGTTTAAGACAATTTTCCAAGAAAATCGGTCGGAACTTTCTCCCCAACCTAATATAAAAAAATGAAAAAGTGTGCAATGTAGAACTTTTATTTCTCTAACGGATAGTATGATCACATATCGGCCCAAAACGATTTGGGTCTCTGCAGTTTTAAAGAAAATTAGAGAGTTTTCACTATGCTTTGAGATTTTTGACCGGCTCGTTTCAATTCCGAAAGACTATAGGATAAAGAAAAAGGAAAAATGAAAGTAAAACTCTGAATTCAATAAATTCAATAAATTCAATAACGAATTAGACCATAACAAATCAAAAAAAATCGGATTGACTAGTTTTGAATGAATTTCAATGGGTTTGAATGAATTTGAATGGATTTGAATGGATTTGAATGGATTTGAATGGATTTGAATGAATTTGAATGAATTTGAATGGTTTTGAATGAATTTGGATGGATTTGAATGGTTTTCAATGGTTTTGAATGGATTTGAATGGATTTGAATGAATTTGAATGGATTTGAATGGATTTGAATGGATTTGAATGGATTTGAATGAATTTGAATGGATTTGAATGGATTTGAATGGATTTGAATGAATTTGAATGGTTTTGAATGAATTTGGATGGATTTGAATGGTTTTCAATGGTTTTGAATGGATTTGAATGAATTTGAATGAATTTAAATGGATTTGAATGGATTTGAATGGATCATTTTCCCATCATTCCGCCGCTCATTGCACCCTGCCTTGCCATCATCATCTGATTTCGCATCTGCATCATTTGCATTTGTTGTTGCATCATCTGCATTCGCATCCTTGAATTTGAATGGAAATTGTAGAAAAAGCTGATCTTGAATGAGCTTAAATCAGCCAAAGTTCGATTCACATTTTTTACGGTAACCTTTTTTGTTAATAGTGCAATTCGTAACTTTTCATAGGTCGGAAAATTATAAACTTTTATGAAAAGAACTATCGACGAATGGAATGAGCTCAAATCAATGCTAGAAATGCTGAAATGATCAATGCTTGATGTTCAAGGTTAGTTGAAGTAGAAGTTTCAGGTGAACTTTTGGCTCTTAAATCTTAAATCCTAGTCCTGACATCTCTTTCAATGTTTGAGCATTGTGGAGCGTCGAAAACCCTAATCTTCACTTTAACTCGGCACTAATTTTGTCTTCTAAGAGACGGGCTTCTGGAAAAACTTAAAGTCCGACCAGAGGCTGACTCTGGCTCATTTTCTGCTCTGTTCAACTGTTTTTACAATAAAATTTACAATAAAACTCACTGCATAAACTGCATTCTCATCCCAATATTTTGCGTCGGATTTCCCACTGAAAAATTTTATGAAAAATTGATTTTCGTCATTAGTTTTGGGCCTCGCCATGGTATTGATAGCTTTTTTGGCTTTGAGAGGCTCGATTGATTTGTTCAATTTGGACCCAACTCTCCTACTTTACTAACTTAAAGCACGTTTCACAATCAAAAAAGGCTGGTCCAGGTCAGGCCGATAAGTGAAATTTAGTTGACCAACCCACCCAATTACACAATTGACCCCCTGACACAATTTGACCTGACCCATTGACACAAATTGACACACCAACCAATTAAATTGACACAATAATTGACCCAATTGACAATTGACACAATTGACACAATTGACCCAATTGACCCAATTGACACAATTGACCCAATTGACACAATTGACACAATTGACCCAATTGATTTGGTTTAGTTTTGGTTCGATTTTGTTTGGTTCGGTTCGATTTGGAACCGATTGACCATTCCACCGGTTGAATCGACAATTTTGAATTTCACTGAACCTAAATTTATTAAAATCTACCAAGACATTGAGGAAGCTCACTCCCATTAACAAACTATCAGTAGTTAGACTTAAAAGCGAATTGAAAACGAATTGAAAACGAATTGGAAACGAATTGGTTCTCGGTTCTTCTGTTTAGTGGAATCTGGCCTAGACCGGTTTTAGAATTCGACAGTATTTCGAGAAAAGAAATAGAAATTTCCAACCGAAACCCTGTCTAAGAAAGTCCGAAATCCTGTCATAAACGTACTTCCTGTATATTGAGCAGAAAGAACAGAAATTGAGAACAGAAATAGGATAGTGAAAATGAGGAGTCGATTGTAGGACATCTTGGCACTGAACGTACTGTCAAATTGAAAAATGAGGCGAAAAATGAAAAAAGTAAAATTACTTTTTTCATTTTTCATTAAGACAAGGTCGCTCTTCAAATGGCAACAATCCACCAAAAGAAAAAACGAAACGAAAGCAGTAGCCAGTAGTTTTTCTCTGGAGATTTTATTATTTATGCTTTAATCATAAATTTTAGATGTCTGATCAGCGTACTGCAATCATTAAACTTTACGAGAGACGGAAAGGAGCAAAATTGGAGCAAAAGAAATTGGAGATCTCGTTTACATGCACCGCTACACCGTTTACAAAGCGATACACTCCGACAACTCTTCGTGGACTTTCCAACAAAATGAGACATAAAGCACATAAAGCACATAAAGCAAAAGAGAGGCAGAGCTGGATCAGCGCCAACTTTCCTGATTGCATTTGAGTTGATATCAGTCCAAAGCACCAAACCGGTGAGATATTTTCCACTTTTTCTTCCGATCTCTGTTTTAAGGCGAGTGGCCATCGAATTCACTGGATTTTAATCCGATAGACTTTGCTGTTTGGGGCATTCTGGAGACCAAAATCTGCGCGAAATCCTATGACTCGATCGAATCTCTGAAGCGAAGCTTGAATGGCTCGAGATACCGATGGAAACGATTGCCAAAATCATCGACAATTTCATTCTTGAGTTCAAAGCTTGCGCGAAATCTCATTACTCGATCGAGTCTCTGGAACGAAGCTTGAATGATACCGAAATGATCCGAAATACCGATGGAAACGATTGCCAAAATCTTCGACGATTTCCCAAAACGTTTAAGGTGTGTAGCTGCAAATGGCGGACATTTTGAGTCAAAATAAATCTGACTTTATTTTGTTATTCTCTGTTAAAAATAAATGTTAAGTGGAAACGAACTTTCCTCGTACCCTGTACTTTCGGGGATAGAACGTACACGTAATCCTACGTATTGTACTCAAGAGAAAAGCGTTGTACAGAGAAAATCACGTACTGTACATCACGCTTTAAAGATCCAGTCAAATAGTCGCTTTGAAGAACTCGATAATTTCACTTCGTTTGATCAAAGCCTAAGCCTAAGCCTAAGCCTAAGCCTAAGCCTAAGCCTAAGCCTAAGCCCAAGCCTAAGCCTAAGCCTAAGCCTAAGCCTGAGCCTAAGCCTAAGCCTAAGCCTAAGCCAATCGAGATCTATTTCTAACGATTTGCTCTCCAGCCTCACCAAAACTCGATTTCCCTAAATTCATTTTATTCATTTCGATTCTCTATTCGTTAAATCGATTTACAATAAACTGCAGTACACAAAATGAAAATTAAATAAAAGAGTTTCGAATGAAATTTTGCAGATCTCACAGAAAAAAGTGCTCATTTGGGTAAATTGGGATTTAAAAACACGAATCAGACCTTGAATTGTATGAAAAAAGGCGTTTTTGAAAAGTTGAAGGCTTCACTGATAGATTTAGATGATTTTTTTTTCGCTTTTCTATCCTAATTCATCAAAAAAACAAACAAGAAACTGTTTTCGTAAAGAATAGCACAAATATTTTTGATCTAAACTGACTGCTTTGAGTGCCAAGGCTGACAAAAAGAGTATTTTTGAGCAAAAAGAGCACTTTGGCATGAGCACAGTAATGAAAGAGAATGTTTTTGAGAGAAACTCCCGAACGGAAAGCCCATGGATTGGATTTGGTTTCGTCTTTGCTCATTTATAAACTGATAAGAGATCGCGAACACCGATCTCGAGATAGAAACTCGCTAAATAAAGATAGTTGTGTCTCGAAAAACAAGAAAAATGAAACTTTTGGCGTATAATGTACAACAACCCACGCACAAGAGCAACAAAACGAAAACCAAGAACCGAAGCAATCATCCCAAACTACTCAACTTTTCACGTCCGGACTCGCGAGAGATATTCACTCTTAATTCTTAACAATTCTTAATTCACCGTGTTCTTTGTAACAATTGAAATCTAAGCTTTTGGTGTAATTTCTGAAATGTTGAATAGAAAATACGAAAAAGGCGCTCAAAGCTAATGCACTGAACATTTCCCGCACATTTCTCAACCAAAATTCCATTGACGTTTGGAGAATTTCAAAAACAGCTCCAACTCTCTACTTAAGGTAAACGGGGAATTCTCTCTCAAGAAATAAACGCGATAATCAAAATCAAAAGCCAAAATTTCAGCTTCAACTCGTCACCATTCCATAGTCCATTGTCACGAAAGCCTCGAAATTTGTAAGTTTTTGTTAGAATTCTTTAAAAATTCAAAATTGAGGCCTGCTTCACAAGATGAAGAAAAACAAGCAGTTGACCTGTTGAAGATTTGCCGGGCTAATGAGTGGGTGAAAATTTTAAGCAATGAAATCAAAAATCAACTTTTCAGGCAGAAGTTGATGCTCCTCATTGACAGCAAGTCGGTTTTTGCAATTTCTATTTACCTTTATTTTCCTTTCAGTCCTTTTGTTTAGATATGTAAATATCCATAGGATTTTTTTTTAATTAGAAGATTAATATAATTTTTTTTCGATGTTCATAAAGTCAAATTTTTACCCAGCTCACCTAATCACCAACCAGGTAAGAAAATATTGATTCATAAGGAACAATTGATCGCAAACAATCTGTAGATTAAAGCCGAAAAGCAAATTGTAAACGAATTGATTGAGGTAAGTGAGAATCGTGTCCAAAAGAGCGAGCACAGAGTTGGAGATCATCTGGAAAAGGAAAGAGTCAAGTAATCCACAAAACCAAGGGTTTTTTGCATTTGTGCCTAGGCTAGCAATAGGTTTCTTCATAAAGTAATCTATAGTCAATGTTTTGGTTCCTAGTTTCTTTTAGCTTTCAACTAACCGGTACCGTTGTTTCAAACGAATCAGACCAGGCTTCTCGCTGGCTCTGGCTTTGCCTGACCTGTTTTGCCTGGAAAATTGCCTTTCCAAAAATTATCCTGTCCGGAAAATTCCCTGCTAATCAAGGAATCCTTCACAATCAGATTGGTATTTGAAAATCGAATCAAGCCCTCCTACGATCCACTTAAATGATCTGTAAGTCAAGATGTAAAAGTTGAATCAACTTCTGGTTACTTTCATTAAAATCTACATTAAATTTGGCAATTAGCAAATCCAAATTAAAAATTTGCATAAATTTTCCCGTTTGTCTGCCTGCTTTTAATGCATGCACAATTGCAGTTTTCTGGTGCATTGGACTCAATCAAATGGCGTGCAAAAAGAGTTGTAACTTGTACAAAAACCTACGATGGGGTCTTCTGTAAAGTGACGTTTAGTAGTTTAGGGTTGATCCCAATTAACATGATCTTGCAGCTTAACTCTCATTTCGTTGAGCCCGTTGGAAGGATTCGGCTCACTTCGGGCCGAGACGGGATCAATGAGACAATTCAAAGACCGGACCTGACCGAATCGGTGCCCAAGTTTGCTATTCATTGTTGCTATTATTTGCTATCGTTTACTATTATTCAAAATACTAAGCACCTCGTTGAAAAGTGGTGCTGATAAATGTTTGAATTGTTGACATTGTGTTGCAAAAATATTCCTGTCGAAATTGGCCATTTCACCTAAAAATGAACTCTAAAGTGACCTATTCGATCGCTCCTCCACCACTGAGCAAGTATTCCCCGGCGAACTTTAGTTTCAAAACACAACTGACCGGTGTCTCGAGAAATGGGCCACCCTAGCAATTTCATTAAAAAGACATTAAAAAAGACATTAAGGAAAAAAAGTCTACCTTGTAAATAGTAATATGACGGACAGTGTAGAGTTTTCGTGCACCAATTCCAATAGGAGCACATTTACTCGACTAACTGAAAGGCGGTGGTTGTTCGTGCGTGTGATGCTTGCTTTAGTCAGTCCTACTCCAGGCTATCGGCTCTTAGTTTTGATAGAGTTGTGCTGGAATGCCATCGGTGACCGAAAGACCGAGGAAAAATGACGGAAAGAAAGCAGATTCAACACGAAAAATTGAGACTCTCAAATTCTCTTGTTCTCCTCAAAATTACTCTTTCTTTTTTTTCTTCTCAGGCAGATTTTTCCTGGCATTCCTGCCTTTTTCTTGGCATTCCTGCCTTTTTCTTGGCATTCAAATCTGATCAAAAATGACTCAGCCAGTCTCAAACGAAATTTGCCTACCGCTTTTTCAACGACTCAGCCCCTCCCGGAATAGTACAGTACTCCCTATACCGACCAGGAATTCGACTCCTTATTTTGAACAATTCAATTATATCGGATGCCTTTAACACATTCACGATAAGGTTTTTTTATTTTTATAGCTATTTTCCTTCCAGCTTGTCGAAAAACGCTCACAGGCAACGGATTTATTTAAGAGTCAAAATGAAGAGAAATGTTTAAGGATCTGAAATCTTCTAAGATCTTATCTGAAAATTATTCGAAAAAATATTGAGTCTGAAGAAAGTTCCGAATGTTTTTGTTTTAGGATGAGAAATTTCCCGGGTCACCGATAATCAATTTGCATTCAAACGTGTATAACTCTAACTGTAATCTAAATCGGACGGAAATCTAAATCGGACACAACATATATATATATTTGTTTATTCAGAACCTGAGATAAAATGCGCTAGATTTAAGATTAAAACACATGAATTCATACATATAACACGAAAAGGGCCGATAAAAAGCAACACGATATAATACGATATGTATAAAGAAAATAAAAAGAAATTTGAGAAAATATAAAGAAATTATAAAGAAAATAAAGAAAATTTGTTAACAAGATAAAATCAACCAGAAAAAAAAATTATTTGCAGGGCTGTTCCTGGAGCTGATTCTCAAAGCCAAGCCAAACCCAAGGTTTTCGACAAAAATGTTGAATGTGGAAATTATAGGTCAAGGCCATTGACTTTAGCTTGGCTTTTTTGGTTTTTGTGACATTTTCAAAGAGGAAACGAACCGAAAAATAAAGATTTTTTTCTTTTCCACTATTCCCAACAAAATCATCCGGTGTCCAAATCATCAAAAAACATATTGTGCTTCCACAATCAAACAGTTTATTTGTTGGCCGGTTTCTGGTAGATATATCGTGCATTCCCTCGATTATTTTCTGTTGAATAGTAGAAAATCTTTGTCTGGTCGATGTCTGTCGCCTCATAGCACATCTAAAGAAATAACATCTTAAAGACATAAAATATATAACCCTGCCATGGAAATTATCTTCCCTAAAGTTCATTTTAAGAAAAATGATTTATGATCCTCTAGATTCCGATCATCAAAGTGTAACCTTGCGGTCAATACGGTAAAATGAATGAGACCGTGGGTGTCAATAATTTTTCCAAATAAACAAAACTGATGTTATTCGAGGGGCTGTTCCTAGAGCCGATTCTCCAGAGCAAACCAACCAAAAGTCAGATTTCAGGTGAAAATCGGGGATAGACTTAAAAATCGAGACCAAAGCTTTTTAGGACACCCCTGCAAAAGCATTTGTAAGGAAGAAACGAACCATAAGATAGCTATTTCTTGTGCTTGGTTCTTCCGTCCTAACGTAATCATCCGGAGTTCCATCACTGTACGTCCTCTTCCCATCCACACGCCGCAATCCGAACCAAACGTAGAAACCGGTGCCGGAGCATCCATCTGCTGGAGTCGCTTTTGGGTTATTTTTTCGGAAAGTCGAGCTGATCATTTCTGAAATCATTTTCGATTGAAGCCCAAATCAGATGGTATAACAAGCACCCAACAAACAAATCCTACGGGCTCTTCGAATCTCATTCTCTTCAGTTAAGCCTGTCTCCCCTCTCTCCAAACGCCTCCTTTGCCCCCGTGCTTCCCATAAACCCTGTACATCATTTCTCTTTCTTCGCTCTCTTGAAAAGCTTCTATTCTATACACTTTTGAGGTTCGCGTCCAATTGTCCATTCTCAAAAGTTGATGGAAAGTTTATACCTTTCTCTTCATAGTTTTATGCACTTTCCCAAAAAAAGCAACAGTCAAAATCGACTTTACCTCTGATGTCAAAATGGCTTTTTCAATTTCTTTAATTCAATTCGGCTGGGTGCCATAGTAAAGCTTTACTTCTCATAAATTCCAGCTCAACATATGAATGGATAGACGCCAAGTGGGCACCGCTTCTTGTACACTCCTTCTCGGCTGTTTCCCACTTATACGTGTTCAACTGTCCCTCATCATTGTAAGTGATATCCTCAAAAAATAAAATAATATAACTGTAATTTTTGTTGCTTACATGATAAAAGTAGCAGGAGTCAGTTTCGTTTAAATGCGTCCACCCAAGACCGCATTTCCCTTCGAATGATTGAGGGACTGGACAAGCGGAGGGCTTTTTTATCGGAGTTTCTGAAAATTTGACTTTATGAACATCGAAAAAAAATTATATTAATCTTATTTAATTAAAAAATTTTAAGGACAAGTTTAATTCCTCACTTTTCCGACTCCAGGAGCAGAACTTTTTTCTTCGTTTCGACAAGTTGAGCTTGTGTTGTACCCCCTAAAGTTTACAAATCTATTAAAATGTTACATTTGGATAAGAAGTAACTAAATTTTGAAATAAGAGATAACAAGATAAGAAATAACTAAACTGCGACCAAATTCTCAATTGAACTTCTTACTTTTCTGTTTCCAATCTCCCAATAAGTGTTATTGCTTTTTTGTGCTCAGCATCGGCTGTGAGCCTAAATTGGATTTTCATTTTCTTTTTTCTTCTCCACCCACTTCTCCTCCTTTAGCGCTTTGTTATTGGCCACACAGATGGTCAGATTTTGTTTGAAAACTTCACAATCACTTCTAAACAAAAGACAAAATTGATTTAATGAATCAGTTTTTTAATCCCTAATGGACCATCCAACTACCATTTTTAAAATTCTCATTCTCAAAAGAGCTCATTTTCATGGCTTTATGGACATTTTATATATGTAACAAAAGGACTGAAAGGTAAATAGAAATTGCAAAAACCGACTTGCTGTCGATGAGAAGCGTCAACCTCTCCCTGAAAAGTTGATTTTTGATTTCATTGCTTAAAATCTTCACCCACTCATTAGCCCGGCAAATCTTCAACAGGTCAACTGCTTGTTTTTCATCTTCTTGTGAAGCAGGCCTCAATTTTGAATTTTTAAAGAATTCTAACGAAAAACTGACAAATTTCGAGCCTTTCGTGACAATGGACTGTGGGATGGGGTCGAGTTGAAGCTGAAATTTTGGCTTTTGATTTTGATTTGATCAAATCTCCAGTTTTCTTGTACTTTTTTATAAGACCTTAATAAGACTATTCTCTAGTTAAAAATTCAGATCAAAATCTTCCCAAAAATTACTCACCTCTTTTCAACAAGTAAGCTACCAATAATTCCGAGAAAAATTCCAATGAATATACCAAACAAAAGAGTTTTGGTGTTATATGGTTTTGGAGTCAGGGTTTTTGATCTAGAATTTACGAAAAAGTGATAGAGTTAAACTGTTTGAACTTACGGTGATTGGGGCAGCAATTCGAATTGTGCAACACCCATTTTCAAGATCGAAATGATAAATCCATGGGAAATCGAGGGTTTAAGAGCGAGAAAAAGATGATAGGACAAATTGGTTGAAATTCTTCGCCTTTTAGTTGGGAGAAATTATTACGCAACTTTTCAAAAATCTCTGCGAGTATCTCTGCAAACTGATTGATTGCCTGGACTTTTCAATCATCGGAGATAAAATTTCTCCATAAAATTTCCTTACCAAGGAATTCTCAAAGGGAAAAGTTTACATTTGTTTTGTCTTGCTTTTACTAAAATCTTGCTTAAAAATCTAAAACCATGATGGTAAAATTCCAAGATTGAAGTGATTTTCTGATTGAAGTGACAGGATTGAAGTGGCTTTCTCAGGTGATAGGAACACATTGATGATTGCCAAAGATGAAGAAACTGATCGAACATTTATTTTTATATAAACCTTTTTCGCATTTCACGATTCGGATTCGAGATATTCGATTGCATATGTCAGTAACAAGACCTACCCTGAGTATAGCCTGGCTTGAGCTGCCTACAAAATTTTCTAAGCTCTTGATGCTATGAAAACTATTGATATCTTTCGCTTTTTCTAGTCAATTTTTATTGAATCTCTTCGGGGAGTATTTCTATTGTTCGAAAGTCGTTCGGAAATGAGAGTACAAGCCGACCCATAAAAACGCTAGGAAATTGAAAATTTCGATACAAACTAAGTACATACAATCCAAATCTATGAGAGATTAGGCAAATAATGTAAATTACGTTATTTTACTGTAGCTGTTGTTATTGTTATTGTTGTTGTTGTTGTTGTTGTTTAGTTTCTCGGCGTGGCTGTTACCGTGACGGTTCGCTTGGCTTTCCATGGTGATCTCTTCCGCAACGCAAATCCGCTGATCACGCTAAAATTCTATTTAAAACATTATTGTGTCATATTTTTTATTTACTGACTTATTCTGACAGCCTACTCCACCCTTTTTATCTTTTTAACAAGCCAAAGTAGCCGTTTTTACCCAGCTCACCTAATCACCAAGCAGAAAAGAAGATATTGATTCATAAGGAAGAATTGAACGCAAAGAATTGGTAGATTAGAGCCGAAAAGCAAATTGTAAACGAATTGATTGAGGTAAATGAGAATCGTGTCCAAAAGAGCGATCACAGAGTTGAAGATCATCTGGAAAGGGAAAGAGTCAATGAATCAACAATTTATATCCTCAAAACAAAGCGTTTTTTTGCATTTGTGCCTAGTCTAGCAATAAATTTCTTCATAAAGTAATTTAAAATCAATGTTTTGGTTCCTAGCTTCTTTTAGCTTTCAACTAACCAGTACCGTTGTTTCAAACGAATCAGACCAGGCTTCTGGCGGGCTCTGGCTTTACCTGACCTGTCAAATTCGAGAGTGAATTTGAACCGGGCCATAAACGTGCTCACTCTGCAGTACTCACTACGTCTAGGGAACCGTGTACAAGCCTTGAAGATGTATGCTAAAAGAATTTAGGTTAGATATTTTACGATTGTAAGCCATTCTGCAGACAATTTTTTACAAATTAGAAATCTATCTAGTTCTATGGAACGAGCCAGGTCTTAAAACTCAATAATGACTCGCCATTCTACAAAATCGTAATATCTCGGGTTCTTGAGCCAGGTTTAGTTACATTATGAAAATTGCTTCATATTTGAGAAATACTTTGTAGATACATTGCAATATCCATGAATATTTTAGCGCATAAACCTTACTTCGTTAATCCTTGATGAAACGAAGTACATTTTGACATGACTTTCCGCCAAGAAGAGCTTTTGTTGGATATCAGCTAAACGAATCATCAGCGCTGGGCGGTGATCATTCTCGTCAACGTGCCCAATGACAGCAAACATTGAGAAACGAATATCCTGAACTATCAATTTCCATCGCAATCCTACCATTTAACCTATCTTCTCTTCTTTGGTCTCAACATTTTCGAAAGAATCATGCCGGCAATGATTGTGTAGAGAAAACTACCAAATACCAATTGGAACATCCACAAAAAGTAAGCTGACGGGCATTCATTTGTGATGTATCTAGAGTTTAGCTTATTGGTACTGATCCAAAAAGAATTTTTACAAAAAGGTCAAGACAAGACTCGATCAGAACCAGACTTTGGCTTCGTCTTTCCTGGTCTTTCTTGATCCACAAAAACAAAAAAAAAATTATTGTTACTAACTCGTCATCAAATCCTACCTGTAATCGTGTGCTGACTTTCCACACTGAACATAAAAGCCCCGACAAATGAGCTTACATTTGAGATGCACTGTCTTGGTCTCTGAAAATTCACCATGACTTTAAAATGAAAGCTTTTTAGATCGTAGTAAATTGTACCGTATCAAAAGCGTAAATTTAATTTTTATTGCTCGTCGAATACAGCCGTCAAACATTCGCAAGCAGAAAAAACTCGTCAAACCGAAAACGCTTACAGCGCTTCGGCTCATAGCAAAGAAGAAAATGAATATTTATTTGGGTGGTAACATTGGTGGTAACATCTGGATTGTTCTATCGGTGGGTGTGGATATGAAATTTAGATCAAAATCTGAGCCCAAATCTTGCAGCTAATGGCAGCGATGGTCATGGAATGATCAGAAGACGTTGGGGTACACAAATTAGAACAAGGGACAGCCGAATAATCAGGTTTCGATTAAGGATCGAGTACAGGTAATACCTTGGGACCAATCTTAGGAGCCATCTGAACAAATTCAGCTGATTAACGTAAATGGGATATGGTATGACTTCCCGGCCACATCACTGGCAAGAACTATCTGCAAAAAGATCGCAAAGAACATTGACGATTTTACTTGAAACCAAGAAATAGCACATTTTACCGTGATCATTCTAAACGCTCAAACCATCAATAACATTGACTTTCGGGAAAATAATGGGCATTTTTTTGACGCGAATTTTGATTTCAAAAAAACAATAAATATAATGATGATACTAGGATGATTAATATAATGGATTATAAGGATATTAGAATTAATATAATGATGATACTAGGATGAACATTGAACATTTCCAACAACTCCCGAGTGGTGCAAGTGGGATCTTCTTCGATAACTTGCAAAAGTTGAGACTCATCCAGCTTTCGAGGATGTGCTTCGTGCTGCTCATCTTCTAGGCTCTCATTTCCACTTCGAAATCGCTCAAACCATCAATAACATTGGCTTTTGCTACTACTACCTTCGCCATAGGCCTTTGAAATAGAATTATGCGATTCTCGGGCAGATTTTCCAAGCTTAAAGTCATAGAGTAAAACAGCTCGAATAAGGAATTTTTGTTCCGTCATTTTTTGATAACAAATGAACAAATGTTTCGAATAATATTATGATTGGCTTTGTTGCTTTCCCAAGAGCACAAGTTAAAAATTCGCATTATTTTCCCGCGAACCTAATATTAGAATAGCACACCTTTAAAAGGAAATGATCGACACAAAAAACGAAATAAGGCTGTTCCTAAAGTTAAACCTTCAAGCCTGGGCCTGAATTAAAAGAAGTGACAACAAAATTACCCATAACAAAACGACTTTCGAACACTAGAAATGCTTCCCGAAAAGATTCAATGAAATCAACTAGAAAAAAGCGAAAGATATCAATAGTTTTCATAGCGTCAAGAGCTTAGAAAATTTTTTTAGGCGGCTCAAGCCAGGTTATACTCAGGGTAGGTCTTGTTACTGACATATGCAATCGAATATCTCGAATCCGAATCGTGAAATGCGAAAAAGGTTTATGTAAAAGTAAATGTTCGATCAGTTTCTTCATCTTTGACAATCATCAATGTGTTCCTATCACCTCAGAAAGCCACTTCAATCCTGTCACTTCAATCAGAAAATCACTTCAATCTTGTCATTTTACCATGATTGGTTTTAAATTTTTAAGCAAGATTTTTGCAAGAGCAAGACAAAACAAATGTAAACTTTTCCCTTTGTGAATTCCTTGGTAAGGAAATTTTATGGAGAAATTTTATCTTCGATGATCGAAAAGTCAAGGCAATCAATCAGTTTGCAGAGATACTCTCAGATTTTTGAAAAGTGGCGTAATAATTTCTCCCAACTAAAAGGCGAAGAATTTCAACCAATTTGTCCTATCATCATGGTTTTAGGTTTTTAGGCAAGATTTTAGTAAGAGCAAGACAAAACAAATGTAAACTTTTCTATTTGAGAATTTCTTGATAATGAAATTTTATGGCAAAATCTTATCTTCGATGATCGAAAGTCTCCGAAAGTCCAGGCAATCAATCAGTTTGCAGAGATACTCCCAGAGATTTTTGAAAAGTTGCGCAATAATTTCTCCCAACATAAAATTTTCTTTTCCAGATTTTCTGGCGAAACAATTTCAACCAATTTGTTTTATCATATTTTTCTCGCTCTTAAACCCTCGACTTCCCATGGATTTGCCATTTCGATCTTGAAAATGGGTCTTGAACAATTCGAATTGCTGCCCCAATCACCGTAAGTTTAATCAGTTTAACTTTATCACTTTTTCGTAAATTCTAGATCAAAAACCCTGACTCCAAAACCGTATAACACCAAAGGTCTTTTGTTTGGTATATTCATTGGAATTTTTCTCGGAATTATTGGTAGCTTACTTGTTGAAAAGAGGTGAGTAATTTTTGGGAAGGTTTCGATTTGGATTTTTAATTTGAACCAGTGAATAGTCTTATTAAAGTCTTATAAGAAAGTACAAGAAAACTGGAGATTTGATCAAATCAAAAACAAAAGCCAAAATTTCAGCTTCAACTCGACACCATTCCACAGACCATTGTCACGAAAGGCTCGAAATTTGTCAGTTCTTGTTAGAATCCTTTAAAAATTCAAAATTGAGGCCTGCTTCACAAGATGAAGAAAAACAAGCAGTTGACCTGTTGAAGATTTGCCGGGCTAATGAGTGGGTGAAAATTTTAAGCAATGAAATCAAAAATCAACCTTTCAGGGCGAAGTTGACGCTTCTCATCGACAGCAAGTCGGTTTTTGCAATTTCTATTTTCCTTTTCCCTTTTCTAAAATTTTTTTAATTAGAAGATTAATATAATATTCTTTCAACGTTCACGAAGTAAAATTTCCAGAAACTCCGATAAAAAGTCCTCCGCTTGTCCAGTCCCTCAATCATTCGAAGGGAAATGCCGTCTCGGGTCGGCGTATTTAAAGGAAACTGACTCCTGCTACTTCTATCATGTAAGCAACAAAAATTACAGTCACATTATTGTATTTTCTCAGGAATCCACTTACAATGATGAGGGACAGTTGAACAAGTATAAGTGGGAAACAGCCGAGAAAGACTGTACAAGAAGCGGTGCCCACTTGGCGTCCATCCATTCAAATGTTGAGCAGGAATTTATGAAAAGTAAAGCTTTACTATGGCATCCAGCCGAATTGAATTCAAGAAATTGAGAAAAAGCCATATTGACATCGGAAGTAAAGTCGATTTTGACAATTGTTTTTATTTGGGGAAAGTGCATAAAGCTAACTAGAGAAAGGCATAAACTTTCCATGGACTTTTGAGAATGGACAATTCGAGGCAGACCTCGAAAGTGTATAGAATGGAAGTTTTTCATGAGAGCGAAGAAAGAGAGATGTTGCACAGGGTTTATGGGAAGCAAGGGGACAAAGGTTGGTGTTTGGAGAGAGAGGGGAGACAGGCCTAACTGAAGAGAACAAGATTCGAAGAGCCCGTAGGGTTTGTTTGTTGGGTGCCCTGTTGTACCATCTGATTTGGACTTCAATCGAAAATGATTTTAGAAATGATCAGCTCGAGTTTCCGAAAAAATAACCCAAAAGCGACTTCAAAAAATGGATGCAACGGTAGCGATTTCTACGTTTGGTTCGGATTGCGGCGTGTGGATGGGAAGAGGACGTACAGTGATGGAACTCCAGATGATTACGTTGGGACGGAAGTACCAAGTATGACCGGAAATCTCTATTATTCGGTGCGTTTCTTCCTTGCAAATGTTTTTGCAGGGCTGTTCTAAAAAGCTTTGGTCTCGAATTTAAGTCTATCCCCGATTTTCACCTGAAATCTGACTTTTGCTTGGTTTGCTCTGGAGAATCGGCTCTAGGAACAGCCCCTCAAATAACATCTGTTTTGTTTATTTGGAAAAATTATCGACACCCACGGTTTCATTCATTTTACCGTATTGACCGCAAGGTTACACTTTGAGGATCGGAATCCAGAGGATCATAAATCATTTTTCTTAAAATGAACTTTAGGGGAGATAATTTCCATGGCAGGGTTCCATATTTTATGTTTTTAAGATGTTATTTCCTTAGATGTGCTATGAGTCGACAAACATCAACCAGACATCCATTTACTACTATCAACCAGAAAATAATCGAGGGATGGCTCGATATATCTGCCAGAAACCCGCGAACAAATAAACTGTTTACTTGTGGAAGCACAATATGTTTTCTTACAATCTTCGCATTCATTGAATTGAATAAAATGTTCAATTTAAAAGTTTTCTACTTATAAAGGGTTTAGTTCTTGTCAAATCTAAAAATTTAAATCCGATTAAAATCTATGTATTTTAATCAATGGAATTTTCGAGAAGGGCCAATACTTTTTTGATCACTATAAAAGTGAAAATTCTATTTAAAACATTATTGTGTCATATATTTTATTTACTGACTTAGTCTGACAGCCTACTCTACCCTTTTTATCTTATAAACGTATATAACAGTATATCTATTCAGAATTATCTTTCGAATCAATTGTAAACCATTCATTATCGCTTTCCTCCTCGGAGCATTCATTTTGTGATAGATCTGCATAGCGGGAATAAGCGGTTCTCGAACCGTAACGTGTTGCTTTACTTGATGGTTATGTGTTTCGCCTAAATCCAATAGCATTTAATCATGTTTAGAAAAAAGGTGATACCGTATTTCCTCTAATAAACGCCCCCTTGGCAACTTTCTTTTGTTTCCCCGCCCCATTTGGAGATATTTTTATGTTTAATATATCAAAAGATAGAAGACATTAAGGGCTATCTTTTGATATATTAAAAATACCTCAAAAACGAAGCGCCAAAGTTGGCCAAGGGGGCGTTTATTAGAGGAAATACGGTACTGTATATTCTTTGTATAAGAAATATTCTTTGCGTGCTTGGTACTCTTCACTCAAGACACATTATTTCTTGTTTCGAGATATCTGATCTCACTTGAACTAAAACACTTTACTCAATAGCCGACTGACTCGGAATCTTTGGGCTCTCACTTGAGCAATTTTCACACAAAATCGACAATTAAATTAAAAGCAAAGAGAAAAACAGAAACAATTTCGTCCTAATTAGAACACAACTTTCACACGATGAAAGGAAAACAGAAAAATAAAGATAACAAAATCAAATGAACAACAGTTGCTTTATATAGGCTTTAACACAAGATACTCAGCTAACAAGCTACAAAACAATAAATGATTTGGGGCGCGAAATAAAATTAAGGCGCACCGATTTCCTCAATACTTTTCCAATTTTTAGGCTGCCAGAGTTAGGTAACTTGTTAGTGGCTATACGCCACAGATACCTCACATGATCCTGGTTACATGAAATATTGAGAAGTTGAATAGCCGTGTCTTCAAAAATCCGTTGACGACGAGGATTATTTAGATAAACACTGGCAATACTAGAACAAAATAAATAAAAATTAAACAAGTAAAATTTACGAAAACACTCTTTCAGAGGTGACGCTTTTAGAAGGCGCCGTCAGTAGTTCTTGTGCTATCCGGTATAAGAGTTCAAAATGCATTTGATGATTTTTCCACCATTCGTAAATGTTCGCGTTTGGGGGTGGTCGGGTCGTGTCGATTGATTCAAGAAAACGGGTCAATTCTTGCTTCAACAATTCTATAAATACATAAAAATTCGAAAAAAAAACCTGTAATTGGTTTGCTTCGTTTTACAGTTTGAAGAAGATGGAGAAATCATCAGTTTTAATAACATCTTTTGTGGCCAATTCTCGTGTAACGTTCTCGTGAAGATTCGTTGAGCATGATGAATCTAAAAAAGAGAAATGCACTAGTTTAATTAGTAAATATCTACCCTACTTTTGGGCAAAGTCCGTTTCAATATCATTCCATTTAGTATCATCGTAGAATGAACAACCATTGAATCGGGGGTCAATAAATAAAGCATACTGAAGAAAAAGCATCTTGTAAATGTTAGTGAAGTGTTTATCCATCCCTTCAGTAAAATCTTCCAAAACTTTTGATAAAGCTTCTTCATTTGCCAAAAACCTAAACTCATAGATTACAAGTAAAAAAGTATTCTTACATTTTCGTTTGGAATTGCAATTTCCTTGCTTTAAAGCAACTTTTTAAAATCAATACTTGGTTGGTCCTCCTTTTGCTTTCATTACTTCATTGAGTCGATTCGGCATGGAATCCACGAGATTTTTCAAAAGACTTGGGCGGATGGTGGCCCAAAGACGTTGAATGTGAACCCATAAGGCGGCCTTCGAATCGAATTTCTTTCCCTTGAGGCGCGACTTCACAAATGACCACAAATGTTCAATTGGATTGAGATCCGGTGAGTAGGGAGGTGGATTGATCAATTTAACACGATTTGCCGCAAACCATCCGAGCTCTGGTACCATTTTGAAGTGTCACCAACCGTCCCATCGTTTGATTGGCAAAGGGAAGCATTTGGGTCTCCATAATATTCTTGTAAGTCACAGCATCCATCGTCGAGTTCACGTTCACTAACGGACCTACTGGAGTTCGAGACATCGCTCCTATAGAAAAAAATTTAGATAACAAAATACTAAAAAAGTTCTTACATTATGTTTCCGCCGTTGAATTTCACGGTAGGCCGAATGTACTTGAATGCGTATCGCTTTCCAGTCGGTCGCCGAATAAGATGGTTTCCATCCGCGTGAAATAGATTGATTTTTGTCTCATCGGTAAATAACACTTTCGCCCAATCACGTGTCGTCCAACTTCGATATGTCCGTGCAAAGTCAAAGTTTTATACTTTAATTTTTATGCAATGTATACGGATAAGTCTTATAATCTTGAAAAGTAAAGTATTGTGGGTAAGCAAAATACCCTACACTTTTTGGGAATATCGTTTTTTTGCAAGATTCTCGTCCGAAAGAAACTTTTGGATGGCAATGGGACAATACTTTTGTGGACCACTGTATATTCAATATATCTTAGATAGATTCTTCGAGTTTTCGCTCAGCTTTGGAAATCACACAACCGGGATATGTTTTATTGCGACCTCTTTGTTAGAAGTAAGCTAAAAAACAGCGTTGTTAATAACACTAGTCAACAACAAGATACTAATGTTCCCAATTTATTTGCATGCTATCTCTCCAAGTGTCTCTTTCGATTGCTGGTCGATATTTGTACGTCGTTTCGCAGTATTTACATTTTGCCATTTTTGCCAATGATGCCGATACTCAGATTCCACATTGCGTCCCATTTTCTAAAAAAGATGCTGGAGTACGTAAGTTCGAACTTAAGTTGAAACAGTTTATCCCTATAGCAAAACAAATGAAAGTAAACAAACAAAATGGTGCAAGCAAAGACAGACAAAATCCAGAATGCTTTTCTTTTGAAAAACAATTGCGCGATTGCAAAGAAAAAAAATCGAGGAAATATAAAATGAACTTTGTTGCAAAATGCTTTTTATATATTTACTGTCAAGTTATTCAGCCTAACCAACTGAATATTCAGTGCAAAAATAAAAAAAAACAGAGTTTGGCGTAATTTACATTAAATTTATCCCGAGTCATCGCATTTTGATGTCTCCCCATTGCATGGGGATATTTTCTCGAAAATCTCGCTCATCTCGGGCAATTACACGTTTAATGTGGTGGCGAATGATCGAGAGGGACAAGTTAGTCATCATTTAGAAATTAGGAAGTACAGTGTTAGTACTTTTTTCGAATTACAAAGCCAATTACACAGCTTGAGTAGGGTCGTAAAAGAAACTAAAAGAAAAAAATTAAATGTACATAAACTACATAAACTACACAAATTGCATTGGTTCACTTTGTCGCACGTCATCGAATTTCGCTTCGGTTCGGTTCGGTTGAACCGAAAAGATTAGTTTTTCGGTTCGGCTCGGTTAACCGAAACCGAAACCGAACCCAAAAAATAACGTTTCCGGTAGGTCTTGTTGCTGACATATGCAATCGAATATCTCGAATCCCAGTCGTGAAATGCGAAAAAGGCTTATTAAAAATAAATGTTCGACCAGTTTCTTCACCTTTGGCAATCATCAATGTGTTACTATCACCTCAGAAAGCTTCAATCTTGTAATTTTACCATCATGGTTTCAGATTTTTAGGCAAGATTTTCGTAGGAGCAAGACAAAACAAATGTAAACTTTTCTCTTTGAGAATTTCTTGATAAGGTAATTTTATGGCGAAATCTTATCTTTGACAATCGAAAAGCCAAAAACAATCAGTTAGCAGAGATACCCTCAGAGATTTCCCAACATTTCTCCAAAAGCATTTTCTGGCAAAACAATTTCTTTTCTGGCAAAACAAAAACAAACAAAAACAATTTGTTTTGTAACAATAGTTTCGATCTTAAAGCCTCGATTTTCCATGGATTGATTTCGATCTGGAAAATGGGTTTTGAACAATGCGAATTGCCGCCCCAATCACCGTGAGTTTAATCAGTTTAACTTTTTCACTTTTTCTTAAATTCTAGATCAAAAACCCTCACTCCAAAGCCGTATAACATCAAAAGTCTTTTGTTTGGTATATTTATTGGAATTTTTCTCGGAATTATTGGCAACTTACTTGTTGAAAAGCGGTGAGTAATTTTTGGGAAGGTTTCAATCTGAATTTTGAATTTGAACCAGAGAATAGTCTTATTAAAATCTTATTATAAAAGTCCAAGAAAAATGTAAAATGTTCATAAAGAACATGACAATGAGCTCTTTGGAGAATGAGAATAAAATAAATGGTAGTTGGAAAGTCCATTAGAGATTTTTAAAAATGATTCGTCAAATCAATTTTTCTTTTGTTTAGAAGTGATTGTGAAGTTTTCAAACAAAATCTGACCATCTGTGCGGCCAATAACAAGGTGTTAAAGGAGGAGAAGTGGGTGGAGAAGAAAAAGAAAATGAAAATCCAATTTAGGCTCACAGCCGATGCTGAGCACAAAAAAGCACAGACACTTATTCAGAGATTGGAAACAGAAAAGTGAGAAGTTCAATTGAGGATTTGGTCATAATCTTTTTTTTAATTCAAATGCAACTTTTTTATTTATTTGTAAACTTTAGAGGTACAACAGAAGCTCAACTTGTCGAAACCAAGAAAAAAGTTGTGCTCTTGGAGTCGGAAAAGTGAGGAATTAAACTTGAAATGTTCAGGAAGTAAAATTTCCAGAAACTCCGACAAAAAGTCCTCGGCTTGTCCAGTTCCTCCATCATTTGAAGGGAAATGCCGTCTTGGGTGGACGTATTTAGAGGCAACTGACTCCTGTTACTTTTATCATGTAAGCAACAAAAATTACAGTTATATTATTGTATTTTTTGAGGAAATCACTTACAATGACGAGGGAGAGTTGAACACGTATAAGTGGGAAACAGCCGAGGAGGACTGTACAAGAAGCGGTGCCCACTTGGCGTCGATCCATTCAAATGTTGAGCGGAAATTTATGAGAAGTAAAGATTTACTATGGCATCCAGCCGAATTCAAAAAATTGAGAAAAAACCATTTTAACATTTCCACTTACAATGATGAGGGACAGTTGAACAAGTATAAGTGGGAAACAGCCGAGAAAGACTGCACAAGAAGCGGTGCCCACTTGGCGTCCATCCATTCAAATGTTGAGCAGGAATTTATGAAAAGTAAAGCTTTACTATGGCATCCAGCCGAATTGAATTCAAGAAATTGAGAAAAAGCCATCTTGACATCGGAAGTAAAGTCGATTTTGACAATTGCTTTTTTGGGGAAAGTGCATGAAACTAACAAGAGAAAGGTATCAACTTTCATCAACTTTTGAGAATGGACAATTGGACAATTGGACAGGGTTTAGGGGAAGCAAGGGGACAAAGGTTGGCGTTTGGAGAAAGAGGGGAGACAGGCTTAACTGAAGAAAAGATTATTCGAAGAGCGCGTAGGATTTGTTTGTTGGGTGCTTGTTATACCATCTGATTTGGACTTCAATCGAAAATAATTTTAGAAATGATCAGCTCGAGTTTCCGAAAAAATAACCCACAAGCGACTCCAGCAGATGGATGCGCCGGCACCAATTTCTACGTTTGGTTCGGATTGCGGCGTGTGGATGGGAAGAGGACGTACAGTGATGGAACTCCGGATGATTTCGTTGGGACAAGTAGGGACGTCGGAAATCGCTATTATTCGGTTCGTTTCTTCCTTACAAATGTTCTTGCAAGGCTGTTCCAAAGAGCTTTGGTCCCGAATTTTAAGTTTATTCCCGATTTCGGCAGAAATCTGACTTTTGCTTGGTTTGCTCTGGAGAATCGGCTCCGCAAGGAACAGCCCCGCAAATAACATCTTTTTTGTTTATTCGGAAAAATTATCGACACACAGGATCTCATTTTACCATATTGACCGCAAGGTTACACTTTGAGGATCGGGATCTAGAGAACCATAATTCATTTTTCTTAAAATGAACTTTAGGGGAGATAATTTCCATGACAGGGTTATATATTTTATGTCTTTTCTTTGGAACTTATTTCTTTAGATGTGCTATGAGTCGACAAACATCAACCGAAAAGCCATTTTCTACCATGCAACAGAAGAAGTGGCGCGACGAGGGAATGCACGATATATCTGCCAGAAACCCGCGAACAAATAAACTGTTTAATTGTGGAAGCACAATATGTTTTTTTGATGATTTGGACACCGGATGATTTTGTTGGGAATAGTGGAAAAGAAAGAAATCTTTATTTTTCGGTTCGTTTCCTCTTTACGAGTGTCACAAAAGCCAAAAACCAAAAACCAAAAAGCCAAGCTAGAGTCAATGGCTTTGACCTAGAATTTCAACATTCAACATTTTTGTTGAAAACCTTGAGTTTGGCTGGGCTTGGCTTGAAGAATCAGCTCCAGTAACAGCCCTGCAAAAAAAAAATTTTTCTGGTTTATTTGATCTTTTTAACAAATTTTCTTTATAAGCACACACGCTGTTTCATTTGGACGAAGTGATGGCATAGGTGATCTGTCGACAAGAGAGCAAAACAGTTTAGTTTAGAGAATGTTCAAAGTCTAGTTAACACAAAATTTGCATATTTTTAAGATATAAATGAGCGATTTCTTTCCTTTAGATGTGCTATACAGTAGAGTCGAAAAGTTTTGAACAATCACCTTCCGGCAACTTCAACTCGATGTAACTAGCGTTAAATACATCCAATTTTTTTTACTTTAAAAACTATTTTTGGTCGCATTTTTTGTGAACTTTCTGAATATCTACTTGATTTTATTTGATATTTGATCTTTTTTTGTCTTGCACTTTTTTTTGGAACACCCTTTTTAGGGGTCCAAAGGTTTGGTACAATTCCAAAAATAACAATACATTTTTAATTTTATGATGCCAAATCGTTCGAATTTGACCGAGTATGATAAAGAACTAATTGTGGCTGAAGTAAATCGAGGAAAGAGCCGTCAAGAAGTTGCCACAACATTCGGTGTCACCCATTCAACAGTAACCAAGATTTATAACAAATGTAAGTTTTCCGGAAATGTGAAACGAGCATCAACAAAGGGGAGACGAGCTAAACTGGATGAACGTGATGAGAGGACACTTGTGCGACCATTTAAGAAGAATCCTCAATTCAGCTGATCTACGTCGCGATGCCGAGTCAAGCTATGGAGTTTCGCTTTCCAAAGCGACAGCTAAGCGTATCTTAAAGTAATTTGCTGGTTTAGAAAGCAATAAAATGTTGCTATTTAGGAGACAAGAACTCAAAGGAATTTGTCCATCTCGAAAGCCGTTGATTTCTGACAAGAACGTAAAGGCTCGGCTCGAGTTTGCCAAGAAGTACAAAGACTGGTCGGCTGATGATTGGAGTGATGTATTGTGGAGTGACGAAAGCAAATATGAGCCCTTTTTCACCAATGAAATTCGATACATTAGACGTCCAATTAATCAAAGAAACAATCCAAAGTATCAAATTCCAACAGTCAAACACGGCGATGGATCAGTTCTCGTTTGGAGTTGGTTACCTCTATTATCAACTGCGCTTATTTGAATTTAGGTTGTTTTTCACGATACGGTGTCGGTCCACTTGTCAGAATCAATGGTATTATGGGTGCAGCTGCTTATGAAAACATCCTGAAAACCATCTTGAAAATTTTCCGATCCCACATCGATAGGTTCTTCCCTACATCGATGAGCGGTTTTCGAGATTTCGAGTAATTTAGGCAACGCACAGGGTGCACTACTATTAGAGAAAATACGGTATTTTAAACGCTAGAGAAACAGTATTATTCTAAATTCTATTATTCTAAATTCTATTATTCTAAATTCTATTATTCTAAATTCTATTATTCTAAAACAGTATTATTCTAAATTCCAACAAGCTTGTATTCTCACAAATTTTTAGTTGTTGAAATGTAAGAAGTTCGTGGCGGATAGAACAAGATCTTTAGGTAGAACAACGGTTTTTTTTGAGCCGGCTCAATTACCCAACTTGCCTGGGTCCTATTTATTCAGGAGAATGTTCCAAGAAAAAATCAGGCTTTAAAGTGTCGCCTGAATTCACAAAAAGGTTATTTGAACATTCAAGAGCCCTTAATAAGGGCCATTTGTTCGGATTGTTTTCCCGGGTTTCATTTCAAATATGAAGCCAAGTACACAGCTTGAGTAGGGTCGTAAAAGAAATTAAAAGAAAAAATTAAATGTACAGGTACATAAACTTTAAATCTTTAGATCTAGAAGGCCAAAAATTAGTCAAATTCCACGGTTTCTGTTTAGGAAAACAAACGTTGAATCTTGTTGACAAATGAAGAAATCGATTCCATAAAAGATTCCATAAACAACTTTATTCAAATTCTCGGCTCCGCTCAATCAACTGAAAGGGATCTGATTATCTGGAAATTGAATTTGAAGCTAATTTTTATTCAATTTACCCCAACCTGAACTGCTGTAACGATTTGAGACAAGTTAAGTCGTAAATTTCGATCAATATCAACCGGTCCTTTCTTCATTAACTTGACCACCCGTATAGTACAAATACGGAAATGATTGACACAAAAACCGAAACAAGGCTGTTCCTAAAGCCAAATCTTCATGCCTGCCCGGGGCCAGACCTGAGTTAAATAAGTGACAAGAAAATTACCTGCAGAATGGCTTACAATCGAAAAACTAAACAACAACAACAATAACGATAACAACAACTATACTAAAATAAAGTACTTTACATTATTTGCCTAATCTCTAATAGATTTGAATCGTATGTACTTAATTTTCAATTTCCTAGTGTTTTTATGGGTCGGCTTGTACTCTCTTTTCCGGAGTCTCCAATGGTAATGAATTTTCAAGAGTACAATTAATGCTTTTACAACTAAAAGACATAATTCTCAAAGAGAAGAGAGTTTCCATTTGTTTTGTCTTGCTCTTACTAAAATCTTGCTTAAAAATCTAAAACTTTCAAGACTGACTTAAAATAAGTGACAAAATTACCCATAACAAAACGACTTTGGAACAATAGAAATTCTCCCCGAAGAGATTCAATGAAAATCAACTAGAAAAACGAGAAAGATATCAATAGTTTTCATGGCATCAGAAGCTTAGAAAATTTTTGTAGGCGGCTCAAGCCAGGCTATACTCAGGGTAAGTCTTGTTACTGACATATGCAATTGAATATCTCGAATCCGAATCGTGAAATGCGAAAAAGGTTTATATAAAAATAAATGTTCGATCAGTTTCTCCATCTTTGGCAATCATCAATGTGTTACTATCACCTCAGAAAGCTTCAATCTTGTAATATTACCATCATGATTTTAGATTTTTAGGCAAGATTTTCGTAGGAGCAAGACAAAACAAATGTAAACTTTTCTCTTTGAGAATTTTTTGATAAGGTAATTTTCATAGGATTTTATGGCAAATCTGATCTTCGATCGAAAAGCCAAAGACAATCAATCAGTTAGCCGAGATACCCTCCGAGGTTTTTTTCTTTTCGGCAACAATCTCCCCCAGCATTTCTCCCAAAGCATTCTCTGGTAAAACAAAAACAAACAAAAGCAATTCGTTTTGTAACAATATTTTTTCGATCTTAAACCCTCGATTTCCCATGGATTCATTTCGATCTTGAAAATGGGTTTTGAACAATTCGAATTGCCGGCCCAATCACCGTAAGTTGAATCAGTTTCACTTTTTCACTTTTTCGTAAATTCTAGATCAAAAACCCACACTCGAAAAACGTATAACACCAAAAGTCTTTTGTTTGCTACATTCATTGGAATTTTTCTCGGAATTATTGGTACCTTACTTGTTGAAAAGAGGTGAGTCATTTTTGGGAAGGTTTCGATTTAAAAATTTAATTTGAACCAGGGAATAGTCTTATTAAAGTCTTATAATTTCGAGTAAGATTTCGATTTGAATTTTTAATTTGAATCAGAAAACTAGTCTTATTAAAGTCTGATTAAAAAGTCCAAGAAAATTGAAGATTTGATCAAACTTAGCCGAATTTCCATCAAATCACTTGTGAAAGCCAAAATTCCAGCTTCAACTCGACACCATTTCACAGTCCATTGTCACGAAAGGCTCGAAATTTGTAAGTTTTTGTTAGAGTTTCTTAAAAAATCCAAAATTGAGGGCTGCTTCACAAGATGATGAAAAACAAGCAGTTGACCTGTTGAAGATTTGCCGGGCTAATGCGTGGGTGAAGATTTTGAACAATGAAATCAAAAATCAACTTTTTAGGGAGAGGTTGACGCTTCTCATCGACAGCAAGTCGGTTTTTGAAATTTCTTTTTTCCTTTATTTTCCTTTCAGTCCCTTTCTTACATATGTAAAATGTCCATAAAGCCATGACAATGAGCTCTTTTGAGATTAAAAAAATGATAGTTGGAAAGCCCATTAGAGATTAAAAAAAGTGATTCATCAAATCAGTTTTTCTTTTGTTTAGAAGTGATTGTGAAGTCTTCAAACAAAATCTGACCATCTGTGTGGCCAATAACAAGGCGCTAAAGGAGGAGAAGTGGGTGGAGAAGAAAAAGAAAATGAAAATCGAATTTAGACTCACAGTCGATGCTGAGCACAAAAAAGCAATAACACTTATTGAGAGATTGGAAACAGAAAAGTGAGAAGTTCAATTGCGAATTTGGTCACAGTTTAGTTATTTCTCATCCAAATGTAACTTTTTTATTTATTTGTAAACTTTAGAAGTACAACAGAAGCTCAACTTGTCGAAACAAAGAAAAAAGTTGTGCTCCTGGAGTCGGAAAAGTGAGGAATTAAACTTATTCTTAAAAAATTTTTTAATTAGATAAGACTAATAAAATTTTCTTTCAACGTTCATGAAGTAAAATTTCCAGAAACTCCGATAAAAAGCCCTCCGCTTGTCCAGTCCCTCGATCATTCAAAGGGAAATGCCGTCTTGGGTGGATGTATTTAAAGGAAACTGACTCCTGCTACTTCTATTATGTAAGCAACAAAAATTACAGTCATGTTATTGTATTTTTTGAGGAATTCACTTACAATGACGAGGGAGAGTTGAACAAGTATAAGTGGGAAACAGCCGAGGAGGACTGTACAAGAAGCGATGCCCACTTGGCGTCGATCCATTCAAAAGTTGAGCTGGAATTTATGAAAAGTAAAGATTTACTATGGCATCCAGCCAAATTCAAGAAATTGAGAAAAAGCCATTTTGACATTAGAAGTAAAGTCGATTTTGACTATTGCTTTTTTTGGGAAAGTGCATAAAACTATTAAGAGAAAGGTATAAACTTTCCAACAACTTTTGAGAATGGAGAATCTGACGCGGACCTCAAAAGTGTATAGAATAGAAGTTTTTCAAGAGAGCAAAGAAAGAGAAATGATGTACAGGGCAAGGGAACAAAGGTTGGTGTTTGGAGGGAGCGGGGAGACAGGCGATTAACTGAAGGGAAGGAGATTCGAAGAGCCCGTAGGATTTGTTTGTTGGGTGCCCTGTTAGACCATCTGATTTAGACTTCAATCGAAAATAATTTTAGAAATGATCAGCTCGAGTTTCCGAAAAATAACCCAGAAGCGACTCCAGAAAATGGATGCAACGACACCGATTTCTACGTTTGGTTCGGATTGCGGCTTGTGGATGGGAAGAGGACATACAGTGATGGAACTCCGGATGATTTCTTTAAGCCAAATAGGGACACCGAAAATCGCTATTATTCGGTTCGTTTCTTCCTTACAAATGTTTTTGCAGGGCTGTTCCAAAAAGCTTTGGTCTCGAATTTTAAGTCTATCCCGATTTTCGCCTGAAATCTGACTTTTGTTTGATTTGCTTTGGAGAATCGGTTCTAGGAATAGCCCCGCCCCTTGATTTGGAAAAAATATCGACACACAGGGTCTCATTCATTTTACCGTATTGACCGTAAGGTTACACTTTGAGGATCGGGATCTAGAGGATCATTTTTCTTAAAATGAACTTTAGGGGAGATAATTTCCATGGCAGGTTAGATATTTTGTGTCTTTTCTTTAGAACTTATTTCTTTAGATGTGCTATGAGTCGACAAATATCAACCAGAAAATCATTTTCTACCATGCAACAGAAGAAGTGGCACGACAGGGGAATGCACGATATATCTGCCAGAAACCAGCAAACAAATAAACTATTTAATTGTGGAAGCACAATACGTTTTTTGATGATTTGGATGATTTTGTTGGGAATAGTGAAAAAGAAAGAAATCTTTATTTTTCGGTTCGTTTCCTCTTTGAAAATGTCACAAAAGCCAAAAATCAAAAACCAAAAAGCCAAGCTAAAGTCAATGGCCCTGGCCTCGAATTTCCACATTCAACATTTTTGTCGAAAACCTTGGGTTTGGCTTGGCTTGGCTTGGAGAATCAGCTCCAGGAACAGCCCTGCAAATGATTTTTTTTTCTGGTTTATTTGATCTTGTTAACAAATTTTCTTTATTTTCTTATATGTTCTTTTTATTTTCTTTATACATGTATTATATCGTGTTGCTTTTTATCGGCCCTTTTCGTGTTATATGTATGAATTGATGCGTTTTAATCTGAAATTTAGCCCACTTTATTTTGTTCTAGCTTCTAGATTTTGTTCTAGCATTTTGTTGTGTTGCACCTTCGGGAAGTTGTTAACTAATTTTTTCTTGTTAAGCCTGTTTGCTTATTACATGTTTGCAATAAATTGTTGAAAAGTGAATAAAACTTGCAATTAATAAAGCAAAAATATTAAGCAAAATTCACTTTCATTTAGATGACCTAATTTTTCGAATCTGGCAACAGAAGTTACCTCCCGAGGTGTTAAAATATTTGGTCCTATTAACCCAACTTTTTTATTTGCATGTGAGATAAATCTGCATTGTATTTCAAATGTTTCATTAAAAAAAACTTTCAATCACCATCGGCTAGCCGATGCATAAGTCTTTTCGTTCCTTTTCGTCTGCCGTTTCAAGCCAACAAATGCACCAATTAAACTACGGTTGATTTCATTAGAAAAACCAATTATTTTTCTGCAAAATAACATTAAAACGGGTTTAAAAATATTTTATGCCTGGATTTTCTTGAGAGTATGAAGTCGGGTAGTCAAAAAGGGCTAACTCGATGATGCGGTTTAGACACCTTAGCTAAAGAAAACCTATCTTCGTGTCAATAGATAAAAGATAGAGAAAAAAAGTTTGATATTTCGCCAAAATTTCAGAGAAATTCATTGAGCCAATTTTTCCGTAGAGTTTTTTATAGATTTTTACGAAAAAGGCGTTTTTCACTCTCGAATTTGCTTGAAAGTCAACCGAAATTCATTTAAAAAGATGCAAATTCAACAAAAAAACACTTTTTTTATAGAGCAAACTATAGATTAATTGGTGAATTTGTTACTTTTTAACAGAAGTACGAAAAAATGAAAAGACTTATGCATCAACCTAATATATTGGGTTGTCCAGTTATGAATGCGCGTTTTTACTATTTTGTAAATTTCTCAAGATATCGAACAGATGTATATGAGTGTTATATATCATTCGAAAGCTGAATATCTCCTCTACATTCTGGAATAAAAATGTTTTTGAATTCATTCAACTTTTTGGGAAATTTACTGCACAAAGGGAGAGGTCGTTTTCGAAAAAAACTCATTTCAGCTTAGTTATTCCTCAAGTTTTATGGTGTAAAATAACCGCCCAGAAAAGAAAAGAAAAGTAAAGATGCTCTGAAATTGTTATATTTTTAAAAAAGTTGTATTGATATATCTATTGGCCAAACATCAAACGGTTAACTCAATTTGAGCGGAGCCAAAACTTGATCCAAAGGCACCATTCCATTTTTTGGCCACCTCTTCTTCTGTGCAGTCAATTTGCCCAAAAGCTGAACAAATTCAAAAACTTTTTATATCAAAATGTAGAGGAGAGCTTCAGCTTTCGAATAATACTTATATATATCTTTTTTTTGATTTCGGTATCTTGAGAAATTTACAAAATAGTAAAAAACGCGCATTCAAAACTGGACAACTCAATATATATAAGCACACACTCTTTCATTTTGGACCAAGTGATAGCATATGTGATCTGTCGACAAGAGAACAAAATAGTTTAGTTTAGAGAATGTTCAAAGTCTAGTTAACACAAAATTTGCATATTTTTAAGATGTAAATGAGCGATTTCTTTCCTTTAAATCTGCTATGAGTCGACAAAGATCAACCAGACATCCATTTTCTACCATACAACAGAAAAAAAATCGACAGATGGCAGGATATATCTGCCAGAAACCCGCGAAGAAATAAACTGTTAAATTGTGGACGCACAATATGTTTTTTACAATCTTCGCATTCATGGAATTGAATAAAATGTTAAATTTAACAGCTTTCTATTTATAAAAAGTTTAGTTCTTTTCATATCCAAAAATTTGAATCCGATTAAAATCTATGAATAGAAAGAAAATTTTTAATCAATATGAGAGATTTTCGAGAGGGTGCCAATACTTTTTTTGACCACTGTAAAAGTGAAAATTCTATTTAAAACATCATTGTGTCATATTTTTTATTTACTAACTTATTCTGAGAGCCTACTCTACCCTTTTAATCTTTTTAACAAGCCAAAAGTAGCTTTTGTAGCCGTTTTTACTCAGCTCACCAAGCAGAAAAGAAAATATGGATTCATAAGGAAAAATTGGTCGCAAAGAATCTGTAGATTAAAGCCGAAAAGCAAATTGGAAACGAATTGATTGAGGTAAGTGAGAATCGACCAGCGATCACTGAGTTGGAGATCATCTGGAAAAGGATAGAGTCAATGAATCAGCAATTTTTATCCGCAAAACAAGCGTTTTTTTTTGCATTTGTGCCTAGTCTAGCAATAAGCTTCTTCATAAAGTAATCTAAAATCAATGTTTTGGTTCCTAGCTTCTTTTAGCTTCCAACTAACCAGTACGGTTGATTCAGATGGGTCAGACCAGGCTTCTGGCTAGTTCTGGCTTGGCCTGATCTGTTCTGCCCGGAAAATTGCCTTTTCCAAAAATTATCCTGTCCGGAAAATACATAGAGTTTGCTTGTTTTGTCAAATTGGGACTTCATTTATTATTCTCACAAAAATCCGGAAGCGTTTCTTTTCATTCCGATTAATTGTTGATCGTCCTCTTTGGCAAGAATTTGGCCACAAGAATCTAGCTGAAAAATATTTGAACTTATATTGATCAATTACATGATTTGCCATATCAAAAAGCTCATAGTGCATTTCCCATTTTTGCTTTGTTTCATTCATGGTGATCATTGGAGAAAATCTGAAAGTGATCTGGTAGTTGAAATTGATTGAAAATGAGGTAAAATTTATGCAAACTTTTATTCTTCAATCTCTTTCTGAAAACGGTACGTCGGAACAATTGAAAACTTGAAAAAATATTTACCCTTGTAAGCTGTGTACCTTCATTTGGGCTACTGTGATGAAACAGAGCGGCATTACGGTACTTCTAGGGATACCTGTATCCCCATTTGATCTCATCCGGTCGAAATGAGGTTCTTCGCTGAAAAGTCATGCCTGTTGACTCCACATTTCCCTCAACTGTCACAATGATTTCGAACTCCAAACTCTGAAATTAAATGCATTTTGTTAATCTCGATCAAACGAACCCCTAAAGTTTCTTTGGTGACTCCAAAAAGTGGGCTTTGTTCATCGATGATATGTCGAATGATCACTGGCCTAAAGTAGATAAAGCGATAGATCAACTTATCCAATGCAAACCACAAGAGCAACACTCGATCCCATCCATGATCGTAGCCGACATTCATATCCTTGATGCCGATCAATTCACGGTGTCCATGCTGAATTAAAACGGCTCTTACATCAGAATCAAAAAAGGAACTATGAGCTATGGAGGAATGGTAGGCTACGGTAAGCTTGCTAACCTTTTAGAGTACTGTAAGTTACAATAGCTACACAAGAATTGCGGTAATTTTGTGATGTAAAGTTACATTATGTAAATGGCTTCTTATTTGAGAAATACTTTGTAAGCACTTTGCATTATCTATGGATATTTGAGCGCATAAACCTTACTTTGTTAATCCTTGATGAAACAAAGTACATTTTGGCATGACTTTCCGCTAAGAAGAGCTTTTGTTGGATATCAGCTAAACGAATCATCAGCGCTGGGCGATGATCATTCTCGTCCACGTGCCCAATGACAGCAAACATTGAGAAACGAATATCCTGATCTATCAATTTCCATCGCCATTCTACCATTTAACCTGTCTTCTCTTCTTTGGTTTCAACATTTTCGCAAGAATCATGCCGGCGATGATTGTGTAGAGAAAACTGCCAAATACCAATTGGAACATCCACAAAAAGTAAGCTGAGGGGCATTCATTTGTGATGTATCTAGAGTTTATTGGTATGAAAAAAAGCTGATTTAAAAGTACACAAAACAGGCCAAGACAAAGGGTTCGATCAGAAGCAGACACTGGTCTTGCCCGGTCTGTCTTGATCCACAAAAATCCCCTGAACTTGCCGGAAGCCAGACTTAGATCTGGGCTGGACTACCTTGATTTAGTTTACAAGTCTTACCTTAGAACTCGGCTATATCATTGTTACTAACTCGTGATCAAATCCCACCTGTAACCGTAACCAATCGTGTGCTGACTTTCCACACTGAACAGAAAAGCCTCGATGAATGAATTTACATTTGAGATGCACTGTTTTGGTCTCTGAAATTGATCATGACTTTAAAATGAAAGCTTTTCCGAAAACTTACACCCCATTCGGAGATCAAAAAATAAAGAAAAGCAAAAATCGACCAAGAGACGAAGAAAGCCGTAAAGAAAATGAGCAAAATCGTTTTCCATTTTCGCTCAATTGCCAAGAGGAACCAATTTCTCAAAAAACAAATTTTCACATTTTTAGAATTCAGATTACCTAAAGCAAATTTGCAATTTCTGTGGCAATTGTTGCGGACTGGGCATCACTTGGCCATCTTTTCCCACCAATCTCGCGGCTGTTGTCCGACATTTTGGAAGTGAGGCAAGGGTTGAGGATGAGGCGGTAAAGCCACTGTCAAGACTCCAGCGATCCGGGGATTTGCAATCTAGAACACATAATAGTTTGATAAAATTGTCGTTTTCGTGGGTTTTCATGCGTACATTACTAAAATGAATCAATTAATCAGATAGCTCATCAATTTTATTTGCAAAGAGTTTAAAACGGTAAAGTTTCACGTTTACCGTTCAAATCATAGCCAGGTAATAGAAAAGTGGGCAGTTTTGATTGTTCCATACAAATTTTGATGTAAATGACCCAAAACCACTCAAGAAGAGCTCTTTTATTATCGAAATTTGTGCGCTTTGATGCTTTTACCGTAAAATCAACTGAGTTCAAGCAAATAGAGCAAATCGAATCAATTGTAATCAGAAATGAAAACATGACTCTTTGATGATTGGGTCATTGATCTCTGGGGAAACCCGTTTCTAATGATAGATTGATTTTCAAGTTTTGAATCTTGATTGTTTTGCTTGATACAGAGAAGATAGAAACTTCTTGCTTGGCCTTGGCTTGCTTGGCCTTGACTTGCTTGGCATTGGCTTGCTTGGCATCGGCTTGCTTGGCCTTAGCTTGTTTGGCATTGGCTTGTTTGGCATTGGCTTGCTTGGCCTTAGCTTGTTTGGCATTGGCTTGCTTGGTCTTGACTTGCTTGGCATTGGCTTGCTTGGCATTGGCTTGCTTGGCATTGGCTTGCTTGGCCTTAGCATTCTTCTGGTTAAACTTTGGTTTGGCTTGACTTGAACCCGACTTAACTTTAGCTTGACTTGGCTTGATCAGCTCGATTTCTGAAACAACCCTGATATCAATTGATAACCCAATCCTTAACTGACACAGCATAACTTTGGACACTCACAAAGTGTAACATGGACCGATATTCGTTAGATATTCAGTGGCCAAGTCTAGTACTTAGTCTAGTACAAGTCCAATACATCACAGTACACATAACCAGGTCTAAAACTCCACTTAGCGTCAGATAAAGCCAGGTTCATATCGAAAACTCTGCCCTCAAAATGGCCTCTTTTCCGCAAAATGGTCCTCTGTTGGTCAATTGAACTGATTACCGGCGATTGTTTGAACTCTTGAGTATTTGTTTTTGACGTAACGAGACCTGTATGATTCTTGCGATCGCCCGTGTACTTATCGAAGAGCCGAGTTTAAGCAAAGAAAAAGAAATTTGAGCGAACTACTGTTTGAAGGCTTGATTTGTTAAAAGTTTGGGCGTTTTGAGTTTGCGCTTTAAAGGTTTTGTGATCTTACTTTTTGAAGAATGAATCGGAAATGTGTGGACTTCAATTTTCAACAGTCATTACAAAGTTACAATTGACCCTGGCCCATCCCTGGGATTGAAAAGAGCGCTGAAGAGAACAGGTAAAGTCGATTTCAAGAATAAACCCTGTGCTTATTATTCATTTTTTCACTTCAAAAACCAGGATATACCAAGTACAAACAGAAAACTTTTCTAATCTTTGACAAGCGAAGGTTTTTTTATCTAATAAGTAATTTATAAATTGCGTGCCGGGCAACAAGTTCACCGGTCATTATTCCCGAAGAGAGATCGAGTAAAAGAAAAAAAAACGCTTGAGATTTCTTCACCATGACAACAGAAAAGAGAGATGTAGTGATTTGGGTAAAAATAACTGATAATTGAAGGGGTATGGTTTCAGAAAACTTCACAAGAAAACTTTTCTGGCTTAAAGTTTTCTGGCTTAAAGTTTTCAACTTTTTAATTTTGAATTGAGTAAATTCAGAATGGTTGCGATTAACCTGGGTGACTCGGCGAAGAAAGAAAAACCACCACAAGAAAAGGTAAGGAGAAGATTTGATATGGATTTGATTTGATATGGAGAACAGCTGTCAACTGGGGTACTGTATCCTTGCAAGGTTTTTCCGAACATCGACTCAGGTAGCTGTTCTTCCAAAGCATGTTCTGACGACCGTAACCAAAGCGTTTAGTCGTCGGATTGCAGACAGAGAAATCGAGCTACCAACTGGAGTACTGCAGTACATTGTATACTGTGTACTCTGCAGAGTACAGACAGAGCTCTGTCCTTTGAAACATTACCTCGTTTAAGCGCATTTTCTGGCTATTGTAACTAAAACGTCTCTAGTTTTAATCTTTACTTTTAATTGCTAGTACAAGCTTCACAGCTATCGTGCCGTAACTGGACTGGGGTTACGGTATGTGTTAGAGGACTAGCCGAGTCTTTGTTTGGAAAACTTAGGATACAATGCTCCAGTTGATAGCCAGTTAAAAAAAACTGAGCGCTAGCCTATCAGCTTAGCAAAGCTCCAGTTTCAAAAAATTATTCATTGACTTCTAATTTCAGCTTTCACCGCCAAGTCCGGCAATTGAAAAGCCACCAATTCTTCAGCTTTACGAAACATGCAGCGAGAATGGAGTTGATTTAAACTATTAACTAAAACAAACAAAGTTCAGGGCACAATTTTCCGTACAACGATCTTCATCCAAGTGGCCACTCTCGCTTTGTTCATTCGGCTCATTTACTGGTAAAATGAGAAATTGAGAAATAAAGACTAAGAATTTAAAGCGTGTGGTCATTCCATTACGTTCGTCACCTTTTGGGACTGGTTTTCTCGATTCTTGGTGTAATCGTTTTGGGATACTCAAACACTTTGGCTAAACGTGCTTACTACAAAACAAATGAAAGCCGCTTGATTCGGATGCAGTACATGGTTTTGGTGAGTTGATTTAGTCAAGGCTAAAGCTACGGTACCAGTTTTTATTACGCAAATTTTTGGAAATCTAAACAAAGCATACTTCTTAACCCATCAAATTGATCAAACACAATCAACAGACAAAAAAAATATCGTACTCAAGCATTTTTAAACAATTCTCTTTAGAAAGTGCTACAGTAATTCAGAAAACTGGCCTAGTCCAGCTTGGCCTAAATCTACTGCAAACTCGCCAGAAGCCAGCCAGGCTTGGAGCTGGCTAGCCTTGCCAAGCCTGGTTTGCCCTAGCTTATAGCCTGACTTAAAAATTCCAGAGCCTGACTGAAATACTCCTAATTTAGATGCTTCTCCTGGGCTTAAACATCCCAATCATCATTCTTATCTGGACAGTCGGTTTTGATGAGTTCATCGAATGGGATCCGGCACCACTTGTAATGCTTGGTGAGTTGTACAAAAAGCTTGAAAGGATAACTATTAGAGTGAAATTGTTAAATTCAAGATTGATTCAAGGATTCCTGAATTCCCTAGGTCTTCCGATGTTGGTCCCTCTTCAAGCGTACGCGATTGTTGTCTGGCGAAACACTGAAAAGAAAATGATCGCTGGTGAAGATCATCGAAGCATCGCATTCTACGATCAAGCAAACAAATGGAAACAACAACTTTACGTGGAACTTTGGACAATCGAGCCAGGGGTACTGTAATATAATAGCTCTATATTGGAATGATTACATTAGGTTTCTTGATATAAATTGAAGCCGAAACTTGTCAAATACTAACAATTGTTTTGTTTTTTCGAACAGTAAACCTTTTCAGACCGAAACCGAAGCTCCGATTCCAAATCAACAAATAAATCAATACCATAGACGTGTTCTAATCAATGGGGTTACTTTATTTTTTCGAAATTTCAATTTCCTCTTATCCAGGTTCTTCTTTTCAAGCTCACCATCTTCGCCGACCTTGCAACTCTTGGAATGTTCATCATCATGGTCGTGAAGTAATCAAGCTATTACAGGAGTTATTATTAGTTCAAAATTTAGTTACCCTGACGGATTCATTAGTGATCATCATGGCTATATGATAGCGCTTACTTCGGTGATTGGAGTGATCCTTTTCATCACCGTAAATACCCCAGCTCTTTGCGCTTACTTCAGGACCAAGAAGAGTCGACACGCGACATTCAAATACAACTCTGTGGTTAGAAACATTTCTGTTACCAGCTAATTTTTGATAAAGAAATGATCGGAATATGCTTTAGATGTCGATCACCGCTCTGACAACCGTCATTATTTTCGCTCTATGTGCCTATGGGGACTACTTCTTCAATCAGCCCGTCAGTCTCGGTAATTTTGCGTATCTAAGAGATACAGAAAGATCCAATAGTATTATTGGATTTTATAGATTGGATATAAAATGTATTTTATAGTGCAACAACTAACTTTTCGTGTGGTCGTAGCTAAGAATTCGTCTCTAGTTTTAATCAAAAAATGCTACTACATGATGTCCCAAAAAGTTCCCGAACTTTTCAAGGACAAACTTTTGGTTTTTACTTTGTTTTTCTGCCTAGAAAAAAATGTATAATATTTAAGTTTATTATGAAAAAGAGTTTACTAAAGTAAAAATACTTGAATGTTTTAAATAGCATGGTATTTTTCTGAAATAGGCATTAGTTGAATCGATTCTGTAAATGGTCTTGAGTCTTGAGCATTTGATGGCGGTCAACCCTTCCAAAGTACTGCAATTTCATTTTTAGTCAATTTTTTAAAGTTTTTTAGCTCTTGTTCGCGTTCCAGGTGTTCTAGTGAACTCTAGCAAAAGTAGAATATTGAATTTTAAAAAAGGTATGAGTTACTGTAATACTCCTGAGTCGATACGGCTAGTGGATCCTCTGAACTCTACTTCTTACTCTAAAGTGTCTAGTTCAAAATGGAAGACGAACAAGAACGAACAAGAACATTTTTGTCTAGTTTTAGGTCTCGTTCTCCTTGTCCCAATCCAGCTTTACTCGGGAGCAATCTGGTGGAGAGTTAAAGAAAAAATGGCTCTTGGAGAAGATTATCGTCTCATTTCGATCTTCGATCCGATTTTTGAGACTGGAAATTTCATTCGTGGCTGTTGCTGGGGCAAAAGTGCAAAGGAAGCTGTGGATTTGCCTGATTTCACTCCGCAAATTTCTCAAATAGAAACCGGAAAATTTTGAGATACTAAGAATTACTTATAGCTATGTTTTTTTCCCCGCAATTTGTTTCGATATGTGTTTATGATGGTATTTGTGATGGTGATGTACCGGTTTTCTAAGTCCCCTTTGAACTTTGAAATACAGATTAATTTTTAACGAGTACTGTCGAGATTGTAAACTAGATTTCAGTAAGCTGAAATCGATAGTGAATAGCTGTTGGTGCTGAAAATCGTTAGCTGTTTGTTTCTTTTTTTTTGGACTTTTTAAACTCAAAACGGTGCACTACAAAAGATTAACGTCCTCATTAATCTCATTAATATTCTTTTTTTGTGTACTGTGTTTGGTGATGAATAAACCTTTGTTCGCATTCAACTTAGGCATGAGAAACTCAAAATTCCAAATTTTTAACAAATAAAAATGAATTTACAGCTCTATTTGCAATGAAAAGCGTTGAAGATGTTTTCAGATTTTCAGAGAAGACACCTTGAGAATAAAAGGACAAAGTTTTGAATGGATAGCTCAATTTTAAGGTATCCAAACTAACTTTAAGCTGAATTTCAGCTTAGGAAATTGCAATTTCATTGAGCATGAACATGCTTTTTGGATGAAAGAAAGAATGAGAAAACTCTTTGCAAAGAAAAAGATGATTGATTAAAACAAAGAACAATTAGCGATTAGGAATAAAAATTGCTGATCAATGCTCGTGCTTAACTTTAGTGAAAGTTTCAATTAGCTTTGTTACCATTTGTGTGACTTTTTTGCCTATCAAAATTTTCTACCAAAATTTTCAACATTGACATTTTCGGGTGAACGAATAGAGATAAAACAATTTATTTCATAAACCAAGAAATGTTGATAGAAAGAAGTGTGCATAAGACTTTTCACAAACATCCTATGTTTTGCTCTGACGTTCTCCAGCTCACCATCTTCGAATTCTGCGATACAAATGTCGTAAACGAGGCTTAACAGCACCTATGTTTTTTAGATCAATCCATTTATTTTCTATGGGATAGAATTCTGAGTCTAAAAGCTGGACCGTGAAATCACCATTAACTCGAGTATAAGTTCGACGGTTGGGAGGTGTCTTTTGCAGTGCTTTCACAATTTCTTGAACAGGTATCATTAGAAATGTCCGATCAACTGTCATACATGGAATCTTTTCATTGTCTTCATAATTATTTGGATGATCGAGTAATATCAGAAAACCCACTTTGTCCCTCTTCCACGGGCAGTTTGTGAGGATTTGGGAAAAACGGCTTTCTTGTTCAACTTCTGCACCTAGATAAGTCAGTTCTAAAAGTGCCAGAAATTTGCAAAAGCTGTCCAGATATTTACGATAATCGTCCGTAGTACATTCATATAAATCAACTAAAAAAAAACCCTGTAAGTGCTCTAATTCACATTTTGGTTCGTGTTTGCAAAGTTCTCGTGGTGGATTTCGAATTTGGAATAGATAATTGGGAATGATTGAAGGAAATTCTGATTGTTGTTCAGGAAATTTTGGGATTATTGGTATTTCATTTTTATCAGCATTTTCTATCGGAATAAACCGATCGGAGAATATTTCCGCAATTTTCTGGACTCTACGCAAAACCTTAGTTGCAAGTTGACTCATTTGATTTATATCGATTAATTCTTGATGAGAAAAATGCAGTTCATCATAATCTTTCAAAGCATTAGAATTTCTTGCTTTGTTTCCCGATTCTATTACCGATTGACTGCCATTACTGATATTTCGGTAGGAGTTCAGTTGTGTTATAAAGTCTTTTTTGTAAAGTTTCCCACCAATGGCAAAAAACTCTTCACCACTTGATAATGAGATATAAATGTCGACGATGAAACGCGTTGTGTATCGATTTTGTTTCTGTTTCTGCAAATCCTCAACGAGGAATTGAATGATTGGAGACTGAACCCATGGACAAAACCAACCCAGAATTTTGTCGTTATATGGTATTGCACCATGGTCGCAAACCAAGCTGAATAGCCGATGCTGTCGACCAATGTCATTCGAAATTAGGAGACGAAAAAGCTCGTGAATGCTTTTTATATTTGAAAATTGTTGCTCTTTGGAATCAATCAGTTCCAATTCCTCCTCGAAATCTTCCCATTCATCAATATGCCAATCCTTTTCTGTCATTTCTCGAATAAGTGATGGAATTTCTTGAAGAAATGTTTCCTTCATTTCTTTGGTTTCAAACTCAGAAAATCTCCTTTTTAGTTCTTTTATTAAAGGAATATCGGTGTCAAGGGCACTTTCAATGTAAAGGAGTTTTTCAAATGTCACCACTTTATCCGTTAAAGATTCCCCAAAATTCTTTGCGAGATCAAAGGGTTCAACTACTGGAATTTTTTCTTCTGATCCATTAAATCCAATTGGCCTGATTAATTCTTTTTGTTTTGTTTCTTTTAAAGGCAAAAAATTTAAATTATCGATCAATTCTTGTTCCTAAATCGCCATTTGTTTAGATGATCTAATCACACACCTTTCTGAAATTTTCCAAACTCTTGACAACTTCTTGAGCATTTGGCCGTAATGAACGATTGAAGTTTGTGCATCTAGAATTTTTTATCCAATCTTTATGGAAATTTTCAACATTTGTTCACCAACTTTTGAACAATTTCCCCCAGTTTATCTTGACATTCGGGCCTGCTCAATTCTTTGAATCTTTTCAGAATAATGTCATCCAAAAAGCCATTACGATCGAAACAACGATTTCCATATTCAGAGAATACATTCCTAAAACGTTTCAATAAGGCGAATCAATTTAGGAAAACTCACCTTCTCTCAATGATTTCCCACATTGTGAGCCCAAGACTGTACACGTCATTTCGATGGGAATCCTGGAAATAGGTAATCCTTTATTCGAAAACTTAATGAAATGTTACTTGTTGAGTTTTCCGTTGTTCCCATGGATCTTGCGTTTCATCCAATTGTGGCGGACTAATATATCGTTCTGTTCCAACAACCGTACCCACAGTACAGGTTTTTTCAATCATTCGCGTCAATCCGAAATCCCCAATCTTCAGAATCCATTCATCAGTGACAAGAATGCTAAACTTTTACTGAATTCTATTGCACAGAACTTTTACTTCTCTGGTTGGATGTCTCGATGTACCAATTTCTTTTCTCGATACATATAATCAACAGCTCCAAATAATTGTTCTCCCCAACAGACAACTGTGTTCATTGTGTAGATAACGGATGAATCAAGGATTACTGAATAGATATTAATAATCTTATCCATCAATCAAGCTACCTTTTTTCAAATCTCCCAATCGACAATATTCCATAACAATTCCAAATCGGTCATCATCAAGTTGTTCAGTCCGAAGAAATTCCACAATATTTGGATGTTCCATTTCTTGCAACGTTTCGTATTCTTTTTTGAAGGCATCTTGTTGAGCCTTTGTTCCACAGTGAACAATTTTGCGAACAGCTGGAAATGATTCAATTGAGTAAATAAGCTAAATACTTCAATAGTAACGTTTCTACTCCCACCAACTATTGAACAACTCACGGATTATGTCCAACCAATTCATAGACATCCCCAAACGATCCTCGTCCAATCCAACGTTGAACGATTTCCATACTCCAACAAATACTAATTTTTGGTAATTCTGTGTTTGTATGTAAGCGGAATTGGTGAGAAAGCTACGACAGAAAGAAAATAAACGAAAAATCGATTGAGAACTAAATTTACTGATAAGGAAAAAGGGTTTGGAAAAGAAAAGATGACTGAGAAGTAGAAGACACGAGGATAATCAATTAATAAAGTAATACTCATAAATTTCTTTGAAAGTTCAAGGTTCAAAAAGGTGAGGGATTTTTCAAATAAGGTATTGTTCAAATGATGAAAGGCTCGTGGCTTGCAGCCGTGAAGTTGCGAAAGAAGGATTGATGGACAATCTTCTGATAAGGGGAAAACTCTTTGGCAAGAAAAATCATAAAAAGAGTTTTTTTTTTCTGTGTTTGCCACGTTGCTTAAATTCCATTTTCGTTTTCTGAAAACAATAAATATTTGTGGCTCTTATCCACGCAAATTTGTACTGCATTTTGAATGTAATCTTGCGTTTTGTTGAGTCTAGTTTTTAGTCAGCTTTATCGCCATTGAACAAAAGAATTGAAGGGAATGATTTAAAAAAACATTGGATACTCATGCTTACCGGTGTGAGCTTTATATAAAAATCAAAAATTTTGATTCTAAAAGGTTAAGAATGTGATTCTAAAATGTGGTCGAACAAAGTTCCTTGGTTGACAGTGAAACTCAAAGAATTTCATTCGAATGTGATTCTAAAAGATTAAGAAAAAGGTCTTAATTATCGTACAAATAGCTGTCCTAGGAGGCAAAAATATTTGCGAGAATTGTTCTGGACCGACCAAAAAAGTGTGCTTTAAATGTCTGTGCAATTTATCCGACAATAACAGTTCAAACAGTTCTGGATTCCGTTCATTTTACTTAATCATGATTTCATTCGATTTTCAGTTTGGTTCTTCATCGAAAGAGATTCTAATGAAGTAAATCGGACAAAATCTGAAAGGAAGGATACAATGGTTTTCCAAGTTATCCACCTTTTTGCAAACGCAGTGCTCGCGAAGGAAATTAGATTTTGCTTAGTCCTAAAACGCACTCGAATTACAATCCACAATTTGTTCAGTGATCAGACGGCGGTGGATGTTCTTGAATTAAAGATTTATTGCAATATGCAGAGGAGTTTTTAGAGGAGTCATTTCTCCATTGGTAAGTAAGATTTTTGCCACTGTCATTAGTAAAATTTTTTAAATGGATACGGAGAATTGGTAAAAATGCTCGACATGAAATATGAAATTCTTTGAGTTTCACTGTCAACCAAGGATCTTTGTTCTTCAGGAACGTGTTCTCACCTAAAATGGACTAAAATAGATTGCAAAGCATGAAAACCGGGTCCATCCCAAAACACCAAAAAGCTCCGCCAAAACAATGCCGTACCCAAAACAGCGACGAGCAAAAAAATTATTTTCTAGATTTTTGTTTTTGCTTTTTCTTTGCTGTTTTTAAATTTTTCTGTCCACTTTTTGTGTTTTTAGGGTAAAAAAGGCGGAGAATCCGATTTTTTTTAAGCTTTACGCATAGAAACCTACGATAGCGTTTATTAAAGTGATTTTGACCAAAAATAACAAATTTTTTTTCTTTTACGGCCTGTTTTGTAACGTTTTCACTAACTTTTTATTTTTGTAGATAACAAAGCAATCTGAAACTGAACGAGGCTTGCTGCATACTCATCATCGTCGTCTTATCATCACGAACCGACGTGAAATTTTGAGGTATATTTTATCAGCTTTATGGATGTGTGACTTAATATTTGGTTCGCCTAGCCATTTAGCATTTTTATTTTGCAGTTAATCAGTCAGCCAGAATCAGAAATCGAGCGAGGCGTTGCTGCGTGTTTCAAAAGGACAAACGTGGCGGTTAAGGTATATTTTATTAGCTTTGTGGTATATGGTTGATTGGTTTATGATTTATGGTTTGTTAACATGTTTTATGGTTTGTTAGTTATTAATTTATTTTTCTAGGCAGAATGACAAGCCAAAAAGGACGGTCACTGATTTACGATTCAGATGGATTCGAATATCGAAAGGACAAAGCACTTAAATGCGGTGTACTTTTGAGTTATAGGTAAGGGAAGTATAATTGATCTTGTAATACCCAGTTCTGTTTCCTTTTAGGTGTTCAAAGGCGAAATGCTATGGCCGAGCCTATCAAAACAAAGCAACCGGCATTCTTACGGTCACGAAAAATCACGACCACTTGCCACCAGAAAGCCAAAAAACAGGTAGATGGTTAAGACATTGTTGCTTGTGTAATAAATGCTTTTTTAGATTCGAATTGTGTTCGAAGATGTTAAACACCAAGCAAGCGGGTGTCCCCGTCAAAGATTGTATGGCAGACGATAAAAAACAGTCCACCCGACGTGACACGCCTACTCAATGTTTCCGGTTTGCAAAAAATGGCGAGGCGACAGCGAGTAATTCCTGGCGCAAAAATGTGGCCAATTCCGATCAATGATGGAAAATTTCGTACGCTTTTTAAATGATTTATATAGAATTTAAAATAAAGGTACAAGGTTTCTACGTTTCGACACTTGCGATGCGTACACATCTTGGAATGAAAAGGCAATGAAAGTCTTCTGGACCGATTGGGGAAAACAACAATTATATTGCATATTGCAGGTTAGCTATATATTTGTAAAATTTTTTTATTGTACTTCAGAATGCCATTTGGTCCTGTGACGGGACATTTGCTTCCGCGCCTGCAGGATTTAACCAAGTCTTCATTATTGGCATTGAGGTTGGCTTATTTTTAAAAAAGCCCAAATTTAAGAAATTTTAGGCATGAACATATGTTTGTTCCGTGCGTGTATGCACTTTTGGATCGAAAGGATGCTAACACCTACAAGGAAGTCTTTGGCTATTTTCAAGCAGCTGGCATACCACCTCCGCACAAATTAAAAATGGGTTGAATTTAAATATATTTTAGATTTATAATTTTTTTCAGATATGGAGCTGGCGTTGTACTGTGGTTTCAATCTTGCCTATCCCCATTCTGCAACGAAAGTGCACTATTGTACTTTTCATTTTTTCAAGAGCGCTTGTGGAGCTATTCAGGTTTTTAATTATAAAAAGTTAATACGATTGTGTTTTAGAAAAAGAACTTGTCTGATTTATACCGGGACTTGGACTGTTAATTTGATGCTATTTTGATGTTTTTTATGCATCGTTTAATTTGTCATGTTATTTTTAAATAAACTATCAAAATTAAAAGCTGCTAATAAAAAAAATGAGTTGTAAATTGTAAAAGAAAAAAAACTCTGTTTTGCATCGATGTTTGGGATAGTTGCTGAAAACCTGTTAAATCCACGCTGCTCCACATAATTATACCCTGCCTTATATTTAAAAAAAAAGGTTTTTAAGAGATTTTGTAAAAGGTTGTCAATAAGAATATGTAAAACATTTGACTACTAAATTTACCATTAACATGGAATTCGAATAGCAAAAAGGCAAAAATTTTATTTTGCAATTTTCCAAAAAACTGTCTTCGGCCAATCCACATAATTATACCCTCGTTTTATTTTATCCGTTATAATCGCATTTTTGTTCTTTCTATTGCATTTTGTATAAAGTTATGATTCATTTTCATTTTTCCAGGAAATACCACGAGGGAAACCGCTCTCCGATTTTGAGAAGGGGCAAATTGTGAAAAAGAAGGTGTAAGGCTTATCGAAACGCCAAGTTGCTCGAGATTTGGGTCGTGATCTATAGGTTATCAATTATTTTGTCAAGAACCCAAAAGGATATGGGAAGAGCAATTCATGCTGGTCAGACTTCGCTAGTTTCCGCGTCTGAAAAAAGAAGGATTCTCCAAGAAGCCTCCAACAATGTAGCGACTTGCAGCAAAAACAAGGCGGAGACGTATCTAAACGTTTTTTTCGAAACGATGCGATGGATGCGTTATTTCAAAGAAAAGTTTATCAAATGGAGAAAAATGAGAAAAGTTCCACGTTTATAACGACATCATCGAGATTCTCGGGTCGAATTCACCAAAAGAAACAACAAAATCGATTGGAAAACGGTAAGCAAACTTACAGTTCTACATCATAAGAATTTTTCTTTTAGATTGTCTTTTCCGGTGAAAAGAAAATTAACTGTGATCCGTCGATTCAATTCATCCAAAACCGTGCCACTCAGGCTTGTTTACAACGCAAAAGGATTCCTCGTCTTTCTTGGCCGGTCTGTTCACCCGATTTGAATGTGATAGAAAATGTTTGGGCTTTTATGGTTCGCAAAAGCTACGAAGGGAAAAAGACATATCAGAACATTGATGAACTCAAAGCAGCGATCATTGATGCATGGCACCAGGTTGTATCGGTGCAATTTTCGACTTTTCAGTCCAGCCCACTCTACCCATAGGTTAAACTTTCGACGTTTCAGTCCGACTGGATCAACCCAGTGAACTGCACTGAATCAAATGTCAAGTACTTAAACAAAAAGAATCTAGAATCTAGAATCGACAAAAAGAATCCGAGCGAACAATCAATAGACTTTGCAAGCGCCAAAAGGTGATCGAGAATGTTTATCGAAAAGCGAAAAGTGGCCGATCGCGAAAAGCAACGTCTCAACAGGATCAAAGCTTGAAGAATTATCATTTTTCGACACCGATTCGCTGTTGATGGACAAAATTACATCAAAAGAAACTTTGGAATAAAAGTATCAGTCCGAACAATAAGGAGGTGACTTAAAACATTTCGATTATTTTCACAACGACCAACTAGAAAACCCTTGATAGTTCCGATTGGGGTTTTTAAAAAGTAAATTGTTTTTTTGCAGAAGCCTTGCATTGAAAATCTTTGATAAATTTGAGATACGCTAAAGTTTAACAGGCTAACAGATACAGAAAGTTTTACCCAAACTTCCATAGATGTGGATTTGATTCGTTTAGCACTGATAAAATAAATGTTTTGGAAGAATTTCACTAAACTTATTGGCAGAAATTAGAGCACGAAAATGATCCTAAACTTAAAAAGGTCAAAATTAGCCACAATTTGATCCATTGGAAGAATAGGTCTTTAATATTATAAAATCAATCAAAAATTAGGCATTTTCAAGAGTACACTACCGTTTCCAACAATTTTCCGTTTCATTCCGTTTCATTCTAAATTCTATTTACAAGAAATCTGGAAACTTTTTGTTTTCCCTGGTACACTATCAAATATTGCATAAAAATCTTTGTTCAAATTAAGTCTATGGGGAGTAAAAATTAGCAAAGGTGACAGTTTTCGCAATTAAAATTTTCCGCCACTTCCTCAAGTTTCAAAGTTTCGATCGATTTCTCAAAAACCTAGATTTCTCATAAAAATGATTGATGTTATCTATATCTACATGGCTTACGGTATTCCGTCTGCAATTCTAACAATACTTGTTATGATTTGTATTCTAAGAGATCGATCACTGATGGAAGGATCTTTTTATCGTTGTTATTTATTTGTGTTGTTTGTGGTAAGGAAATTTTCTGAATTTACTTGTACTAAAATGCAAATGCACACACCTGGCGCACTCGGTTTCATTAATTTTTATTTAATTTAATAATTTAATAAACTAAGAAGCAATTTGGTACACCAGAACACGAGCGTTTCTAATCCAAACAAGTTGAAGACATCATCAGGTCTTTCATGGCCGAAAGATAGTAAAGATTAGTACAGAAAAAGATAGTATAAAGTTTAGGAAATCCGAAGGAGTGTGTTTACTTTTTGCGCATAAGTACAGCGCATATCACTGGCAGAAAGCAATTCGTCAAACATTGCGTTTAAAAATTGAACTCCTTGAGCAAAAAATAGATCCCAAAAGTGGACAAAGTCAAATTATTTGTCAATTGATTGTGAGTAGGGTTGTTCCAAAGGTTATGCTAAACCAGGGGTAACCAAGGGCAGGTCAGAACTCAGGTCTTGAACTGACCCGGCCTGGTTCTAGGGTTCGTAAGTCTTGCCCTGGCTTACAGACTATAAGATTCGTCTCTCACTATCCCTGACTATAAACCCTCTTTAGAATAATCTATCTGAATCCCTGAATAAATGTAAAACTCAGAACCCAGGTCTTGAACTAGCCTAACCTTCTTTGACCCGATTAAGGAGACCAGGTCTCAACCTAGGTCTTAACCAGGTTCTAGAATGATCTGGCCTGGTCAGACTAGGTTTTGGTCCAGTCTGATTGTACCCTGTCTTGGCTTACAGGCCATAGAAATGTCATTTGTCAAATTCAGTACATCACGACCTATCTGAATACGTGGATAGCCGTAAAGCTTCGCGGTCTCCACTCGATGACTTGGATCTATATGGGAATCCAGAACTATTTCCCGCCGTATCGCCTTTGCTACGCGTACCAATTTGCCTCGTTTTACATAGAAAATGGAGCACTGATCTTGCTGCATTTGAATCGATTCACTGCGATTTGGCTGCCAATCAAGCATATCAAAGTAAGGTGTTTTTCGAGCTTTGAAAACATTTTAGATTTGCATAAAACTTAGATTTGGAATCTGCGAAACATAGCCTATGCAGGAATTCTCATTTATCTGATTGGTTTCTCGATTTGCTATTCCGATTTCTATATTGGTCCGCTTTATGTAGAAGTGAATGGGCTAGCTGTAGACAATCCAGCACTAATGCCAGTAGGATTACATTTAAAAAACCCTGTAAATATTTTTCAGGAATTCTGGCTATCCGCTGCGTTGATGGGCCCGCTTGGGCACACGTTCCCATGGATTGCGCTCGCGTTGGATCTGTTGACACTCGGAAAGATTCTCTATTTGAGGATTATGGGGAGACAGTGAGTCTTACAAAGTAACTTGTCTTAGTCTCAGATCAGCCAACTAAAAAAAAAGTCAGTCAGTCTCACTAGTCAGGCCAGCCAGTCAGAGTCAGACCATGGACCTGATCTCGAGGGCCAGCTCTATCTGCATACGCTGTGTTTGCATCTGGTGAATTCGTTAGAATCCTTGCAAATGTTTCCACAAAGTGAGTTAAAAGGTTTTTTAGAACAAACGGAGTTTTGGTGGAGATCAACTTGTTCTTGATTTGCCTCAGCACTTTCGTCGTTCAACTGACATTAATGTTGTACTTTGATCGTGCTTTCAGCCTTTGGAATACCCCAGAGATGTCGCTTTTAATGGTGGGTTGTCTGGGTACATTTTTGTATTTGAGTAATTGAATGGGAACAGAAAATGAAAAGAAATTAGTTTTGAAAATAGAGAAGACAGTTTTTGATTGAGGCTATTTAGTTTTTGATTTGAAAACAATGCTTTCAGCTAAGTGTTGTGATTGATTTGTTCACATTGAGCGAAGCGTACATTGGATTGGCGTTGAATCGAACACTGCGCCAAAAATTGTTCGCCATGCTTTTTGGGAAGAAAAGAAATGGTGGAAAAGTATCGGAAACGACGAGCGCTTTTCAGCGATCGAACAAAGAGACAAAACAATTCTCGCAGAGTGTAGTAAAGTTTTGACATTTTGGAAGATAATAAATCTGGATTGAAAATTGCACAATTTCAATGATAAAGAACAATTCTTTTAGCACTTTAAAAGAATCCTCATTAAATTTGACTTAAGAAAAGTTGAATTTGTTTTGTACACCAACCTGTAAGAACATAGAGAAAAATTGCGTCAGAGTTGACCTACTTACCTACAGAAGCCGATCAACTTTGACAGTTTATAACTCGAGATACAGGTATTCGATCGACTTGCGGTTGGTTTTAAAAGAACCCTCATCAAATTTGACTAGAGAAAAGTGCTATTTGTTTTGTACACGCACCTGTAAGAACGTAGAGAAAAACGGCTTTGAAAAGTAGTGCGCTAAAGTGCTTTGTTCGTAGTGTTCGTAGTATTTTAATCGAATGAAATTCGAACAATTCTAATTCAATTCTCGCAAATGTACTTTCTGCTTGAAATTTAAAAAATATCCTTTCTGGATTATCAATGCAATCAAAACAACAAGGCTTGTTTCAAAACTAGTAATGAAATAAAGAAATTTGGTCACAAAATAACTAGAGCGTAATTCTCTGCGCTTTCTAAAAGTCATCCATTTTTTTAAACTGTAATCAAACTGTCAGTTTACATTTGATTATTCAAAATTTGAAATCATTGATGAAAAAGCACACGATTTAGTCAATGATAAATTGAAATTCAGTTTAAAATTTGTCTTGAATGAAAACTGGGGGGTAGGCTAGTTTCCGCAACTTTTTTTGCGCAACAGGGTTATTTGCGCAACTGGGTCGTTTGCGCAACTCGCCATAACTTTTTTCTAAGTGGGCCAATCTTTATGATTGGTTTCATTTTGTTGCACTTATTGAGATCTACAAAATGGAACCAAAATCATAAAGATTGGCCGACTTAGAAGAAACGACCCAGTTGCGCAAAAAAAATGCCTACCTAATTAGCCTACCCCAAAACTGGTGATTTGATTACGGTTAGTAATTTGAAATATAGTATTGCGCTCTAAAAAAGGATGATTCCCTCAAAAACCAAAAGAGTTCACAGTTTTTTTGTTGAATAATTAAAAATTTACAGACATTTTTGGAGATTTAATGGATTGATTGATTGATCTGAAGGACAAAAAGAGATCGTTTGTCGAATTGCTAAAGCAAAATGAAGAAGTTGAAGAGCAAAGAGTCGAGAAAAATTCAAAATAGGCTCTTCAAAATAGGAACGAACCAAAACCAAATCTCCATTTGAACGGCATCAAAACGAAAAATTCAGATTCTCAAGGTCGACGATTTGTTAAACGTTCAAGCTTACTTCAAATATGTCTCAAAATCTTAATAAAATTCTTTTTTAAATCATAAAACATTTAATGGCACTTTTTTTGTGTACAAAGATTGTGTTAAAGTTTAGACTGCGTTCACTGCAAAGGACGCTTATACTGGATGCAGATTTATTCATTGAATGTAGAAAATTTAAACTCAAGCCTTGCAAATTGGCCTCAAAATCAGCGTTGAGCCATCATTTTGACGAACTCCTCATAGTTGACTTGTCCATCTCCATTCACATCAGCTTCTTCGATCATTTCTTCGACTTCTTGTTCCGTTAAAGCGTCACCCAAAGATGTCAGTACGTGACGTAATTCTTCAGCAGAGATGAAACCATTCTGATCTTTATCGAAAACCTGAAACAAGAGATTACATTTTGCGACTTTTTGTGCTTTTGCTGTGAAAAGTACTTGGATACTTGAAGATTTAACTTGAATTTACAAAAATATAGTAGAAGATCTTATACATAGTAGATAGTAGAAGATCTTATAAATTTGCAATGCGGTTATCTAGGTGATCAAAGAAACATATCATGTTACATTTGCACTTATGAAAATTTAATGAAAGTAAATTTGCATTTATGGCATTGTTAATGAGAAATGGTTTTAGTGGCGCTTTTTTGGCCAGCATGCGGTTTTACCACCATCCGAATTGTTATATTAGTTTTTAAATTCAAATTTTTTAGCGATATGATCGTTTAGTTAACCGAATTGTACCAAAGATCTTAACATTTATTACAATTTTTGAGTTTAGAAGATTTAACAAATCTGACTATGAGAGCTTGAGGTGTTAGTGCCACTTTTGGTCATTTGGTTGATTTTAAAAACCTTTAGACAAGGTACAATAACTAACAAGGAAACCCTTCGTTAAATTACGGAATTCATTAGATACTTTAAGTGCTATAGAACTGAAAAAGCTTCATAGTTTTGAGCTAGAAAACTTGACTAATAAGAAACTTTTCATTTGTATCAGACCTGAAACGCTTTTCGTAAATCGTCCTCCCCGGCTGGTGCTTTCATCTTTTGTGCCATCATTTGGAGAAACTCCGGGAAATCAACGGTTCGATTCCCATCCGAATCCCCATCATTTATCATCAATTGTAGCTCAGCTTCAGTGGGGTTTTGTCCCAAAGATCTCATCACTGTTCCCAATTCACCGGCTGTGATCGTTCCACTCTGATCTTTATCAAAAAGAGAGAAAACTTCTCGAAATTCAGCGATTTGCTCAGCGGAAAGCTCGTCAGCCATCTCGAAATGACGAAATTAAGCTGGAAATGAAATGAAATGAAACATGTTGAATCAAAAATTGTTATAAGCTTATGCCAGAGTTTAAAATTGTTAGACCTAATCGGCCCGTCGATGAAAGATACGTAAAATTTAACTCAAAAATTCAAGAAAATTCAATGAATTTATCGAAAAATAAGATTTTCATATTAAAATTGGGTAGATTTCTCCAAAAAATCGGCTAAATACTCAATTTACGACGCTAATTTACGATATTTTCGAGACGTTTTCGTTTAGAGAAAAAATTCACAGCGTTTCGCTTGTGAAATCTTTTAAAGTTTACCAAGAAATTTGTTGGAAAGTAATTGCAATCCAAGATTTTGAGAGGAATTTATTTTTCCTTTTCAGAAATCAATTTTTGTGTTGGCTTGACATTCCATTATAATTGCGCATTGACAATTTTAGGTGAAAGCTTTCATTTTCCTTTCATTTTCCTTTCTTTTTCTTATGCTTATAAAAAAAATTTTTAATTTCAGATAGAATTCATGAAAATTCGGTAGACTTTTACGGGATTTATCCATTTTTAATATGCTCACCTCAGTCAACAGCTTCCAGGGAATACTCTTGAACTCGAGCAAATGCTGATAAAAGGCAACTGCTGAGAATTTCAATAATCGAAGATTGATGGCAAGCAATGGTAGCAAAGCAAATAAAGCGAAATTTGTGCTTTTTTTTCTGATTAAATTTTCATCTTGAGTTTTCAAGTATTGCGTTAGCGCAATAATCGCTGCCAAATGAGATTTTCAAGCAATACGTGTTTCGAAGTAAACTTTTTGAAGGAAAACAATCTCAAGAAAATATTTAGAGCAAAAGAAAGTTGAAATCAGATTTGCGTTGATGAAATTAGCCCTAAAGGACATGGCCAACCAAGTCAGAGGCGTGGATTTGCGATAACTTGATCGCTAATCGCCAAATAACTTTACAAATCTGGCATTAAGTTTGTAAGATTTTGAGGATTTTCCGTTTAAAATTTCATTTAAAAGCTATTGATTCTACGCCGAGATATTAGCGATTAAAGAAAGAGTCAAGACTTATTTTACAACCTAATATGGCTTTGATTTACAAGGGAAGGTCACAAGGCTGAGGTGGCCAAATGATATGAGCCGTGAGATCAGACGACGCAGAATTTTACGCTGATTCCGATACTACTATCCGCTTGATGTTTAATTGCTCGAATTTGCTTTATTTTAACCGCACAATAAGGATTATGATATCTTTTAATTGATAACATTTTCATTTCATTCATTCACTTATAGATTGCTGTCACGTGAGCTCATTTTTTTGTTATTTTGTTTTTTATCAATTAAAAGATGTCATAATATTTATTGTAAAGTTAAAATAGCGAATTCGAGCGGTTAAACATCAAAATAAAATGAAAACAAAAGGAAGGGATCGAACCTGGGCAAGACTTGATGGCTTGTTTCGAAAACAGGACTCTTATCCACTACACCATCGTCTCACACGGTGAAAGAAGCCTTATATAGGGACTGCTTTTTGACCTCCAATTTGACCTCAAACTTGTTTGATTCCTCGCGTTTTCGAATCATTTTGCCAAACACAGAAAGCAGCATCGGAATACGCGTAAAATTCTGCATCGTATGGTTTATGGTTCATTTCAATTAGGCCACCTCAGCCCTGTGACCTTTCCTTGTTAGCCATGAGTGTGATCTGTCCAGCAATTTCGTTCTAGCCCAGTTTAATATCATTTGAATGCCTAAAATTCAGTGTATAAGGTTTCAAAATACAGAAGTTCAAAGCATCAGTTGAGATTGTGAATTTTGTGATTCAGCCAAATAAAGCCAAAATTCATTCAATTCACATTTGTTAGAGGTATTGATTGAATCGAATTCGTTGTTTTTCTCTTGATTTTGCGCTCTTTTGGCTTTCGCAAGCAGATAGCCGTGATCAAGCTGTGAATAATTTCATTGAAAAGAAAAGTTTCCAACCATACCTGGTAACAAAATAAAAGTAAAAATTTTGCAATGTATTGAGAATTTCAATGAATAGAAATAACGAAAACATATCGAAAAAGGCGTTTATGAAAATGCGGATGATATCGTAGAAAATCGAGGCTGCAAAGGTGATCACCGAATTTGAGAGCATCTGAAGGAAAAACTTGCTGTAAAGGATTTAGTAAAGGATATTTACTTGGTCAGTGATTCAGTTAAGCTTTCAGTTTTATTAAAAGACAGACAGACAGAGAGACACTGCTCTTTTATATATCGCACTTGTCTTTAGCCCACATGACCCGAGTTTGACTCCCGCCCGTCTCGGCACTTTTGGTTTTTTGAAATTTAAAAACTTGCATAACTCGATGGAATTCTAAGCCAAACTAACCATAAGTCATTTGAAATCGCCCACTGGGCGCGGAGAAGTTGACAGAATAGACACAAAGACACAGCTCTTTTGTCTATAAGCCTTTCTTTTTTGATGAGTCATATCAATTTTTGTGTATAACATACGACTCGGGTTCGACTCCAGCCAGCATCAGCACGTTTGGGTTTTTAAAAATTTAAAAACATGTTGCATAACTCCATGGAATTCTAAGCCAAACTAACCATAAATCATTTAAAATGGTCCTCTGGGGGCTGAGTAGTGCGTACAGACAGACAGTCTTTTATATATAATAGTTTGCATGAAACTGTTTCAGTCGAGCACTCCAAAGCCTGCCCTGGCTACCGTAACCCAATCCAGATCCTTCTATCAAGCCAAGCCTCGTCTTTGTAGGGTTTTACATAAAGCTGATTGATGTTACGGTATTCTTTATGGTGACCGTACCATCCGGATTATGGTAACTGACTGCCACTGGAGCTAAAGTAACCCAACCAAGACATTTCTGCGACAAGTCAAGACTCCTTTTTGTAGACTGTTTCTTAACTAGTCGATTTTACGGTACTATCCGTATTACTTTAACTTTAATTTACTATCCGTTTACCGCACCATCCGGATTACGGTAAATTATGCTGGCAAGGGCACTTTTTGGAACGTTTATTCAAATTAGTATCGACTCGCCTGTATCATCAGCAAACTTTCCACTCGATTCACATTCATTGTCCCGTCTTTTTTCAACTAAAATCATTAGATAAATACTTTAGCTTTAACTTTATAGTATTGTTACTGAAAAAAAAAGTTCTTTGAACTTTTCAAGCCAGCCTTTTCCTCATACAATTTTCATTCTCCGATTCGTCATGAAATCTAACGAGCACATGAGAAAATATGGAATATAGATTCCAAAATATTGCCAATAGCCATAAAATATATCATTGTATGCGTGAAGATTGATCTGATCGATGCCAATTTGAATGAACCATGGGAACAACATTTGAGCAAATGGCCATTTCGAGACCAACCAAAAGTATTGACCGTCAAAAGAAACGGCAAAGAAGCGGCTGAATGGGTATTTGTATTATTGAAATTTACATTTAACTGGCCACTAAGAGATTCACAAGTCCAGCTTTCTCACCTACCCCAATGAGATGAGTAGCTGAGTGGTTTGAGCGATCTCCCGAAAAGCTCCGTACCAAACATAGTCATTGACAAGACTTTTGAGTGTTTTGGTGAGCGATTGATGACAACTAGAACATCGATCGATGTTTAGAGATCGGAAAACAAATGACACAACTAACTGAAAGACATCGATCATGTTTGGAAGCTGGCAAATATTGTCGATCAAGTAGCAAATCGCGAAAAGAATTTTGAAAAAAGGATTCACTTGTGGCCAGTATTCTGGAATTTGATTTTAGCTGATCTAGCAAAATCGCTTACCGAACTTGAAAAGCCAACAAAGTATTCAATAATGGTGCTGTGATTGCGAATGCGTTCACAAAAATACTTACAAAGAGAATCTGAACAAGAGAGATCTTTCACGGAACTCTTCTAATAGTAAAAATCTTACCAAAAAAGCGCTAATCTTCATTATATCTTGAACTTTGGAGGAAAAATCCCAATCGATTTCGATTGGTTGATTCAAGAGTTGCCAATTTGTCATCGAGAAATTCCACAAATACCAATGGATAACTGAATTTGGTATTTGCAAAGTTTTTTTTTCTTTTACATTTCAGCTATGTAAATTTGCGGGAAAAATCATACCGTAAATACTTGAATACCCCATCCCCATAATGACGGTGCGTAGTGTTGGGTAGTCTAGCTTTGAAAGAGTTTTTCTCGACACTGGTTTATGCTACAATGCGCACTCCGCTACAATACAACAGAGTCTGTAAGCGAGGCCAGCTCTAAAGCAGGTCAGAGGTCTAGGCCAGAGAGCCAACGCCGATCCAGTGCTTTTGTGGTGTGGGCCAAATTAAGCCAGGAGAAGGCTGGCTTGTGAGCAGGTATATTCAGCTAGATCTCAGTGCTTATAAGCTAAATCAGAGCTAGGGGAGAGCCAAGTTAACCTACCGTAAATACTGTAAGAGTACCCCACCCCCACAATGACGGTGCGGAGTGTTGGGTAGTCTAGCTTTGAAAGAGTTTTTCTCGACACTGGTTTATGCTACAATGCGCGCTTAAGTATCAAAAAATTGCCCTGAATTTCAGCTATTTTTTGATACCAAAGACGCATTTTTTGAAAGTAAGGGCGCTTTTAAAAAAATGAAATACTAAAAAAACTTTTGCGACTACGCGACTGTACGAGGGGGGTGGGGTACTATTACAGTATTTGCGGTAAGTTTATATTAGTACAAAACTTCACCTACCGTAAATACTGTAATAGAACGTCACCCCCAATAGTTACGGCGTATCGTCGCGTAGTCTAACTTTGAACCCTTCGTTCTCCGCGCTGCTTTATGCTACAGTGGGCGCTATTTTTTTGATACCAAAGACGCATTTTTTGAAAGTAAGGGCGCTTTGAAAAAAATGAAATACTAAAAAAACTTTTGCGACTACGCGACTGTACGAGGCGGGTGGGGTCCAATTAGATTATTTACGGTAGGTAGGTACCCTAAATTTTCTGAAAATAAAACAATTAACAAACTCATTAAAATTGTGGTGAGCAAGATGACAATATAGAGATCGCGGAATTGCCAGAAAGGATTTCGTTTGATTTGTTGGATTGTTGATTCAATGAAAGACATGATTTTTAGATGTATTTGAATGTGAAATCTGAATGTTTCAATTCTTTTTTTCTTCAACTTTATTCCAATACCAATTTTCTGAATGAAGTTTCTAAAATAGGTCAATTTTCAAAAACTAACCTGAGCTGATTCATAGAAATTTGAAAAATTACATCAGTCTTTTGAGTTGAATTTGAGGGAATTTCGCATGGATTTGAGTTGAAAATTGGCAGAAAATAGTGTAGAGATCAAAAAGCTTTAGTAGATCACAAAAAAGTTCAAAAATCGAACTTACCACAGCTTTTTCTTGGAAGATTAATGAAACTGGATAACTTTTGAGATATAGCTTTACAAAATCTGTACAAACAAGGAAGTTGTCTGTGTTAGCCATAAAAAAATCGGAAAAGATCACAAAGTTGAACCATATATTTCTTTGAACTTTAACAACTTCGCCCTAATTATGAGTCTAAAGAAAGATTCTATTTGTGGAATGCGGCGAATTGCGTTTCCCTTTACAAACGCTTGCTTCAATCCAATAATTGGCAATCAGGAGAATAAACTCTGTTTTCGAGGCTGAAAAGACAAAGAACAAAGATTTTTTGCTCAAAACAGATGAATGCTGGAAAGCTGCAATTGAATTGTGATTCGTTTGATCGAAATTATGAACTTCAACTTATTGGAATTGCGTTATTGAGTGACAAAACTGACTACCAATCTTCACATTATAAATCAACGAATACACTTAGAAGTGATCGGTTGATGCATTTGACTAGAGGAAATTAATGAAACGTTTGTCGATTGAGGTGATGTGCTTTTCTCGTTTTTTCTTCTTGTTGCTTTTTTCAAGAAAATCGCATTCGAAATTCTGAAACGAAGGAATTTTTGAAGATTTGAAACGGTCTACTCAAAGATGAGTCATTTGGAGCAAATATTATATTCATTTATTTGAAAAGCACGCTTTTTGATTCGTTTCCCTTTGGAGCCGCTTTTGATGCATTCAACGATCGAATTTCACAAAACTAAAAGTGTTAAGTTAAAGAGGACCATCGCATTGACCAAAAACTCTTCCTAACTAAGAAAAAGAGGTCCGAACACTTTTGTTTGGAGAGCCAAGAAACTCTAGACATGGCAAAGTTTTTAGAAATTAGCAAAGAGATAGTATTTAGGTGAACTTAACCGATCACTCCTTCACTAATCTGAGGCCAAACGTGTAGAGAGCCATTTGCAATTTGCTGACAACTTGCAGGAAAAGACTTTCCAAAAGGGGTCCTATGAAAGAATTTAAAACGATGAACAATATGTTCGTGACTACATAGTTGATAAAGTCGATGATAGAGCTGCAGACCATCTAAAGTTTAAAACAAATATAATGGAGTTTGTGCTTTTGCAACGAAGTCTTTGGCTTGAGTTTCTAATTATCTCTTTTGAACGTTTCTCAGCTGAATAGCTTGTCATTTTGCCAGAAACTTCAAGAACAAGATCGTTCTATAAAGCTAAGTTCAATCTCTTTCTTTGGCCATTTTTGACGGCTAAAGTAAAACAGCTAATTCTAAAGTCAAATTGAGCTTTACCTGTTTCATGAGCCGTCTCTCAACCAATGGGATCTTTCCATTTTTCCTCTAAATCCCATCTAACATTGTCTAATTGAAATCACCAACTTTTCGAAGCTTTCGAAAAGTGAGAAAAACAAGATTAATCATGAAAAAACCATTTTAGTTAGAAATTAAAAATCCACAAACTTGATAATTTCAGCTTTGATGCTGTCGTCCTGTTGTTGACCTCTCCAAACCCTACTACACCCGATATTGAAAAAGAATCGTTGTTTCTTGTAACAACACACTGAGTTCTTCTCATCGTAAATGAGGTAGTTCTATAGCCTCAACTAAAAATAAACTTATCCAGAAATTAATACTGATCCTTTTAGTGACCCCGCAAGTACCAAACACCCACTTCTTCAAGTTTCCATGCGACAAGTTGCGGTGAATGAGAGTTCCCCGGTTTAACCCACTCCCCAAGTCGTGCCTAAGCGAGAGAAATTTAAGCATGGATTACACTTCTAATTAAGCACTTCTAATTGATTAGATCACGAAAATTTCACAAATCTTAATCATTCTTCTGTGATCACCAAATCCGCGCCCAAACTTTTCATGTGATCTTCGAGTTTCTTTTGTGCATCTGGTGTTTCTCGTTTGCCCATAATGTTCACACTCTTGATTCCAAGATTCAGCACGTTTGGTTTTTTAAAATTTAAAAATATGTTGCATAACTCCATGGAATTCTAAGCTAACCATAAGTCATTTGAAATGGTCCTCTGGGGGCTGAGTAGTGCGCACAGACAGACAGACAGACACAGCTCTTTTGTCTATAAGCCTTTTTTTTCTTTGGAGGCAGGGGCAAAAAAAGTTTAGAGACTACGGTGACCGATTCGAGCGAATTTCCGAGGATTATTTACCCAATCACCGTTCGTTCAACACAAATTTGCAGGTTCGTAAGAGCTAAAAGATTTTTCTCTTTTAGCTCTTAGATAAAGATAAAGAAATTTTCCGAATCTCATCGATGAGCTCAACGAAGCAAAGATTTCGAAAACGGAAACTGTAAAGAAATGAGATAACTTTATGATAACTGTTTTAATATCTAACGTTCAATTTTTAGGAAGTCTTTTTGATAATAAAGATTTCACGTGCTCAAAGAAATCTTCTTTGAGCCAAAAGCAAACGTATGTAAAAACAAAATGTGAGAAAAATTGAAAGAAAAATAAGCTTAGTTTTTATCCACTCAATCTAATTTTTGTACCATTCTCGGGAAAAAATCATTACAGCAAATTTTTGCAACGTCCATGTTTTTTTCGTAAAGCACAACGAAAAAAGTTTGTGAGAGACCCATTACTTGATGAGTCACATCACTTTTTGTGTAATACAACTGGAAACGGGATATCTTTGCCGCCGATCTCTGCAAAAAAAAAGCCTTGGAGAATCAAAAATAAAAATTTATATTTACTTTTCTGAAACTACCATGGAAATTGATAATATATTTTCCACAGAAATCATCTTCAAATTCTTTTCAAAAACTTCAATCGATGAGTTGAAAGATCTCAAAGAGATTTATTTGATCTGTCATCCAGGGAATCGGCTTGTTGTGCGGTGGGTTGTGTTATTTTAGAACTGATTTGCACATAAATTCTACTTGTAAGTTGAGTTTTTTCTACCAGTTTCAGTTTTACTCTAGACAGTTCAGGCTAAAAATTTCATTTTCTGGAATCGATTTGATCTTGGCCTACCAGGCAAATTTCTGATATTTTCAACTGGACCTAGCTTGGCCACCAGATCAATCCGGGCTTTGAACTAGCCAAACCTGAGCTGAGCGACAAAGTACCAGCTTGGGTGTGTCTAAGGTTTATGACATCTTGTTTCCAATAAGTTTTACTAAATGCAAATTTACTAATGCTTTTAAGAATAGTAAAACAAAATAGTTAGCAAAATCAAAATACCTATACTAGTTTCTTTTTTTCGTTCCAGAAAGCTTCGCCTCAAACCGATTCCCGCGAGTTGGGACCCCAAATGGACTCCGTCGAGAACGCCGCTTTTTGATCCAAGAAGGTTCATTTGACTGAGTAAAATTATTGCATTAAGATTGCTTAAACTTTTAACAAAACAAAATCATGCCATTTTTTAAGCTATTTTATAGAAATAATGGAACTTCAGATATGTCATTAATCAAGAAATTCGCTTCAAAAAGATCAGGGATTGGTATGAAAAACATCAGGTAAAGAAAGGGTTAATAGCTTTCATTGTAAGATTTTCAGGAAGAGTACCCGGATCTGAAAACTGTGGATGGAAAGAAAAGGCTTGGAAAAGATACGGGTTAGTTCAAAGCCTGAGCTTTAGCACATTGAATCTCTTAGGTGAAGAAGGAGGCTCGTTGATTTTCCATGGAACGGCGAATTTGCACGAAAAGTTGACAAAAGCGTTTTTGATTTTAGCAAGAGGTTAATTGTTTGGTTTTTTTACCGTAATCAAATCGCTAATTAACGTTTAATCAGCCTAATTTTTTAAATCATTGACTAATCCTTGTGATTCCTCAACGAATGCTACCAAAAAAAATGGCTGATTGAACGAAAATTGGCCGTTTGGCTTTGGTAATTTTCTAAAATCAGTGTCTTTTGGAAAATTCACTCTATTGCAGCTTTCAACAGCGGTGAAATTCCGACAAATAACCTCATCATGATCTCGTTAAAGTTTTTCGATGATTTAGAATACAGAGATTCCCGGATAAAGGTGGGTTTTTAAACTAAAGTTTGTGCAGAATTTTCATTACAAGATTTCATTTCAGATTTCCACAAATAGTCGCGAAGAATTGCCACAGATTCTACGGGAAATCCACAAAATCTTGCTCAACGCCAATTCACCGGATTTCTTCATTCGTTACAAAACGGATGTGGCTTGGTTGGTAATGGACTTACCGTAAATACTGAATGATAAATACTTAACGTAAATACTGAATCCTAGAATGACACCCTCTAATAGAATCACCCACTGACCCCAACGAAATCTTGATTTTAGATCCCCCTTTTGGGGGTTCAATGTATAGATCTAGGCCTAAAACCTAATAATATTTTATCGGCAGTAGGATTTAAAACGCTATTTTTGAAAAAATAGAAAAAGAATTTTTTGAAAAAATTATAAGGGTCCTCCACATGGATTTTTTTTGGAGATTCAAAGGGGTATCGCGGGTAAGAAAATAATTTCACTTTTAAACGTGGTTTTTTGTACGCTTTGAACAAAAAGCCATCGTTTAAAATAGTTTTTAACGAATTCGAAATTTTTGATGCCTCTGGCTTTACCCTTACCGACTTTTGGATCGTCCAATTTTGAGGGGTTGAAATATAGAATGACATATCATTCTAATACAGCATTTAGGGTAATCGAGTTTTCTCAGTGTCCTTAAGAAAAAGCCAGCGTACTCCAAAAACCGACTAATTTGTCTATTTAATAGACTGCGCCGACTCATTAGCGAACTCAAAAAGTAGTCAAAAGAAAGCTTGCAGTTTTCAAGCAGTGGGATTATTAACTGAAAGGACCAACAAGTGAATCGGAATACATTTTTAGCTGTTTGAACCGGTACTACAAGGGTTACTTTAAAATCGAGTCTCCAGTTGAGGGATGGAGCTATAACATTGAAAAACTTATCAATCAAATTGCTTCATTGTGATGCTTTGTGATTTTTGTGAAAACATATTTGTTTGTACTTATTTTCATTTTTCTGTTTTTGATCGAGGCTCTTAATTCATTCATAAATGATAAAAAGATGGGTTTGTAGCTTTTCAGCATCATGTTTCAAAATGCAACTTCAACTGAAAAACAAATTTGTATGTATTGGGTTGACGGAAAAGTCCTTTCCGATTTTTTGGGAGAGTACCTTACATTTGTTCAATTTTGACGTTTTATAGCTCATCCTAAAGCTGAATGCAAGACGGATCGATTGGTAAAAACTGTTTTGAGATATCTCTTTTCTAAAAGGTTTTACAGCTATATTAGTAAAGGGCGGCAGAGCCAAAAAATGGCTGTTTTCACGTTTCGTTAGCTTTCCGTGCAGAGCTTTGGCTAGAAGTTTTTAATTGTTAGTCATTTTTCCGACAAGTAATCATGTAGTAATGAAAAAAAGGTCATCGAAAAACCTTTTCAAAATCAAAAATCCGCCTTTTGAATTTTTAAAATCATTCTTTAGCGATGAATCATGAATGCTTTGAGACGAATGACTTTGTGGCGCTCTCGCTTAGAATTGAATCACCCATACATGCTTCCAGGATCGAGGTTTAGTTAAAGAATCGTATTTTTTTTCGTTTTCAACAAGTAGCCTTAAATATTACTTGCTTTCAGATTAACACGAATCAGCGGCTTGATGGTGAGCTGTTGGAGAAGATTCGCGACGTTTTCGAAAGCAACAGAGATCAAAAAGCTTTAGTAGATCACAAAAAAAAGTTCAAAAATCGAACTTACCCCAGCTTTTTCTTGGAAGATTAATGAAACTGGATCACTTTTGAGATATAGCTTTACAAGATCTGTACAAACAAAGAAGTTGTCTGTGTTAGCCATAAAAAATCGGTAAAGATCACAAAGTTGGACCATGTTTCTTTGAATCTTAACAAATTTCCCCTAATTATGAGTCTAAAGAAAGATTTTATTTGTGGAATGCGGTGAATTGAATTCAAAGAAATTTGAAAAATTACATCAGTCTTTTGAGTTGAATTTGAGGGAATTTCGCATGGATTTGAGTTGAAAATTGGCTGAAAATAGTGTAGAGATCAAAAAGCTTTGGTTGCTCACAAAAAAAAGTTCAAAAATCAAAATTACCCCAACTTTTTTTGTTAGATTAATGAAACTGGATCACTTTTGAGATATAGCGTTACAAGATCTGTACAAACAAAGAAGTTGTCTGTGTTAGCCATAAAAAATGAGTCCTTCCTTTGAAAATTTTCGAGATTTTAACTGTAAATAATGTACAGGTAAACCTCGTTAGTAAATAACTCAAGGGAGATCGAAAAATCTATTAAATATCGAGGTTAAATTGAATGTTTTTTCGTCAAAGGGGTGTTAGAAAAGCTATTTGCTAAAGAGTTTTCTCCTAACAAGGTTTTACTGCAATACTGGTCTTACTAAATACATAATCGATAATACAATAATAAATAATACATGTAAATATTAATACCGTATTTTCTCTAATAGTAGTGCACCGTGAGCGCCGCCTAAATTGCTCGAAGTCTCGAGAACTGCTTATCAGAACCTATCGATGTGGGGTCGGAAAATTTAGCCGACGATGAGATCTAGTGGGGGATTAGAGCGTTGAGCTTCTGCCAAAGCTTGGAAACCGTAAAATCACCACTAACTCGGCTCGCCGGGGTGCATTACTACTAGAGAAAACACGGTAATAATGTAAATAGTACAAAGTAACAAAGAAAAAAGTAAAATGCCACAAACACAATCAGAACTAAAATATTTATTCCGCTGCAATATGGCCGAGAAATAAAAAATTATTGACAAAAATACAGTTTTCTAGGCAAAGATAAGGAAAAATAAAACCAACATCAGTAATCCTGAAGCTGAAGTCCCATTGGCATTCCTAGTATGGCATGCACGAAAAATCCGAATTAGGTTGCGGAATAGAAGTTCATAATAAGTGGCGGTGGTAGGCGTCCATTGACCATTCAGGAAAACCTAAAAAAATTACAAAACAAGACTTGCTATTAGTGAAATTCTCTCCAAGCTCTGTTATACAAAAATACCGTAATATTTCAAAATTTAAACACTAACCTCTCGTCGAACTTCAGTCAGAAGTCAGAAGATGACCCTCGAGCTTTACTAGTTTCAAAAAATCATACCTTACTTAAATCTGGTTTATGTCGGCAGGGTTAATAGGAGTGCCCAACAACTTTACGTGCACCGATTTGTCCTCAAGTTTCTTTGGTAAGTCGTTTTGCTGGAGAAGAATCGTCTAAACTTGCATATTTCATAAAAATTGCAAAGCAGTTCAATATTCTTTATAACAAGAAGGTCAGATTGCTAAGCACTCTAAACATTTACGCGATCATTATCCATAATGAAAAACTCTGTTTACCTTCACCGGATCACCAAAATTCTCCTAAACAAGCCTTCACGACGAAACCGTCCTTCTGCCGAATGAGTTTACATTTTGAGCCCAAGGTCGTAGACAAGGCAACATCTCTGATAAAAATAAAAGCTAGACCAGTAGCCTTCAAAGAGATAATGACGACAGATCACAAAGCAAATGAAAATAAAAAGATGGGGAGCTTTGAAAAGGGCAAAGCATTGGTTATATATCATCCTTTGATAGCCAAATTGTTTAGTTCTTCAACTGAATATCTTCTGACTTCACAGTACTATAAATATCTTTAACCAATGACATTTCTCATTCTTAATTGCTTTCGAATGATTGGTCTACTCACTTCACCGTCTTCTTCTAATGCGAATCCCGGAAAACGTAGCTTTGTACTACTTTTAGCCAATGTTGTTTCCGAGCTAGTTGAATCAATGGTATAGCTTTAGAACATTTAAAACACCTTTGCAGCATTAGAAGCCTCAGGGTTATAAAATTTGTTGGGTTAGCCATCAAAAGTTGCAAAATAAAGAAATCGAGTTGAGTTCGGCATGTTTAGCTTAAAAAACTATGACATGAAAGGTGGTAAAACGTTGAGAAATTTCCCGTCTTTAGAATAAAAAGTGGTGGCAGGAAAGGCTGTTTTGGGATGTGGAATGTGGAAAGAATGCTGAAAATTGCTTTTTTAAAAGATTGAAAGCTAAAGACTATTTTTGTACAAGATTGAGTACTATAGGCTTTGGGGGGGGGGGTACTTTTTTCACCAAAACCATTTTTCCTAGGGTAATTGATGACGCTGATCACGAAGTTATTTTTAAGGCAAGTTAGTCATGGAAAAATGTCCGTTTTTAAACGGACGGGAAAATGCCCATAAAATTCTGCATCGTATGGTTTATGGTTCATTTCAATTTGGCTACCTCAACCCTATGACCTTTCCTTGTTAGCCATGAGTGTGATCTGTCCAGCAATTTCGTTCTAGCCCAGTTTAATATCATTTGAATGCCTAAAATTCAGTGTATAAGGATTTGAAATACAGAAGTTCAAAGCATCAGTTGAGATTGTGAATTTTGTGATTCAGCCAATTAAAGCCAAAATTCATTCAATTCACAGTTGTTAGAGGTATCGATTGAATCGAATTCGTTGTTTTTCTCTTTATTTTGCCCTCTCTTGGCTTTCGCAAGCAGATAGCCGTGATTAAGCTGTAAATAATTTCATTGGAAAGAAAAGTTTCCAACCATACCTGGTAACAAAATAAAAGCAAAAATGTTGCAATGTATTGAGAATTTCAATGAATAGAAATAACAAAAAAATATCGAAAAAGGCGTTTATGAAAATGCGGATGATATCGTAGAAAATCCAGGCTGCAAAGGTGATCACCGAATATGAGAGCATCTGAAGGAAAAACTTGCTGTAAAGGATTTAGTAAAGAATATTTACTTGGTTAGTGATTCAGTTAAGCTTTCAGTTTTATTAAAAGACAGACAAACAGAGAGACACTGCTCTTTTATATATCGCACTTGTCTTTAGCCCACATGACCCGAGTTTGACTCCCGCCCGTCTCGGCACTTTTGGTTTTTTGAAAATTTAAAAACTTCTATTTAAAAACTTGCATAACTCGATGGAATTCTAAGCCAAACTAACCATAAGTCATTTAAAATGGCCCACTGGGCGCGGAGAAGTTGACAGAATAGACACAAAGACACAGCTCTTTTGTCTATAAGCCTTTCTTTTTTGATGAGTCATATCAATTTTTGTGTATAACATATGGAAACGGGATATCTTTGTCGCCAATCTCTGCAAAATAAAATCATTGGAGATTCAAAAAAAAAAATTTATATTCACTTTTCTAAAACTACCATGGAAATTGATAATATATTTTCCACAGAAATCATCTTCAAATTCTTTTCACAAACTTCAATCGATGAGTTGAAAGATCTTAAAGAGATTTATTTGATCTGTCATCCAGGAAATCGGCTTGTTGTGCGGTGAGCTGTGTTATTTTAGTACTGATTTGCACGTAAATTCTACTTGTAAGTTGCGTTTTTGTCTACCAGTTTCAGTTTTACTCTAGACAGCTGAGGCTAAAAATTTCCTTTTCCGGAATAAGCCAGGTTTGATCTTGGCCTACCAGGCAAATTTTTGATATTTTGAACTTGACCTGGCCACCAGATCAATCCTGGCTTTGAACTAGTCAAACCTGAGCTGAGCGACAAACCATGTACCAGCTTGGTTTTAACATTTTAAGCATTTAAACTTAAACAACACGTTTAAGACATCTTGTTTCCAATAAGTCTTACCAAATGCAAATTTACTAATGCTTTTAAGAATAGTAAAACAAAATAGTTAGCAAAATCAAAATACCTATACTAGTTTCTTTTTTTCACTCCAGAAAGCTTCGCCTCAAACCGATTCCCGCAAGTTGGGACCCCAAATGGACTCCGTCGAGAACGCCGCTTTTTGATCCAAGAAGGTTCATTTGACTGAGTGAAATTATTGAATTAATATTGCTTAAACTTTTAACAAAACAAAATCATGCCTTTTAAGCTATTTTATAACAATAATGGAATATCAGATGTGTCATTGATGAAAGAATTCGCTTCAAGAAGATCATGGATTGGTATGAAAAACATCAGGTAAAGGAAGGGTTAATAGCTTTCATTGTAAGATTTTCAGGAAGAGTACCCGGATCTGAAAACTGTGGAGGGACAGAAAAGGCTTGGAAAAGATACGGGTTAGTTCAAAGCTTGAGCTTTAGCACATTGAATCTCTTAGGTGAAGAAGGAGGCTCGTTGATTCTCCGCTTTTTCCATGGAAAAAAAAAACGACACGAAGAGTTGACAAAAGTGTTTTTGATTTTAGCAAGAGGTTAATTGTTAGGTTATTTTACTATAATCAAATCGCTAGTTTACATTTAATCAGCCTAATTTTCAAATCATTGACTAATCCTTGTGATTCCTCATCGAATGATACCAATAAAAATGGCTGATTGAACGAAAATTGGCTGTCTGGCTTTGGCAATTTTCTAAAATACGTGCCTTTTGGAAAATTCACTCTATTGCAGCTTTCAACAGCGGCGAAATTCCGACAAATAAGCTCATCGTGATCTCGTTAAAGGTTTTCGATGATTCAGATGACGAAGATTCCCGGATAAAGGTGGGTTTTTAAACTGAAGTTTGTGCAGAATTTTCATTACATTTTCATTACAAGATTTCATTTCAGATTTCCACGAATAGTCGCGAAGACTTGCCACAGATTCTACGGGAAATCCACAAAATCTTGCTCAACGCCAATTCACCGGATTTCTTCCTTCGTTACAAAACGGATGTGGCTTGGTTGGTAATGGACTTACCGTAAATACTGTACTACAATGACACCCTCTAATAGAATCACGCGCTGACCCCACGAAATCTTGACTTTAGACCCCCCTTGTGAGGGTTCAATGTAGAGATCTAGGCCTAAAATCTACTAATATTTCTCTGGCCTTACCCTTACCGACTTTTTGGATCGGCCAATTTTGACAGGTTGAAATATAGGATGACATATCATTCTAATACAGCATTTACGGTAATCGAGTTTTCTCAGTGTGCTTAAGAAAAAGCTAGCGTACTCCAAAAACCGACTAATTTGTCGATTTAATGGACTGCACCGACTCATTAGCGAACTCAACAAGTAGTCAAAAGAATGCTTGCAGTTTTCAAGCAGTGGGATTGTGAAAGGACCAACAAGTGAATCGGAATACATTTTTAGCTGTTTGAACCAGTACTTCACGGATTTCTTTAAAATCGAGTGTCCAGTTGAGGGATGGAGCTATAACATTGAAGAACTTATCGAGCAAATCGCCTCATTGTGATGCTTTATGATTTTTGTGAAAACATATTTGTTTGTACTTATTTTCATTTTCAAAAATTTGTATGTAGTTTTCGAGTACTCAAACTAAACTAATGATGAAATGCTCCAATCCAGTTCCGCTCCAACTCAGTTTGATCAAAACTAATTTCCTCTGTATTACGAATTATTAGTGTACTTTCCCATGAATTTGCGAAATGTGGCTAGACCTGTACGCTTTTACTTGAAGAAATAACAAAACTAACTTTATTCAATACACGTAGAGCAAAGTGTGTCAAATGTTTCAACGAAGCTTTCAACGAATGCGTAAGGCCTGAGACAAAAAGAAATCACTTTGATGAAAATCGCGAGAAGAAAAGAAAAGAAAGCTCTAACAAAATAAAAATGAATCTGGTTTATGTCGGCAGGGTTAATAGGAGCGCCAAACAACTCTACGTGCACCGATTTGTCCTCAAGTTTCTTTGGTAGGTCATAGTGCTGGAGAAGAATCGTCTAAACTTGCATGTTTCATAAAAATTGCAAAGCAGTTCAATATTCTTTATAACAAGAAGATCAGATTGTTAAGCACTCTAAACATTTACACGATCATTATCCATTATGAAAAACTCTGTTTACCTTCACCGGATCACCAAAATTATCCTAACCAAGCCTCCACGATGAAACCGTCCTTCTGCCGACCAAGCTTACATTTTAGGTCGAAGGTCGTAGACAAGGCAACATTTCTGAAAAAAATAAAAGCTAGATCAGTAACCTTCCAAGAGAGAATGACGACAGATCACAAAACAAACGAAAACAGAAGAGAAAATGGAGGTTTGAAAACGAGTAAAAGACTCGATATAATATAATATCATTTGATAGCAAATTACTTAGTTCTTCAACTGAATATCTTTTTGACTTCACAGTGTTAAAAGTGTTTTTGAGTTAAACTAACGTCATTTCTAATCATTTTTACTTCTTTCGGATGACTGGTTGATTCACTACACCGCCTTCTTCTAATGTGAATCCTTCAAAACGTTTTCAACTTAGCAAAGGTGAGGATTTTTTAACTTCAAATGGCACTATCTCGATCTCCAACAGCATTGTGCTACTTCTAGCAAGTGTTCTTTCCGAGCGAGTTGAATGGTAATAGCTTTAGAGCGTTTAAAGCACTTTGGAATGGTGTTTCGCAGCATTAGAAATCTCAGCGTTATAAAATTCCTTGAGTTAGCCATCAAAAATTGCAAAAGAAAGGAATCGAGTTGAGTTCTCCATGCGGAATAAAAGTGGTGGCAAAAAAGGTGGTTTTGTCTTGTAAAAGGTGCCAGGAAGAATGCCAAACACTATTTTTGTACAAGATCGACTTATAGAGCGCTGTTTTGACTGTCCCGTAACGTTCCTCGTACTTATCAACATTTTTCTTTTAGTCACCGTTCGCAACTCCCACCAAGCCCCGCGGGCCGGATCTGTGCGCAAAATGAGGACGTCAACCCGAAGCTAATTCGGCCGTGCAACTGCAAGGAATCCGTCGCCTACATTCACAACCGATGTCTACTTCAATGGGTCACGACAACAACCAAAAAGGTGGAGCTATCATTTCATTAGAGGTTGTCCATTGTGTTTAAAGCAAACCAGTACTTAAGCAGAAATATGACGCAGATTTGAGAAAATCTTTGCTTTGGTCGTCAGGTCAGTCAGATCCTTGAACCTTTTGCGTATTTTATTCTTAGAAATGGTCTTTTCTATCTTCCAAATATCGTCGGCTCTGTTATTGGAAGCATCACAATCTGGTATAAATTGTGGTAAGTGGTCAATTTTCGCCCAACTATGTCTCTTTAGGTGGCTAACGTTTTTTTCAATGGGCTCTACTATGGCTGAGTTGTGCTTTTGGTGTACGATCAATGGATGTTCGAGAATTCCCGCTTCAAATTCAAAAATCACGATGACGCTGATATGTGTGCTATTCGATGAAGCAAATGAAGCAAGCTATTTTAATTTTCGAATATACCTGCATCTATCTAATGTACTTTTTTAGTCTAGCTGCCCGAACCATTCGATTAACGATGAGAAAAACAGCCAATTTACATCGATTCAGCTCTTGTGAATCCAAAAATTGCAAAATGGCAACTTTTGCATCGCTTCGCTATGAATTAAGAGTGCTCCGTGTGATTAGTTTTCTAAAAGGTGGACAATTTGAGAAGAACTACCGTTACCTTTCCTTCAAATTTTGTCCTTTCCACTTAATTTTGATCCCATGAGCTTCACGATTTGGCTCCTCATCAAATGTGATCAAAATTAAGTAAATCGGACCAAATCTAAAAAAAGACACGGTAGCTTTACAAGTTATCCACCAAGTTATCCACCTAGAAAACACACTATTCACGAGGAACATATCGTAAATATGAATACCAGAAAATTGCCAATCAATCATGAATTTCAGAAGGTTCTGTGCCGGTGTGAGTGGCGTGAAGAAGGCGGTGAAGTCAATTTTCGGCGGCTCCAAAATAAAAATCAAGAACTGTCGAACTATTTCATTTTTGTCAATAAACCATCCACTATGCTTTGTTTCATTTTCCATTTGGTTATCTGATCCAAGAGATTATCTTGATTGAATTTCGAAGACGGTTTACTTGCCAACTTATTGTTTTAAGCCAACAACTATATATCATCATTCTATTTTGCAATGGATCTCCAGCTGAAAGTTTTCAAATCGCTGAGCTGCTCAAAATGTGGAGCACCGTGTGAGTTTTCAATGCAGTACCGGATAAGATAGCTAGAAATGTAGGCTGAGAATTGCAACTTTTGATGTTTTGTAGACATTTTTGTACAACAGATACATTCTAGTTTCCAAAAGCGCGGATGGCACAAATGGACCACGGAAATACCCAACTTGTGGCGTGACAGTTTGCAAACAGTGCGCTGAGAAAGCAATAACGCCCGGGGAACACGTTGGATGCTCTGCAGGCCATTTCAGCAACTGCTTTCTCGATCAGAGACCTGCTTATTTTTTGATTGGTGAGCTCTGTTAGTTAATAATCATACTGTAGCTTTTTCAGGATATCTATTTGTAAACTAACAAGGGAAGGTCACAAGGGTGATGGAGCCGTATACTCACCGACGTATAATTTTGCGTTGATTCCGAATCTGCTTTCCGTTTTTGCAAAATGGCACTATATCAAAAGTTATAAGCCTGCAAAGTTTTGTATGGAATTTCAAAAATCATTCTTCGCGTCTATAGCCAGTATTCCTAGGGTCATTAAGTAGCAGTGGTGGCCGAGTGTCAATCGGCTAGGATACAAGCCCAATCCTCTCGGGTTCGAATCCGGAGTCTTCTTTTTCTGGCTTTCTTTAGAGGTAATTGATCTCCATTTCAAATACAAGTCTTTTTCAAACTGCTTCTCATAAAAATGTTTAGTTTTAACTATTAACATCAAACAATAATCATTAAAATCCAAAACATTGAGTCTTCGCGACATGGATGACATTTGTCGATTCTAATTTAACTACAGCTATGATAGGCACGAGACATAAAAGCAAGACAATTTGTATCCTCACAGAGCAAAGCATCAAATTTGAAACAAGCATCGTTTGAAGTATTGAATGAAACTCGCCCATTTCACGAATGTCATCAATGTCGCCAAGAAATGGTGTTTTGAAAAAAAAAAGAAGTGCCCCCCCAACCGGCTCAGTACCTTGACAGCAATCATTAAAATCATTAAATCATTAGCATCATCAAACAGCAATCATTAAAATCCAAAACACCAAAAACACCACAAAAAAACTCCCTAAGGATATGCGAGGGATGATTTTTAAAATTACAAATACAAAACTTTGCAGCCTTATAACTTTTGATAGAGTGCCATTTTGTAAAAACGCAAAGCAGATTCGGAATCAACGCAAAATTCTACGTCGTCGGTGAGTATATGGCTCATGTCATTTGGCCACATCACCCTTGTGGCTTTCCCTTGTAATTAAGAAAAGGCTCACCGTAGCCTTTCAAAAGTTAAAGGATCTTATCTTGTGAGTATTGATTGATCAACAATAGGATATTAAAATCAGTGGTAAAAATTGAGCGACACGCGATCGAGCCTGTCTCAGTGTCGGACAAGTCGAACATAATTAAATTCTTCAGTTCTAGATTTGGAATAACTTATAAGCAAAAAGTGCAGCTTAGTAAAACAATACACTTTAGAGTTACTCAACAGCCCCGCTCTTGCTGAAACCTCATATGGAAGTGGCTATTACCTGACAAAGGTTTAAACTCCTTTTTAATTAGATCTATCAAAATATTCAGCCAATCGAGATCCCGAAATGCATGATTTGTCATAAGGAATGTTTGTGGTATTGCTAGTTCTCAAGTTTATTTGAAATTTAGATTCAATTGAAACGGAAGATCGAGAACCGTGTGATCTGGCGTGCAATCACACAATTTGCTTCGGATGTGTTGAATCTAGAACCCCATGCGATGCATTTAGTAGAGGACGTTCTCTTCGATGTCCGACTTGTTTTGAGACGTCATCTGCGCTTGATGCAGTAATATACCCCAAAGTAATTAGAACAAATTCATTTGTAGGTCAGTTTTTTTTAAAGTTGCCAATCTTTGTTAGTCTTTTTGTCAGTTTTTAATCTTTTTATCAGGGATAGTCAAAACGAAATTTGCCAAGCTCGGTAGTCAGCCAAGTCAAACAAAGAAACCAAATTTGACCAATCAGAAAAAGTTTTGTTGACGGCGATAAGTTGGTGGTAAAAGCTTTCCCGGTTCTGAATTTTCTGACTTTTTTGCCATTTCGGCTAGACGATGAACTTTGAATAATTTAAGCGAAAGGTGCTATAGTTTATCAAAAGAAATACAAGTATCGATTAGGTAATAATTTCAGAATTTTTGAAAGAACTGCCTGAAATGATCAAACAAGTTGAAAACACCGAGGAAACAATAACAAAAATTTCTCCGACAATCGAGGTCATCGATCATTTTGATTGCTCGGAATGTGAGAGAGAAGTCTGTTGTAGCAATTTCGTTATGATCTGTTTTTTTCAGTTCCCGATCGAAGACATGTTCTCATGCTCGGATTGCTCGAAAAAGGTTGGAAACACAATTTTTCGTTACCCAAACACTTTCAGATTTGCGGAAGTTGTGTTACGAGACGACACCGCAGCCATAAGCTGACTGATTTGTTTGTTGAAGAGGTGATTTAAGTGTTTTTACAATGGGAATCTGCTAAGAAGGCAAATGAGGGCCCAACTTCTTCCAAATTTTCTTTTGAATTCTGCAAACTTTCAGACTTGTCGAATCTCGGGAGAAATGAAACAAATGGTTTCGATTCAAATCAATGGATACAAGAAGATTTTCCCAGAATTACACCAAGAACTTATCGAGAAAATAGCTTCATTTGAGAAGGTGAGCTAGAGAAATGTTCTTAATTAAATCTAAAATTCCTGAAGTACGCTTTATTTGAGTTTACTTTTAGGTAAAACTTATAGTTAGTGAAACAAAATTTTTTAGGCCCTCAGTGGGAAAGCCGAAAAAATCGAAAAGCTGGAAAACTTCGAGAAAACAAAGAACGAAATTGACAAGTGCAAGTGGGTTTTTATAGTTATCCGCTTGGCGAATGTATTTTCTAAAATATGGGAACTTCTGAAAAATACCGTTACCTTTTGGGATCATTAATCATTATGGGATCATTAAAAGAATAGATTAATTGGACGAAAATAAAGCAAGATTACGGCAGTTTTCGATTCTTTTAGGTCCTAGAAAACGCTTGAACGAAACAATAATTGTAGCTTGTAAGTGAAAGAAAAAAGTTTAGAGACTACGGTGACCGATTCGAGCGAATTTCCGAGGATTATTTACCCAATCTCCGTTTGTTCAACACAAATTTGCAGGTTTGTAAGATCTAACAGATTTTTCTTGAAGAAATTTTCAGAATCTCATTGATGAGCTCAACGAGGCAAAGATTTCGGAAACGGAAATGAAAAGAAATGATATACTCTTTGATGACTGTTTTGTTTTTTAACGTTAAATTTTCTGGGTATCTATTTGATAATGAATATAAATTTCATTCTACACGTGTCACGTGGTCAAATAAATTTTCCTGCAACTAAAGACAAACAAGTGCAAAAACAAAATGTAAGAAAAATTCGACTGATCACTAGGAATCAAAAAACAGTGCAAGCTCTCGAAACTTTGCCAAAAATTTGAGTTCAAACATTGGAAGGGAAGCTGTTTATTTGAAAAACAGTAAGTCTTTCTTCTCCGATTTAAACTCTAAAACTAAAGATCGAAAGATAATCGCGAATTCTTTCGTTGATCCCCTAGGCAGAACCAAAATTGTTTCCAATCCCAGTACAATCGCACATCAAATCCGCTATAATGGAAAAAATCCTTTTACGTTCAGAGCAAAAATCCGATTTAACCAAAAGTTGAGACACTATCCAGATAATAAAAATCCAAAATCTCAGCCAAATTCCTCTGTCAGCAAAAAAGTTTTTAGGACTTTTGTGTTTACGAGCAAAAATGTTCTTAAAAGGCCAAAATTCGCAGTTTTCTCAATTGTTCTCCATGATGCACAAAAGAAACACATAAAGAAATGTATTACAAAAATGAAGCTCTATTCACGGCGCATCTAACAAAAAAAGAGTTTGAATTTTGGTCGCCTAGAAGCTGAGTTATGAAGGCTTATTTGGGCGCCATCCCAGCCAAAAGCTCGAGGGATCGGATCCCGTCCGCGACGATTTTTTTTGTTTTGTTTAGGGTTCCAAATTGTAAAGTAAAGGCAAAATTCTTTTTTTACACACTTTACAACAAATCGAAATCTTAAAAAACGTTCTCATTTGTGCTGTGCACGAAAAAAAAGATTTAGCGAACGTGTCTGTTTAAAATTTCTCAATCGGGAAGTGTTCCTGTTCGATCAAACTATTTTCCAAAAAAAAGAGATTCCAAGGATATTTCTCTTTTTTTTTGTCATTTTAGTGCGTTTTTCTCCACGCAAATTGCAGTATTTTCTGACCAGGAAATTGTGGAAAAAAAGAGCAGAAAAAAGGGAACTTCCTCGAACGAAATGGATAAAAGAGTGGGCGGTGATTTGGTGAACACTTTGTGATCAAACTTTCAACTTAGCTGACTACTTTTCAGCACTGCATATTGTTCTAAACTTGCCTACTAAAATTTCTATCAATTCTATCAATTCTATCAGATTCCAAAATATTCATTAAATCAGTTTGCAATGCGATCAATTCTTGTCTTCTGTTTTGCCATCTTTTCGATTGTTTTCACGATGTGAGTTCTGGTTTTGAAATTTACAAAACTTAAAGCTTAAAATTGAACATAAGAATAGTTGATTTTTAAAAAAATGGATTAATTGATTGATAGGACAATTGATTTTTAGCACAAAATTCAATTTTTGCTCAAATTACAGAACTCCACAAAGACGAGCAATCGGATTTCAAAATGGGGACTTCAATTTCGAGTCGATCAGTCAAAATCAACAAATCCAACAGCATTTCCAGCAGAGGGCTCAATTCGAGAATCTCTTGATGTCCAGACTATTGGCCATTATTGAGAAATATAATGCTAAGAACAAGAAAATATAAATATGTACAATAAACTTATTACTAACTGGTGTATGATCACAGAGGAATTTTTTGAAAGCAAAAGAGATTGAAGAAAACCTTTTATAGAGTTAAAAAAAGATAACCTAATTGTTTAAGCATAACATTCACAACAATTTGCGTATTTGCACCAGCAATGTTCCCAACATGCTTGTGCACAAGTGAAGCGACCTCCCCGGCGAGAGATTGACCAGTGAGTCTTTGAGTCGGGAGTTTCCATGGCTAAAATTTGAGCTTAAATTTTAAAAGCATTAAGGCACCATGATTGCACGATTAAATTGAGTTAAAAGTTTTCTATTGTTTGGCAAAAGTGTCAAAGCTTAAACTCACCAAGGGGTGGATTACGAGCTTCAGAATTGACTAATCCGACCATTTCTTCCATTTTTTTTCAGCCAAAGCAATGGAGGCGATAAAGGAAATGAGGAAAATTGAGGTAAATTTCATTTTAGATTGAAAGAGTGACGATTGAATGATTCCATTTAATTGTTTGGACAAAATTGAGAACAAAATTTCATTGTCATTTGTTCTGACAATGAAATCTTTGCCAAAATCCGTCTTTCGATTTCGAAAAATCCAAAGAAACCACTCTTTTTCGCAATTTTCCGATTTTCGACTTGCACGGCCCAAATCTTCGTCCGCTCTTTCTTGATGAGTCATCAAAAAGGCCAAGGATTAAGAAAAATGTCAAGATTATACAAAAACATCCTAAAAACTTCAGAAAAGGAACCATTTACAAGTTTTGTAAGCATTGTTGTTTTAAAGTAATTAAAAATTCAAAAGTTCTTCAGTAAAAAAAAATAAAGTTTTATTCAGTTATTATAGAACATTCAAAAATTGGGTACAACTCGCAAAATATCGGTGTCACTCAACATTCACAACAATTGGTGTACTGGCAATAAGTCCCTTTACAACAGCAATGTCCACAACAAGCCTGTTTACAAGTGATTGAAGCCAATCGACCCGAAATGATCGCCCATGTTTTGTTTGAGTTAGAGGTTTCCAGAACTAAAAATTGAGCTTGAATTCGCTTGTAAAATTGTGGGAAATCAATTGCTTTGAACTTACTAGCTGACTTTTCGTGATTTGGCTGAACAGTATCGTTTTCCGAATTGACAATTCCAACCGTTTCCTCCATTTTCTCAGCGAAAACAATGATGGCGATGAGGGAAATGAGAAAAATTGAGAGGAATTTCATTTTGGATTGAAAAAGATTGATTTAAACAATGAATTGTTGAGTGATTTGATCGTTTACAGTATTTATAGGAGAAGATTCTCATTCAAAACGTCATTTTGAACACCCACTTCTGATCAAAGACTGACACTGATAAGACGCAAGAGCTTTTGTTTTTCAAAAGCCAAAACAAGAATCCAAAATAAACTCTCTTATCAATTTCCGGCAATCTTTTACTACTCAATTATTTAAAAAAGAGAACACTTAGAATGATTCATCCAATTTCAGACTTCAGCTCTTATCAGTGTCAGTCTTTGATCAAAATGACGTTTTGAATGAGAATCTTCTCCTATAAATACTGTAAACGATCAAATCACTCAACAATTCATTGTTTAAATCAATCTTTTTCAATCCAAAATGAAATTCCTCTCAATTTTTCTCATTTCCCTCATCGCCATCATTGCTTTCGCTGAGAAAATGGAGGAAACGGTTGGAATTGTCAATTCGGAAAACGATACTGTCCAGCCAAATCACGAAAAGTCAGCTGGTAAGTTCAAAGCAATTGATTTCCCACAATTTTACAAGCAAATTCAAGCTCAATTTTCAGTTCTGGAAACCTCTAACTCAAACAAAACATGGGCAATCATTTCGGGTCGATTGGCTTCATTCACTTGTAAAGAGGCTTGTTGTGGACATTGCTGTTGTAAAGGGATTTATTGCCAGTACACCAATTGTTGTGAATGTTGAATGAGCTCAAAAGTTTCCATTGTCAAATAAATTAATTTCCGCTAGTGAAAGGAGAATTTTGACAAAAAAGCGGTGACGACTTTTGAAGCATTGGAAATTGGACTGGTCTAGTCTCAGCTTAGTCAGTCAGGACAGGCAAAGTTCTTCTCTTACAAGGGAACTGTTTCAACTCAGAATCGATTTGGGGTATGCGACCTATCTACAAAACGCCACCTTGAAAAGTTAGGGGATACGCGTTTTTTATTTTTCCGGCAAACCTTTTTGCTTTTTTTTGCAAACTTTCTTAAGCACATTTTTATGATAATTTAAGTGTTTAGCAACATTCATTTAATGTATAAAAATCATCAAAAACTTGCTGGTCAGAGTCCCTCGGATCCTCAGATTTAACACGTTTTTGGGAAGATTTATTTATCGTAAAATCATCATCAAATACTAACTCAAATTTTGAAAGAAATTGTTACTTTTTATTTGAATATCCGAGAGAAATCAAGAGTAATTCAATTGAACAGAATGTGTGTGGAATTTTTTAAAGAAACACAAAAATCAATATTGCTGATCACAAAGAGAACATCTAATCATAGAAACTTGGCAACATGGTTGATTGGCGCATGTTCCACAGACGCCACTAAATAAGACCACTAAACTAGAATGGCTTGATGATCGATGTCGCTGAAAACTTTGCAAAACCGGTTAAAAATGCAGAAGACAATCGAAGCAAGAATGAACATAGTTATGAATAAAGTGTTGTAAAGAAATTGAACAAACTCATAAACAAAATAGTTTGCAACTAGATACAGGGCCAGCATGGATTAATTGCTTGTGCTTTTGAGCCATTTGGGGATAAAGTTTATTATTGGCAATAGCAGGTGGTGGCAAATTCATAAAAAGATTGGACATAATCAAAAAAAAGTTAGATTTTGCGACTTAATTTGAGTGATTTGATAGGTTGATCCCATTTTACGATGATGGATGAATGCCGAAGTAAGACCGAAGGACGCCCGTTCTGCAACGATCAGTTGGTGTTCAGTTTTTATTGTTTTTGTTAACGTTGGTTGAAGCTTTTATGTCTATAGCTGAGTCGGCTGAAGCCCACTCTCCAACATGAGTGTTTAATAACTTGTTAAGTAACTTGTTTTGACTTTCATTCACATCAGGTTTGGATGAAAAAGCTGTCGCTAGCCAAGCCAAACCAAGGCCAAGATTGAAAATCTCGAAAAGAATTTTTTTAAATGAGTTGAAAATGCATTTAAACGATTCCCCTACTTTTAGAATGGTATTTGGCTAAAAAATTATTCGATCTTGGGGGTGAAAAGTGAAAAAGACAACAAAAAGGCAAGCTTCGCCCTCCTTGCTTTGGTTTGGTTTGGCTTGGGTTTGCCTGGAAAATTGGGCCTTCGTCCAACCCTGATCCAGACGACCCGGGTTCGATTCCACCGCGGGGTCGAGCTGTTTGTTTTTTGATCGAGAAGCAAAGACTTTAGGGCAACTTTTCACGCTGATTCCGAAAATCCACATTTCAAAGGCACTTTCTCAACACACAAAAAATATGATAACACCGATTTTGTGATTTTCTGGAGGAGGATCACCTCAAAGAAACATCTATATTTCATTCAGTGTAACAATTTTGTGTAAATCTAATTACAGTAAGTGATTATAGTAAATTTAGTAAATTTCCCCCTTTGTTTTGCCCAAGAAATCCGGAGGTCGACCTCGTTAGCTAGCGTGATAGTTTACCACTCTGGAATCAAGCCGTAACGATCGTCACCATTTTACTTGTCTCTTTTCTCGATTCCTCAGATCGTTTGCGGAGAAAGAGAATATTCAAAAAGCTGAATAAATTCTTTAAAATCCAAGATTTTCTCTAACCTAGCCATCAAAGCAAAGAAAAAGGCTCGATTGAATGCTTTGGTCATCCCGTAAACAAGGGCCAAATTTGGGCCAAGGAATAAATTGATGAGAATTGCGCCAGAATAGTGGAAAATTGTGTCGATAAAGTTGAAAAATGAGTTGAATAACATCTGGAATTGATCAGTACTTTTGTCGTTTCCCTTGGCCCCAACCTGCGTCATCAACAATGTCTCGACTCTCGTGGCTTTGCCGGCTTTTCGCAGCTAGATTTTGAATAGATCTTTTTCTTCAATCAAATAAACCTTTCTCAAGTTCATATTTGTCACAAAATCTAGCCCAAACATGAGAAAATATGGGATCGAGAAGAGATATTCGTCGAAAAGGGAATTCCATCCACGAATCATCGTCCACCATGGCTCATCGAGTGCCACAATCCGGATGAAATAGATTGAGAGCCGAAGAAGAAAGGGAAGCGACAATTGAAGCCATGGGAAACGAGTGGAAGATCGGAAATAGAGGCCGTCAAAGGAAATGGCAAAGAAACGGCTGAAATTGGAATTGATTGGTTGAAGTAGTCATCACCTGATTGAGATGAACAGTTGACAGTACTGACAGATCTCGAAAAGGCCAATGATTTGAGCGATTAAAGAAATGTCGAGGAAAATCTCGGTGATCTCAGGGGAGAGTCTGTAAAAGTGTACAATTTAAAATTTGGGCTCTTTCCCTGAGTCATGGTCTTTTACAATTTTTTGTTTTTTTTCCAAAAAGTCTTTTGAAATTGTTTTAACGTATTTTATTAAGTTCCACATGTACATGTTTATTTGATCAGAATTTAAAGAACAATCGTAAGCACAACAATTTTAGCATCCCAGGAAAACACAAGGCTTGACACGCCTTGTGGTCCTTCGGACACGCAAATGTTTTTGAAGCTGGTCTTCACATACAGTCAAGACAGACATCCTTGTCAACTTGACGATATCCTGTTGAGACCACGAGGAATTCTGTTCGATTTCGCCTAACGTCGGCCGTAGCCATAGCACAAACGAGAGGCTTTCTCTTTGTAAGTGGATGTTTGCCGTAAGATGTTTCCAGCCATCGAGTTACAAGTCCCGTATCTTTTATTGGCCTGATGTTTGATCTTCCTTAGTGTCTCTTCAACTCGAGCCCATAGAGGTAGAACGACATCGTTGTCGGCTTCAGCGTCCATCTCCTCATCACTGTTTGCATTATTGTCGGTAGTTTCTTTTTGGTGGTGGCTCGACGCCTGCCTGCCAATCGACGGGCCGTCTCAGCTCAGCAAAGCACGAATCATCACAGGCTTCTGCGTCCGTCAGGCGGCAACCTCTCTGCCATTTTTGGTGGAAGCGACGTGGGGCGCGATGAAGGCTTCAATTCGCCATTTGCGTGGAACAAAAAAGATCGACTTGCAACTGATTTATTTGAATATATGTTTAGGAGAGCAAGAGAGATGGGTCAACTCTTTCAACATTGGTTGGTTCGCGCTGCTTTGCCCCTTCCCTAGGGTTGTTCTTTAAAATCTGATCAAATAAACTGGTGCATCTGGAACTTAATAAAATACGTTAAAACAAGCTCAAAAGACTTTTTAGTAAAAAAACAAAAAATTGTAAAAGACCACGAAACGGACTCTTTTTTGACCAAAGATCGGGAAACTTTCAAAAGAGCTTTCAAAAGATTCAGGGAAAGGGCCAAAATTTGTTCCTTACTCGAATCGAATGATGCCGAAAGTATAGAAATCAAAGAGACTAGAGCTGAGGGCCCACGAGAAACGGATGAGACTCTCGGCGGTGGATAGGAGACTGGAATTTGAAAATTGATTAATTTAAGTATTAAAGGGCGGTTTAAAAGTTAATAAAAGAAACATACCGAATTGGAAAAGCTAGCCGATCATTGGTCGCCGAGAAATAGATGGCAAATGGAGTGACGAGAAGACTGACGAAAAGGACCTAAAAAGGGCTACGGTCGTTTTGAGGTTTATTTTGACTATATAATGATTGCAGTAGTTCCATAATTTAGCTAGCATACTGTAAGCGATAAATTTTTGAAACATTAAACTACCCATGATGTGATTGTTGGTATAAAATTTGCGAAAAGGAACCCTCCCAACTCAAAACCGATATCCCATCGCTTTTTCTTTTTGTAGAATTTGAAGGAAAGGCCGAATAAGTACACGAGAACGCCATAAATGACTAAAATGACTATATCTTTATTTTTCATTGAAATAAACCATTTAATGGCACAGCTATTGCAAAAACGAGCAATGGATCTCGAAAGAGCTTCCAAATACGCATTGAATCGATATGTTCATAAAGTTTTAGAAAGTTTATAAATTTTTTCAAGTGTAAATTGGTAAACACATATTTTATATGTCCAACAATTAGCCTCTTTTTCTTCGAACGACAAAAATTCGTCAACGGCCAACCATATAATTGATGGATTTATTGGAGCACAACAAATACAACTCAAAGATTATGAATGACAAAAAAAATGAGCAAGAAAATAAAACCTCAATCAGAACTATCAAGGGTTTTCTAGTTGGTCGTTGTGACAATAATCGAAGTGCTTTAAGACAGTTTTAAGTCATCTCCATATTCTTCGGACTCATACTTTTATTCCAAAGTTTCTTTTGATGTAATTTTGTCCATCAACAGTCGAAAAATGTCGAAAAATGATAACTCTTCAAGCTTTGATCCTGTTGAGACGTTGTTTTTCGTGATCGGCCACTTTTTGCTTTTCGATAAACATTCTCGATCTCCTTTTGGCGCTTGCAAAGTCTATTGATTGTTCGCTCGGATTCTTTTTGTTTAAGTAGTAGACATTTGATTCAGTCCAGTTCACCGGGTTGATCCAGTCGGACTGAAACGTCGAAAGTTTAACCTATGGGTAGACTGGGTTGGACTGAAAAGTCGACAGTTTAACCCATAGGTTGACTGGACTAGAAAATGTCTAATATCTACCTAATCCTTTCCTTTATTTCTTTAGTCATCTAAATGTTTTCGCTTTGCTTCAACGACAAGAAAGCATCCTGGATGGCTGAAATTGGTTAATGTAAGGTAAGAATTTACGTGTTTGCTAGGTTTTGTCTAATTTCTATTGAAAATGCTACACCTGTCGATTTTTATGCGGAAATTTTATGTTGAAGATAAATGTTGAAGATAACAAACTGTTCATTATTCTATATAGAGCACAAATGCACAAATGTCGATACAGTTAATCGGATGATCTTTGCTTTCAATAGTAAGCTGAGCTGTCGTCTTCGGAAGATAAATTTAGGATGTTGTGGGAAATCTCGTAGAAGAGTGTGAGAAATCTTTTGAGAAAAGTCTCGAGTTTTTGCTTTCATATGTATTTTGCCATAAGTGATGTGCAAATCCACCGAGGATCGGTCTTCATCGGCACTTTCTCAACCCTTTCCACGACAAGGAAAACACAAATCCTGTCATTGAACTTTTTCTCAAAACAGGCCATTCGTTGATGCTTCAAGAAGCGTTCTTCATCTTTGAAACAAGCGTGATCTCTGAAAAAGTTGAGAAAACGTTGAGAGTATTTGTGGAAGATTTTCTGGCTGCTCACTTTTTGCACCTTCTTCGACTCACCGACCCATTGGCAAAAAGGTTCAAAATGGCCGGTTGAACGATTTGAAACAGTGCTGTATTGGCTTGCCTTCATGTATACGCCAGCTTGTGGATCTAGGCTTGGAATTCCCTCACTTACCAGGAATTCAACGTCTTCTTGATTTGCTGTTCGTGGTTGAATTAAGCTCATATGGCACCTTTCAAGGAAATAAAATTGAGAGGAAAGTGATTGGGGTTCGGCTCGCATTTGAATAGATTTACAGTCTTTCAGATGGTTCTCGAAGAAATTCGTTTCATAATCTGAATCCAGGTATCCAGTAAAGTGAACAGAAGTGATATGACATGGGAAACGGAAAAAAATCAGATCCAATCTATCTAACCGGGAAATATCCGTAGATAAATGATCGATACATTTGAGATTGGGAAATGTTCGACAAAGGACAGCAATTCTTTCATCACAATCTTCAGCATTATCGCTCAAATGCAAAGTGAATTCTTTAATTCTTTGAATTTTTCGAAATAAAATTGGCAACAAATCGGCAGATGGTTTCACGATTTCCATAAATCGATTTGCCGAACACGATCTTGCCCATTTTATCGGCAAAGAATCCCCTTCGAGGGTATTAATCGGTGAATTCGATGGTTTCGAGCATAAATAAATCGACAATTTGTTCATCGTTTTCCCCAAAATCCCTTCATTAAAAACAAATCTTCGAAGCATTTTGTTGATTTTCAAAAATTTCTCTCTTTCTTCAGAAGTGGATTTTTGTAGGATTTCGAGTTTCAGCTCACTAGGGAGAGAAATAAGAAGGAAATGTTGAATTGATGAAATGGGAATAGACATGTTGAAAAGAAAATGAACTATTGCAAAGTAATGTAAAGTAATATAAAGTAAAATGAAATTTTTCATGCAATGTTCACAATTTAAACCCTTTATTGCATAACATTGCCCCTTCTGGGAAATGGGAAATGGGAAATGAGAAAAGAAAGCGAAAGTGGAAAAAGAGAACGAGCAAAAAGTGTTCCCGAGCGGCTGAACTGGTGAGTCATCAAGAATGAAAATGAAAGAAATAGACTTGTTTTTCTCTAAAGTCATCTAAAGTTGATCTTTCATCTTGATGAATGGACTACTAGCTTGTTGCAAAAGAGTTTTCTTTTTTTTACAAACATTAAATTAAATTTTACAAACAATTTGAAGAAGTTGAGGTAGCTTGCCAAGAGTTCTTTGATTCGAAAGCGATGGAGTGGTACTTCGACCAGATCCGAAAGCTTGCAGATTAATGGCAAAAGCTCGTAGATAATGATGGGTTATATTTTGAGGAATAATTGTTCTTATTTTTGTTGTTAAAGTGCTCATCAAAAATTGAATTTTTCACAGTCAGGACTTTTTCCTCAAACAAGTAAAATCGGCAGTAACCATGGATGAATTGCTCGTGCTTTTGAACCATTTTTGGGATAAATTTTATTATTGGCAATAGCAGCTAGGAAACTCATAGAAAGATTGGACATAATCAAAGGAAAGTTAGATTTTGATAATTTGACTTAATTTGACTGATGTTTAGGTTGATTCGATTCTACGATGATGGATGAATGCCGAGGTGAGACGGAAGGACGACCGTTCTACAACGAACAGTTGCTGTTCAGTTTTTATTGTTTTTGTTAACGTTGGTTGAACTTTTTATGTCTATAGCTGAGCCCACTGAGCTCAATGTTTCTAGAAAATTTGTGGAATAATATGCCAAACTTGCTGTCAAACCTTTTATTCAAGCAATAAGTTCCCTTGGCACCTTGGCCTTTTTACTTGAGATCCGTAGCCTCGTTTAGCTCTATATATGCCAATTTCTCAAAAACGATTATCGGATTAGAAATATTCAAACGAAAAAGCGGCATTCACCTCTTCTCAATTGGTTCATTCACTGCTCCAACATCTCTGAAACTCAGTTAAATATGGTTTTCAAAAAAGTTGAGCGCTCAAGCCAACTAATGATTTTAGCGTTTAGTAATGGCTTCTTGATCTTTCATTGTTGATTTAGAAAAAAAAGCGTATCAAACCTTTTATTAACGCACATGTTTCCTTTGCACCAACGTTTTGCTCGAGATTCATTCACTCGAGATTCAAGAGCGAGACGTTCGACTCGATCAATATCAGCTTCTCTAAAAAGATAAAAAAGGATTATCTCACTGTACTTCCATTGGACTAACCTCTTCTCAATTGGTTCACTCACAGCACCGATATCTCTAAAAATTTTTAACTGTTAAACAGCTTTGAATTGTTGGGAACATACCGCTTTCTGTTGCTACATAAAAAATCGTTGAAGCACCCGCGTTTGAAGCGTGAAGCACCGAGATCTCTGAAGAAAAGCTTCGGCTTGGAAATTGAGAATAGACGAGAAAACGAGTCAGTTTCACATTTTAGCAAACAGCTCTTGTTTTCTAAAGCGTGGATACAATGTTATTTAGAGCTTTAGAAAACAAGAGCTGTTTGCTGCTTGAAAACAAGAGCTGTTTGAACTGATTCGTTTTCTATAATTGAGAACTTCAAATCCACGCTTTAACTTGGAATATCTTGTTAGCAATATTGACAACTTAAAGGAAATAGAGTTTTCTTTTGAGGGTATTATAAAATAAAGATATAAAAGAGCTAGGTAAAACTTTGAACATTAGCTGAGATCAAGCCAAGTGTAGGTTTAAGTTTAAGTTTAAGCTCAAATCCCAACCGCTAAGCCGGTGGTCCAAAATCAGGCACTGGTTAGGTTTGTAAAAAAAACTTGTTTTTGCTAGATCTAACTGACTAATCAACGAGGTGAGTAATAGGAAAAAAAGTTAAATCTACAGTGATCCTTCTCCTTTTGATGAATAGCAAAAACAAACCCCAGTACGACAGTGACCAAAACCAACACAACCAAGATTTTATTTGAATACATGGCTGCTTATTTTCTTAAAATATTTTGCCAGTATTTATACCAAATTGATTGATCAAAAAAACCATAAAAAGAGTTCTGGTTTTAGATCAAAAATTCTCTTTAATCAAAATATTTTCCTTAAAAATGATAAACAATCAAAGAAAATCATCGAAAACCATTCAAGGACTTGTTTTTTTTTTGAAAAAAGTTTTGTCTCAGAAAAGATCGCTAAAAAAGGGTGTCAGGAAAAGGGGAAATTCGTTCTTTTTGATCTATTCAGAACAAAAATACTAGGTCATTAAAAAAAAAGATATTATTTGTGGATGAGAAGTAATTCGTTTCATTCATTGATCATTGTTTGTTGCGAAAAATTGACGAGTCAATGTCTAGAAATAAAAAGGATTTATGAAGCTCAAAAGGTAACTCCTTTCTGCTATATGTTAATAAGGTACTTATTGGTTATATCCACCCCAAAAAAAAAAGGAAACCAACCCTTCCGCGGACTGAAATTTTCCCCATCCACTTTCACACCAATCCTAGTTTACTAATTTCGCGCATATGCTAATTTGATTTTTCGTTTCGCATTGCTTGTTTAAATTCTTTTAGAAAATCTAGCAAATATAGAAAGTATTTTTATTTTAAAAAGAATTGCCATCGTTCTATTTTTGATTCTCTACAACTTTGGTGAATTGAAAACTGCGGGACTTTGAACTAAAATTTATTCAACATAAAACCATGAATTCATTCGAAATAATTTCCATTATTATTGACGACTTCTGCCCATTTTACAGGCAATTTGCGGATTCCTCTTTCGTAGTAGGATTTTGGTTTGTGTGTGAGAAAAGTGTGATACTCAAAAATCGAGGACTGGAGATCTCCCAGTTTGGGCACTTTCCTCAAAAGAAACCCATTTTGGTGTCAATAGAAAAGTTGTAGAGAATCAAAAATTAGGCTTATAGCCAAATTTCCAAAAAGATACACTTAGTACTTTCGCTTAAAATGCAAGTTTTGTGAAAATTCGGAAATTTGGCATTTCTTGAAAACCAGTTTTTGAATCGTTCTGAAAATTTGGATATAAGCTTAATTTTTGATTCTCTACAACTTTTCCATTGACACCAAAATGTAATTGTTCCGTCAAAAGAAACCCATTTTGGTGTTAATGAAAAAGTTGTAGAGAATCAAAAATTAAGCTTATATCCAAATTCAGAACGATTCAAAAACTGGTTTTCAAGAAATGCCAAATTTCCGAATTTTCACAAAACTTGCATTTTAAGCGAAAGTACTAAGTGTATCTTTTTGGAAATTTGGCTATAAGCCTAATTTTTGATTCTCTACAACTTTTTCATTAACACCAAAATGGGTTTCTTTTGAAGAAAGTGCTCAAACTGTGACATATGACAATAGCCGGCAGTTTTCAATTCAACAACCCAATAGTTTTATGCAAATTTTATTGCTTAATACTACCTATGAAGAGATGGGAGCCCCACTCCGAAAATTAAAATGCTTTATGCAAATTGATAAATACAAATTTTTGAGTGGAACGGGGAGATAACCCATAAGTACCGTTAATAAAGCAAGCAAAAGCTTTGCCTTTTAACTGATAGAGCAAACGTAATTACGGAGCTTTGCGTTTTCGCACAGACAGACAGACGGCCGTCCGTCCGTCTGTTTTAGATATAGTAGATATTCAATTTAAATAACTTGATGAATTTCACCTACAAATTCCAAGGATGTTCAAAGGATTGAAAGAATAATGAGTCAAAGTACCGACAGCTGTCATTAGCTATGAATACATAGAAGACATGGGAAAACTCCAGCCCGATCCAAATCCCACCTTTTTTCAGCCGTCTCTTGACCGATTCCTCTGAAATTTTGTCTACAAGCAGAGAATGTCAATTTCTAATTGTAAACAAAATTTCAAAACAATCGGCCAATAGAAAACTGAGAAAAGGAAGGTGGAATTAGGTTCGGCTTGGAATTTTCTCATGCCTAGTGCATAGTAAAATCATTTTTATTAACTGCTGCTTGTTACGTTCTGCGTTAACTTTTAAATCCAGTGAGGTAACACCAAATTCAATTTCAAATTTCAAATTCACTACAATCAATTCAATTTTTTTCGATGATTTTTGAGCAGTCACGAGCTTTTTAAGTCATCTTATAATTGCTTCATCAAAAATTGATGAGGTTCTGTTTCGTTATTACCTTTTTCCGTGGCTGATATGAAATGGCATTTCCTTTTTTATCTACTGAGTCATACTGATGTTTGCTACTATTCAAAACTAGTGTCTATTAGCTTTTTGAAACAAGATTGTTAATGTTAGTTTTAATGAGTTTTAACGTTTTTTTTAATAACTTCTCGAATCCTTTTGATTGATGTAAAATAGAATAATCTAAAATTCAAAATTCAATTAAAATCAAAATTTAAATTAAATTTCTGAATAAATGGCTTTAAATTATAGAATTTTTGAGTGAAATGATGAAAAGTTATGATAAAAAGTTATAAAATGAGAAAAACGCAAAAAAAAGCACATCTATCATTTCATTTTTAGTTCTTTTTCCTTTCAAAAGAGTTTTCAGGTTTTGATAAAGGTTTAGAAATTCTTTTGGCAAAAAAAATCCATCCAAATATCTATCGTATAGGAAAAAGGAAAGGAAAAAGAACTAAAAATGAAATGATAATTGTGTTTTTTTTGCGTTTTTCGCATTTTTATTGCATTAGAGTTTTTCTACTGATAAACTCTGCGGAAATTATACTTTTTCTGCTACACAAAATTCTTTTGGCTTACAGAGGCTCACAAATTTTTTTTGGGCTCACAAGAATTTGAATCACTTTGATAAGCTTTGAGCTTTTGTTTCCAGATCGTTAACAAACCAAGCAAATACTTTGCCTTTTAACCGATAGAGCAAACGTAATTACGGGGCGTTGCGTTTGCGCACAGACAGACAGACGGACGGACTTCTATATAGTAGATATTCAATTTATTGGGTTGGGGAGAATGAGTCGGCGCCGAAAATGAAAAAAATGTCTAAAACTTCTATTCGACTTCGTCAAATAATATGCGTTTGATATCAGTAGAATGGTTAACTAATTCTCTACAAAATGACATTTAAAAGAAAATTCAAACAGCGCCTCCGCTCAAGAAAAAGCCATTTTTTCACAAAAACTACAAACTGTCATCTAGAAAAAAACCATTGGTGGGAGCTTCCTGCAAATTTGGCAACTTAAGTAATTCAATGTGCTCTATCTTTTTTATATAAACACCAAAGAAGGTTTATGTGAAAGAAACTGTTCAAATGATGAGTCGGACTCTTTGCCATTTTAACCAGCTGCGTTTGGAAGTTCATAAACTCCACGAAAGAAAAGCTTTGTGGAATCTCTCAAAAGTGATTTTGTAGAGAAATAGTGGATCCTTTTGATGAAACCAAACGTATGTTTAAAGAAGGCTTTATGTGTGCAAAAAGTCCCTTTAAAGTTTGGCGCCGACTCATTCTCCCCAACCCAATAAATAACTTGATGAATTTCACCTACAAATTCCAAGAATTTCAATCACTTTGATAAGCTTTGAGCTTTTATTTCCAGACACAAAACAATGTTTTTGTTTTCAAAATCAAAACTGTTTCTGCGCAAACAAAGGGTTTAATTATTAGGTTCAATGTGTTAATCATAAACTTGAAGATCTAGTGATTAAACTCTTTATTTTCTGTTCTTGTTCTTCTTGTCTCTCAATTTTCGTCAACAGAATACGGTTTCATTTTCATTTTGCACAAATTTTTGCCTACTTTTCCACTTTCTGGCTTTCAAACAGTCAATTTGGGAGGGAAATTGGCTAGACTTAGATATTTTGACTGTCTACTTGTTCTATTTAAACTAATAACTAACAAATAGAACTAAAAAATAGAAAACTAACAAATAGAACTAATTAAGTGCTTAACTAAAGTTCTATTTGTAATAAAAGCACAATAAAATGTGCTATTTTTAGCTGATTTACTTACTTTTAACAATAATGGCTTTTATTTAAAAACAAAACAAAAACGAATTGCAACATTACTGGTAGCTTTTCTGTTAATCTGTTGATTTTAGGCTTATTAGTCTTTTAATTCAGGCCTCATTCCAGAATTTTTGAGTTCAAGTCCTGTGAATGTGACTGTTTTGTAATCTGTGATTTGAATTTCATCAAAAATAACTGTGAATTTTCGTTTAGATCAACTTGAGCTTAAAAATCACTAGCTTTTTTCTTGAATGGCATCAAGAAAACGACAATGAAGTGTGCAAAAGGTCAAGAAAGATAGCATTAGTCTAAATTTCTTAACGATTGGGTTGTTCTGAGATTGAATACTCAGTTTTCGTTTGAAATTCGTTCCTCGTAACCTATGCAGTTCATAGTTTAGTGAAAACATTGTTCTCGAAAACAATTCGTTACTGAATTTTTCGAATTTCGATCTAACTTTTTATAAAATAATATGTATACGGTTTTCTTGGATTAGATAAAAATGCCAAAATACCGTATTTTCTCTAATAGTAGTGCACCCCGGCGAGCCGAACTGGTGACTATTTTACGGGTTTCAAGCTTTTGCAGAAGCTCAACACTCTAATCCTCCACAAGATCTCATCGTTAGCTACATTTTCCGACCCCACATCGATAGGTTCTGATAAGCGGTTCTCGAGATTTCGAGCAATTTAGGCAACGCTCAAGGTGCACTACTATTAGAGAAAATACGGTAATTGCCAACTTGGTTCCTTATCTCTCTAGATTTGGTTCCTTATCTCTCTAAGTTGGTTCCTTATCTCTCTAAATCTGGTTCCTTATCTCTCTAAATTTGGTTCCTTATCTCTCTAAATTGGTTTTGTCTCTAAATCTTTGCTCTATTAAGTGAATGTAGTGTTTTTAAAGTGTTTATAAAGTAATTTTTATACGTTTTCCTTTTTTATCAGGTAAATAATTGCCGAAAAAAGCAATCTATGTTCTGTTGATTGAATTTAGAGAACAAATTAATTTGTAGTGAGGGTATCATCCAAAAAA